AGCAAAAAAATACTAAATATAAATATTTATATTTATAACCTACGCGCACTTATAAAAAAAAATATATTATTTTTGCTAATTAGCGGCGCCCGCAGGGCCTTTTAATAAAAAAAAAAAAACAAAAACATAAAACAAAAATAAAAAAATAATAAATAAACTTAAACAAGTAGTTAAGCCGCGCGGCGCGTAGTACCTAACATACATAAAATAAGAACTAAGCCCACAAGGGCGCTAACACCAACACCTAATATAAAAGTAACCTTAATAAAAATCCTTAAAAGCGCTAAAGCGCAGTAAACCCTGCACTAAAAGTAATAAAAATTTATAAAAAAATTAGTAATATAATATAATACAAACTAAAATATATAAATATATGCTTAGTAGTTAAAGCTGCACTAGTATAAAAAAAAACTATAATTATTAAAGTAGTGCTAAATAAAGGTTTAAAAACTAAAAAAAAACTATTATAATAAATTAATAAATTAAAATATAATAACACTACGGGAAGGGGACTAACTTATATAATAAATTATTATTTTTATTAAAGGGGGCGCTAACCTGTAAAGCAAAGTTAAATATAAATATAATAATATTTATAAAATTAATTACCTGTATATTATTAGCCGCGGTAATTTACTTAATAGCTATTTTAAATATTTAATAAGCTATTTTTAAGGTAGTAAGGTTTTTATAAGCTTATAGATTATTAGCTTCTATATATATAATATTAATAATATTAAAAATATCTTATAATTAATTACCTACTAGGGTAATATTAATAGCTATATACTTTAAAAGCACCCTTTTTATATTATAATAAAACTAGCACTTCCCACCCCCCACGCGGTTATAAATAAGGGCTTTTATTATAATATTAATAATAAATATATTTTTATTATAGCGCCCTATAATAATAATATATATAATATACTATAAAATATAAAAATTAAGTAATAAAGCTATAAAGCCCGGGGGTGGTAAAAAAAAAATATTAATAAAAGCCTTATTAGCAAGGGCAGCAGGGGTAGTAATAAGGGTAATAATAATAATAATAATAATAAGGGCACGCAAGTATTAAAATTAAGTTATTTTAATAACTAGTATATTAATAATTATTAATATGCAAGTAAAGGGCAGGGAAATATAATTTTATATACTAAAAATAAAATAAAAAGTAAAGGCTAAAACCAAGGCTTAACTATTATAATAAAAAAATATAAAATAAAATACTATAATAAAATAAATAACTACTAATAATAGTATTTAAAGTATAATATAAAACTATATTAAATATTAAAGCAAGGGAAACGCAAAGCAAAGGGTAAATATAAAAAACCTTAAAAAAAAAATAGGGTTAAAAACACGCGGTATAATAAAAGCTATAATAAAGGTAAACTATATTTAATTTAACTATTAAAAATAGTTTTAAAAACATAAAAATAACAAGGGCTAAATATAAAAAGCTTATTAATTAAATTAAAAAGGCAAGTGCGCAGTAAAATATAAAAAAAAGGTAAAAAAAAGGCTAACACGGTAATATATTAATAGCTAAAATAAAATAACCATATATTATAAATAACTACTAAAGGCATTAAAAAAAGCGTAAAAATAAGGAGATTTAGCTATTTAAAGCTTAAAGCTTTATTATAAAAACTAAGCGCAAAGTAAAATAAAATATACAGGCCTAATAATATTAACACAGGATTAATACCACTAAAATAAATAATATAACGCCTAAAAAATATAAAAAAAGTAAATATAGGGTATTTTAACCCCAGGAATATAATTAAATAATAAAAAAGTAATAAAAACATAATAAAAAGATGTATACTTATAGCAGGCATTTTTAATTAAGTTATAAAAAAAACTTAAAAAAAAAAAAGATTGCAAGGGCGCTTTAATATTAAAATTAAAATATTATACCTAGTTATTATAAGCAGTAATATTATATTTAAATCTAAAAGTAAAGTAAGGTAATTAAATTAATTTTTTATACTTAACTTTAAATATAAATTATATATAAACTATAATATTTTATAAACCTAAAAATAGCTTATTTTATAGCACTTAATAAAATTTATAATTTAAATTATATTTTATAAAATATAAATATAAATTTATGAATCGCGAGGGCGCGATTACTTAAAAAAAAAAGTATTATTATTACTATTATAGTATTATAACTGTGTAGTATTATAATAATATAATCCAGCGGCCTAAGGCCACCAGGCAAAAAAACTTTAGCGCTAAACTAGCCGCGCGTTAAGGCAGTGGCTAGTTATATAATATATAAAATACTAAGTTTAACTCCAAACTCTAACTTAAAAGAATTAGCAATTAGTTTCTACTATAAATACATAATGCCTTTCCTATTATAGTAATTCACGTTCTCCTAAGCTTACCGCAGTATATAAACGCGACTCACAAAAAAAAGGTTAATAATTCTAGTAATTAAAACTAGTTCTAAATTAATTTAAATATTTTTAAAAGTACTTTAGTTACTTATTTAAAAATAAAATTTTATTATTTACTTGGCTTTAATAGCATGTTAATATAGTTTTATATTATAATAATTAAGTTTTAATATACTAGCTAGTTAAAGTATAAATATTATAAAAATATATATATTTACTAACCAAGACCTTTAGCATAGCATGTATATAAAAAATAAATTACTTTAGGCTATTAATAAACTACTTTTATTAGGCAAAATATATAAAATAAGTAAAAAATAAGTAAGCTTAAAACATATTTTTTAGCCTAGCAAGTATAATATAATAATAAAAATTTAAAAATAAGTTTTTAATTAAAAACAAGTAAATAAATTTTTTAAAAATTTTTAGCTACTTAGTAATATTAAAAATACTTTTAAAATAATTAAGCTTAATAGTCCAAGGGTATTTTATATAATAAGTTATATGCTTAATTTAAATCTTACTTTTATTAATTTTTTTTATAACCCTAAATTAAACTAGTTTAACCCTAATTAAAAGTACTTTAAATTTAAAAAAATAATAGTTACCTTTTTATTTTTTTTTAAAAATAACTAGTTTTTAACAGGCCTACACCTAAAAATAAAACTAGTTTAAAAGTTATTAAAGTTAGTTTAAACTTAATTATAAGAAAATAAAGTTTATTATAGTTTAGGGTATTTAATTATAGCTTATTATATATAAAAAAAACCAGGAACTAGAAAATTACTTTTAAAGTAATTAATATTATATGCACCTTGCTAAAAAAAAGGTAAAAAATATAAAATATGCCCGTAGGCGCCCTGCTAAATTAAAAAAAAAAATAAAAAAAAATATAAAAAAAACTACTTAAAAAATAATTTTTATAATAATAATATTAGTAGTTTTCTTTTTTTTTCCTGCTTTTTTTTTATTTTTATTATTTTAGCTAGTAGTATTAGGCTTTTTAAAAAGCTTAAAATAGTTATAATTCTTAATTTACTTTTATAAGCAGTATTTTAAAACTAGTTAAAAAGTACTTTTTAAAATTAATAAAGTAAAAAAACTTATTAATTAATATTTTTTTTAACTTGTAGGTATTACAAGGAATTTTATAACTTTTTTTTTTTACTATTTTTTTTATAATAATAGGGTTATACTAAAACTAGTTAAAAAGTACTTTTAATAAAAAATATAACTTACTTATATTTTTATTTTACTTAAATAAAAACTAAGGCAAGATAACTAGCTTTATAGCCTAGCACGCCTTTTAATTATTAATAATAAATTAATAAAAATTTATAAAACTAGTTAAAAAGTACTTTTTATAAGTAATAACTAAACTTACCCTTAGCTTTTTTAATTTTACTAACCTTTAGGCGGCCCTTAATATTTTTTTTATTTTTAAAAACCTAGGTAAAAAAATAAATAATAAAATACTTATTAGCATAGTAACCGCGGAGGCTATTAATAATATTAAATTTTATTTAAATTAGTTAAAAAGTACTTTTTATAAGCACTTAAAAAAACTTACTTTATTAAGGTAGTTTTTAACCTAGTAGTAAAGCTCCCCTAAAAAAAATAAGTTATTTTATTATTTTATAAATAATTAGTTTTAAAATACTTTTTAAAAATACATGTAAGGTTAAAAAAAGTTAAAAAGTAAGGGTTAAAAAGTAGTTTAAAAGTACTTTTAGCTTTTACTTTTTAATAATAATAGCCTTACTTACCTTTAGCTCTAGCTTTAAAAAAATTACTTTATTATTTAAAATTTATATATATTTTTTAAAAACAGCCTAGGCTTGGATTAACTATAAAAATAAGTTATAAAATAGTTTTTAAGTAATTCTTATTATTAATTTAATAATTAATATAATAAGCGGAAGTATTATTAGTAAAAAAAGTAAAAAAAAGTAAAAAAAAGTTAAAAAAAAGTTTAATATAAAGTTTTAATAAAATTATTAATATTTATATTACTTAAAAAGTAGTATAAGGCTTTATTATATTAGTAGCTATTATATTTAGATTATAACCAAAGTTATAAGTAAAGTTTAAAAGTAAGCTTGGGTAAGCTACAAAGCTAGGTCACGTGACCAAACTAGCTGGGGTGACCAGCAGACAAGTCGGGCCAAGCTGTTCTCTGCCCAGAGCTAACCCTAAGTTGCGAAATCAAGAATTCGTTCTTCGACAGATTGATTTACTTTATTCCAACAAAAAGGTAGGTAGACCCAAGAAACGCATAATCTAGCCTTTTTATTAAACGTTAAATTACTATTACTTATTACTGCTAAAGAAGTTTTAAATATAAGCCATCGTCTGCTCTCACCGGAAACTAGAACCCCACAACTCGAGTCCCAACAGGCATTGGCATAACCAGCAGGAATCTCGCGAAGGAACGAAGCAGTACAAGAAGAGCAAAGAGAGAAATGACAAGACACAATATCCGAAACACCAGATTATCTCATTTTAAAGGAGACAAAAGACAAGGAAGAAAAGACTGTTTCATGGCTCTTGGCCACAGAGTCGAAATGAAAGATCTGCTTATATTGTTTAGAGGAAAGCCATGAGTGCCATGAGAGCAGTGAGGAGACCAGCAGCAGGGCGGGCAACGTCGGCGGCACCGGTGAACGTGGGCCTCGCGGGGGAGACGCCAGTGGGAGGGGCCGGGGGAGAGACAGGAGAAACACCGCTGGGAGCGCCGGGCTGACCAGGGACACTGGGTTGACCAGGCTGAGCAGGAGCGCCAGGCTGACCGGGGATAGCAGTGGTAAGGGGCTGTCCGGGTTGGCCGGGTTGACTAGGAGCGCCAGGCTGACCAGGGGTAACAGGGACGCCGGGCTGGCCGGGCTGGCCGGGTTGACTAGGAGCGCCAGGCTGACCAGGGGTAACAGGGACGCCGGGCTGTCCAGGCTGTCCAGGCTGACTAGGAGCACCAGGCTGACCAGGGGTAACAGGGACGCCGGGCTGCCCGGGCTGTCCGGGCTGACTAGGAGCGCCAGGCTGACCAGGGGTAACAGGGACGCCGGGCTGTCCAGGCTGTCCGGGTTGACTAGGAGCGCCAGGCTGACCGGGGGTAACAGGGACGCCAGGCTGGCCAGGCTGACCGGGTTGACTAGGAGCGCCAGGCTGACCAGGGGTAACAGGGACGCCGGGCTGTCCAGGCTGTCCGGGCTGACTAGGAGCGCCAGGCTGACCAGGGGTAACAGGGATGCCAGGCTGACCAGGAATAGCAGTGGCGCCGGGCTGACCAGGGATAGCAGTGGCACCAGGCTGACCAGGGATAGCAGTGGCGCCGGGCTGACCAGGGATAGCGGTGGCGCCGGGCTGACCAGGTTGGGTCGGGACAAGAGGCGGCGCAGTGACGTTCTGGACAGGAGCAGGTGAAGCGCCGGGAGGAACGGGCACGGGTTGAGTGGTCGGGACAAGAGGCGGCGCAGTGATGTTCTGGACAGGGGCAGGCAAAGAGCCGGGAGGAACGGGCACGGGTTGGGTGGTCGGGACAAGAGGCGGCGCAGTGCTGTTCTGGAACGGAGCAGCGCTGGAAGGGATGGTGACGTTGTTCACGGGGCTGACGCCTGTAGGAATGATGGGGCTGACGCCTGTGGGAATGATGGGACTGACGCCTGTAGGAATGATGGGACTGACGCCTGTGGGAAGGATGGGGCTGACGCCTGTGGGAAGGATGGGGCTGACGCCTGTAGGAACGATGGGGCTGACGCCTGTAGGAAGGATGGGAATGGGTTCGCCGGTAGTATCAGTCGGGGCCGGGTTGCCGGTAGCGATGGGCGCAGGTCTTTCGGTGGCATCCTCAGAGACGGTGGTGGTAACGGTGATAGTCTCGGTCAAGGTGATGGGGACTGTCAGAGTCTTGGTTCCAGAAGTCACGACAGAAGTGGTGACAGGGTGGTTGGTGGTAGTGAAGGTGGTGGTGCGAACGGAAGCCTAGATAAGAAGTGTTACTTGGCTGTCTAAACAGAACATCGGTGGACATTTGGCTTACTGAGTGAGGCTCCTCCCGGTCAGCGACATCAGCCAAAGCCGGAGCAGCCAGCGCCAGGACAGCAGTGATCTTGTTGACCATCTTGTTGACCATCTTGAAAGATGCTCAGGACAAGAGGATGGTAAAAGATAGGCAAGCAAAGCAACGTTGAACGAACGAGTGAACTTGAAGCGAGTGACCTGCAGGCAATCTGGCGTGGAGGAAAAGACCTCAGGGCATGGATAAGATCTCAGTTTATATCCCTCGAGGAGACACTCATTTCCGCTTGCAAGGGGCAACGGCTATTCGTCATCGAATCATGATGCCACTGTAGTATTCAGTGACAGGGTCATCAAGTGTGGTTCAGGGAAAGGCTCATGTCTTTTTGATTGGGGACGAAGTCTGCTCTGCCTGGCTGTAGTCTCTCGAAATCCACCCGGTGCCATGGATCACAGAAAACGCCTGGACCGAGGAAGCAGACTGCAATGTTTAGAAGCTCACTCAGGGCCGAGAGGCGAGAGTGACACCTTGGAGCTTCCCAGTACTAGGGTTGACGAGGAGTAGACTCCACAAGATCCACTTCGATCTCAGATATGCTGCATTAGGTGAGGACCTCGAAGGACTGGCCCATGATCATGGCGTCATGAACTGGGCAATCACCGAAAGCCCAGATGGTACCACTACCCATAATAGACGCTCAGAGGGAGCCTCCTGAGTATAGGTAACTTTGTTCCTGAAGCTTATGGCTATCTCAAGCAATGCAGGCCGTTGCCCATGCAATCTGGCATAAGTAGTAACGGCACGACGTACAATATCCAACAGATAATTGTGCTAGCCAAGGGCAAATAGGAGGTGCCATTGCCATATCGCCATTATGTCATATGCCACTGTCGACCATTATACTTCGTGCTGCTAGCCAGATTGAGAGCTTTTCTTCAGCTCAGGAATGTGGGACCGGCTAGTAGAGGGAGCTTTCTGCAACGTCAACGAGAAATAAGCTCGAGGACACCGTACGATTAAGCACTCATCATGCCAGGTTGAGGAGGCAACAAAGCTAGTGCTAGTTAGCTCCAGGAACCGGAATATATGGTGCTGTATGATCATGAGTAGCTACAGGTACCTGAGGTCGAATCTCAAGCGACTGCATGGGTTCGTAGCAATGCAAGAAACTTAGGGCACTCAGCGATGACTGACTCTGTACCCAAGATTAGCATCCCGGTCAAGAGAGGGCAATGCAAAATGACTATGCGATGCTATTATGGAATCCATTGGTACGTTCAACCAAGCGCTTGGTAACGGTGGGATGGCTAACACGAATGCCGATAGGCCCATGATGTGAAGTAAAAAGTGTAGGCGTCATGCATAAAACCCGGAGCACATCAGGCCGAAACCTCGTGCTGCAAACGGCGACTTGTCAACCTTGGAAGGTGGACGTCCCTGCAGGGCCCGAAAGTAACCAGAAGTTGCGTAGGATTCAGGGACGGTCGTTGGTAGTTGGCAGTTGCATGGAACAGGCTCGGGTCCGAACCGTCCGATGATGAAGCGATGGCCGTTTGCGGCCGTGATTGGCTGAGCGAATAGAAGATCACGTGTGGCAGTCCGAGCTTTGGAGTCGGACTTAGGGCTCGGGGTTACCACTCCTTACGTAAGTTTTGGCGCGACACGACGCGTTCTGAGATGAGGTCGCGTTAATTGCTTCGTGACTGGCAACGAGAGTGTAAGGAGGACCTCGCAGTCATTACCACCAATTCAGCGCAATGCCACACTCAGTCGCCTCAGAAGGCTCTCCGGCTTCCCACAAGGACAATGAAGTGCTTCCAGATGCTCCTCCCGCCACCGATGCTCCCAATGGCGACCAGAAGAACGAAGGCGCTGCCGCCGAAAAGACGACAGCCGGCGTAAAGCTTGAAGACCTATTCGATGACGACGATGACGACGACAACGAGTTTCCAGCCTCGAGCGCACCCGTTGAAACCAAGACTGAAGAGTAAGTTCTCACTGGTGTCCGATGGAGACAAATCTCTAATCTCGGCTGTCTATAGAGCGCCAGGACCAGCGCCTGTCCAGGTCGATACAGAAACTATGCTCGCATTCTATCAACGCTTGTTCCCGTTCCGCTACCTATTTCAATGGCTTAATCATGGAATTGTTCCATCTCCTGACTTCGGAAACCGAGAGTTTGCTTTGACGCTGCAGAACGATGCTTACCTTCGATATCAATCATACCCAACCGCGGATCTGTGAGTTTGCGCGCAAGCTGCTGTCATGGCCACGAAAGTCTAACCTGTATACGATAAATTAGGTTCCGAAAAGATATTCTTAAGATGAACCCCTCCCGTTTCGAAATTGGACCCGTATACAACAGGAACCCGCGAGACAGGAAGACATTGGGCGCTGGCCAACTGAAACCCCTGGCCAAAGAACTCGTGTTCGATATCGATTTAACAGATTATGATGATATCCGTACCTGCTGTACAAAGGCGAACATTTGCGAGAAGTGTTGGGCGTTTGTGACAATGGCTATCAAAGTCGTTGACACCGCTCTCCGGCAAGACTTTGGTTTTCAACATATCTTATGGGTCTACTCAGGACGTCGTGGAGCTCACGCCTGGGTCTGTGATCCCCGCGCGCGAACTCTTCCCGACGACCGCCGCCGGGGCATCGCGGGCTACCTCGACCTCATTCGAGGAGGCACAAGCAGCGGCAAACGCGTCAATCTCAAACGACCTCTCCATCCTCATATGAACCGCAGTCTCGAGATCCTAAAACCCTACTTTGCACAAACAACGCTAGTAGACCAAGACACCTTCGCCAGTACAGAGCAAGCGCAACGCCTTCTCTCTCTCCTCCCCGACAAGGGACTCAACGACTCCCTGCGCCGGAAATGGGAATCAGCACCCGACCGCTCAAGCACAAACAAGTGGGCCGACATCGATGCCCTCGCAAAGACCGGCAAAAGCTCAACCCTCAACCCCGCAACCCTGCGCGACGCCAAACAGGACATCGTCCTCGAATACACATATCCACGCCTCGATTCCGAGGTCAGCAAGAAGATGATCCATTTGCTAAAGAGCCCCTTCGTTATTCACCCCGGAACTGGCCGTGTCTGTGTCCCCATCGACATTCGTAACATCGAGCGCTTCGACCCTCTTTCTGCACCTACCGTCACACAACTACTTTCCGAGATCGACTCCTGGGATGCGGATCATCCTAGCAATGGTGCCGCGGAGGTTCCAGAAGGCGAAGGGAGCGTTCCAAACGCTTCTGATGCAGGAGGCTCCCGCAAGCTTCAGGATTATGAGAAGACGAGCCTGAAGCCGTACATCGACTACTTCCGTTCGTTCATTGCTAGTCTTAACCAGGAGGAGCGCGACGGGAAGCGAGAGCGCAACGAGCAGACCGCGCCGGAGGTCAAGTCTGAGAGTATGGAGTTCTGATTCTGGAATACGTCGATACATTGTACGTTCGGCTAGTGTGTACATGGCCCATTGGTTTGCTTTGACATTCTTTGAGCGGGATTCAATCATGGTTGTATTTGGTGGTCTGGAGAACGGCGTTCGAGTATATTTGTCTATAACTATTTTGGATGATCAATGTTGATGGAAAAGATGAGCTCTCCTGTGTCTTGGGAATCAATGCTCTCGGCTTTGCGGCGACTACCCACGTGTCGTTATATTTAACAAGGAGTTTGTAAGAGAAGACACGATACGGTTTCAAGGCTTCAATGATATTCAACATAATTACAATTGGTTCTTGATTCGTTCCTTTATTAATACATGTCCATCTGGTCACTTCCCAAACATCACCCGCTCAAAGAGAATAAGGCAGCCCAAGATAGTGACGGAATATGGAGTTGAGTAAAAGTCCGCAGGGCGACTATAGAGAGATGGGAGGTATCGAATAATATGTCCGTAATTCGTGCGCTTAAGCAGAAACGAAGTTGCGGACGTCTAGAAATCCGTCAGATATAGTGAACAAATTATCAAGTAGGCAAAGTCACTTACTCTCGAGCCAGCGGACGTACTCCTTCTGCTCCTTGACCTGAATGTAGTCGGGAATCATGTTGGCAAGCTCGGCGTTGATGCCGCGCTCCTCAAGGTAGCGCTCAATGTAGGTCTGGAGGTCCTCGTCCAAGTTCTCGAAAGGAGGACCGGCGTACAGGCTCTGGCGGGCCCAGTCCTTCTCGGCGGTAGCAGCTTGAGCCAAATCAGGCTTGTTGAAGTAAGAAACTTCCTCAACCTGGAACAGACCGTCCTGAGCGAGGGTCTGGATGAGCAGGGCACCCTTGCCGTCCTTCTCGATGGTGATGTTGACACGGGCGGGGAAGCTAGGCTCGAGGTCCCCATTCTCACGGTCGGCGGGGGCGACGCTGTCCTCGGGGTGCTGAGCGAAGTTGCCGCTGCCCTGGTTCACGGGCTGGTGTCCCTGATAATCTAGCTCATCGGTGAGAGCATCTATGTCGTCGTGCTCGCTTAGGTTCTGGAGGTCCGCAACGGTGAACGTAAGGCGGATCCTATTCACAAGCGAAGTGTTAAGAGCTGGATAGTGTGGGTTGAAGAGATATTTCGCAGAATAGGTAACTTACTCCTCGTTGTTGAACTTTTTCGACAAGACAACCTCTTGCTCACCGGGGATATCCTTGACCTATAATACATTATTAGGTTTTGCGGTATGCGACAGCGCGCAATAGTCCGGCAACATACCTCCCAAGAGTTGTTCTGAAGAACATACTGGATGTTCTGGACAGAGGACTCCAGGTCCTCGAGACCGGAAGACTTCTCGTGCTTCAACTCATCCTCAAGTTTAGCAGCAAGCTCAGCGTCGCCTGTGTGAAGACAAGAGAATGCCACTGTTAGCGCTATTCGATTGATATGCGTGGGTTGCGCTTCATAAAGCTTGTCGTCAAAGCTCGCCGAAGGAATGAATTTTCCCGCGGCGTGTATTCTAAGACGTAAAATTTTGCATTCTTTTTATTGCACTTACCTTCAGCTTGTCTGAAAGCCCTGCACGTTGAGAAGGCGGCTTGGGATGGACGAATGGCCTGCTTCAATGAAGGTTGGATGAAGCTAGTCTTGGGGAGGTTTGAGACGGGGCGGAGAATGGAGGATCTGGAGGAGGTAGCAATGGATCGCGAGAGAGTGCGAGGCACTGTGCGGCTGAGTGTGCGTAGAGAAAGCATTGTAAGGTGTATTTTGTCAAAGGACGATGCGATGGAATGAAATTATTGATGGTATGAGGACGACAAACGAAGGCAAAAGATTCGGGACAGATGATGTTAACACCTCCCAATTAGGATAGGCGGCGCCAAGACTGGAGCTGCTGTTTCAGACTGCTATTGCACTTCAACCAGAATCACATCTGGTTTATATATCCCATTTACTGTGGAACATCCTTAAGCAGATCTATCTAATCCCGTGGTCGCCTATACGGATGCCGATGGTTGAACCATGAATGAATGGTAAAGATATGCATGCATTGTCATAACGCCATTATACCACGAGATGCTCGAATATGTCCACGACCTTGCAAATCAAAGGAAAGAAAAAGTAATAAGAATCATGACAAGCCCTTAGGTGGGAATGTCGAAGCTTGCTTCCCTCCCTCTTTCGTTAATCGTATGAACTTCAGAGGGCTGAGTCCAGACCAGTTTCCATTCCACCTCACGAGTGCGCTGACGACATCCTCCTCTGTAAGGTCTGGCATCCAGAATCCTGTCTTGAACTCTTTATTCTCGGCCTCTGTTCGCTGAAGCAGGGCTTCCTCCCTCTTGCTAGGCGGTCGACCCTTTCTCCGCTCACTCTGTAATTGTTCGATCTCAGGCACACTGCGATTGATATATCTGCGCATAAGGCATTAGTATATTTTCGACGTCTCCGTGATCGTGCGCTGAATTGACGAACCTGGCGACAAGGTCGGGTATGTCATTCTCGGAGAGAGATACTGTTCCCTCGGGGATGGATTCTTGGAAATATAGAATGCGGTCGACTAGATCGAACGTCAGTCATCTGCCCAAAGTCTGGCTAAACAGCGAATCTCCTACCGTAGGATTGTCTGCCCTTCGCCATAGCCGCTGAAACTCGGGCGACTCGATCATCTCTCGTACCGGCCCTCCGCAGCAGCTTTGCGTCTCTGCTGTTCTCGTGCAGAGCTTCGATCGCGCCCCGCTTCTTCGATATGTGCTTCTGCACTTTTTGCAAAGACTTCGGCATATTGAATATAGCCCAACAGTATCAGGATTTCCAAGACCGCTTCTCCGATGGAATGGTATCTTGTTTCCTTCCCCTCAGATTTTTGGGGAAATACTTTTTTTTACCGGCAGAATCATGAGGCGGTGGTAGGAGTGGATCTGAGAGCCGCGTCAAGGCGACCAATCAGAAACATAGGCTGTCGCCGCGTCCTTGCGCGTTTTGGGGAGGGACGAAGAGAGGCGATCGTTGTCAAGCATTTCAATCTTGTTTTCGGGGCCGTTGTCGTCTAATGACTGCCTGGGTGGTTGCTTCGCTCCCCGTGTCTGCTCAGAAGACGTGAATTCTGCGCCATTCGCCTCAATTCCTACCTGTCTCACTTGCCGGGTACTCTACTGATGCCTCCCTCGATTTCGTGAATAACACGAGGTGCATCTCGTCTTTCCAGGGTGTTCACGATGGGTATTAAAGGTGAAATATGACGACTGTATAGCTTGCCATGCTTTCCTATACTAAGATGCTCTTAGGGCTTCATGGTCTTCTCAAGTCAATCCAGAAACCATGTCACTTGAAGAAGTTCAGCGGACAAACCCTGGGGGTGGACGCATATGGGTGGTTACATCGTGGCACTGTTGCTTGTGCGGTTGACCTAGTCCTGGATAGGCCGACGACAAAGTGAGTGGTCCTCTGGGCTGTGTATCGGGTTGCGCTCTCCTAACGCAGACCAAGGCATATCGACTTCGTCCTGGGCCGAGTTCGTATGCTTCTCTACTTTGGCGTGAAGCCGTATCTTGTCTTCGATGGGGACAACTTGCCTAGCAAATCCGGCACCGAGATTGATCGTCAACAGAGGCGGCATGAGAGTAAATCGCTAGGAATGGAACTCCTCCGCAAAGGACGAACTGCGGAGGCCTATCAAGAACTCCAGAAGGCTGTGGACGTGACGCCGCTCATGGCTCGGCAGTTGATTGAGGAATTGAAGAAACTGGATATTCCATATGTGGTCGCGCCATATGAGGCCGACGCTCAGCTTGTCTATCTGGAACAGCAGGGCATTATCGACGGCATTATATCGGAAGATTCTGACCTCCTTGTGTACGGGGCCAAACGCCTGCTGTCCAAACTTGATCAGCATGGAGACCTGATCGAAATAAACCGCGCCGACTTTTCTGCTTGCCGAGAAGTCAGTTTTGTGGGATGGACAGATGCTGACTTCAGACGAATGTGTATCTTAAGCGGCTGCGACTATTTGCCTAATATTACTCGAGTCGGTCTGAAGACGGCATATCGCAGCATTCGGAAGTATAAAAACGTGGAGAAGGCGCTGCGGATGCTCCAATTTGACGGTCACCACGTGCCACCGGATTACCTGCAGAGTTTCAAGCAGGCGGAACTGACCTTCCTTTACCAAAGGGTATTTTGTCCCAAGGCTGGAAAGCTGGTCACGTTGACTTTGCCGGATAACAACGTGAACCTGGACGAGATTCCGTTTATTGGAGATGATATGGAACCCGAGACAGCGGTGGGGGTTGCAAATGGTGACCTAGACCCGACATCGAAGGGGCCGTTACGACTTGTGGTGAAGTCGTTGAATTCGGGACAGAATAAACCGGTTCCTTCTCTTAACCGACGGCAAACCATAGGCTCATTTTCGGATTTGAAACCGTCCAAGCCAATCAATTCATTCTTTACCCCGAAACGCGTTCCGCTTGCCGAGTTGGATCCGAACAGTCTCACTCCATCTCCGAGTCAGCAACGACTGCTTCATCATCATGCGAACAGTTCTTGGGAGCCCTCTCCTGCCCCGTCTCGCCCGTCTGTTGTTAGGTCTGCCACGCTTAATGATTCATCTAACCGAGTCTCTAGTCCGCTCGTGAGAAGTGCGGAACGATCTTCGTTCCTAGCTCGCGCCTCAAAGCTATCGACCTTGCAGCCTAGCAAACGCCAAAGGCTCTGCTCGGAGACAGAAGAAATCAGTCCTGTTAACACACCAGACTCCCGCAGTCGCTTCTTTGCAGCCGGTTCGAATGACACTACTCCAAGCGGCGGCCAGAAACTTAATCGTCCAAAGAAAGCGCGCAAATCCACGTTGGACGTGTTCTCGGACGATATGGCCGAAGATATCATGTCGCAGCTTCCTGACCCGAGTGAGGCAGCGAAAATATCAGCTAAGAAGGCCCAGACAGTGACTAATACTGATGAAATCGATAATAAAGAGTTGGAACTGACGAATACGGACGGTCCAACTACTGTCAAGGGCGACGCCGACAGCTCGCAAGCGGAGGTCGAGGAGCCCACAACTCAGACTGCACTTGAAAGCGTGACACCTTCCAAAACGGTCAGCGCCAATTCGGAGCCTCATGTATTTAGTCAGGTGCTTGACTATCATATCAAGCGGCAAAACTCGACAATACTCTCGAAGTACTCCTTCAAATCCAATGCTGGTGGAACCAGGCCAGACCCACATCTCTCAGGCGCGAACGGTACTGAAGCAAGTGCTGTGCGCAAGGTGGATTTTCGCGGAACCGGAACACCCAAACAGCCCAAGCGTCTCACCCCCTTGCAACGCTTGGGCCAGAACGCTTTAGCCCGATCACGATCCTTGAATAACATGCCAGCCTCTCCTTCGATCTGGAGATCCCCAAACCGATTTGAGAACAGGTCCAGCGTGAGCCCTGGTAACCATGCTCCTGCAGCTAGCCAAGGCAGCGAGGATCTCATAGTCCCAGACAGCGAAGAGGAAGACGACGGCGCACCCGACACCGCGGTTGACCGATCTCAATTAGCAGCTTTGGATCTCAAACGGTTTTCTTTTACGACGAGATAATGTATTCCCAGTTGGTTTATCATAGTGCCTGGTCTTCATGCATTGGTGTAACGGAGTTTGGATGAGTTGAAGGTGCTCAGGAGCTCAATATTTTGATCGATTGGTCAACGGTTTGGTGTCTCGGCGGTTGCTTTGTGCCTTTGAGGGCGTATTGAGTACATATCCCATACTTCGATAGCATGGCTTTGGGGCAAGACATAGCATTAGCACTATCTTGGTGTCGTACATGGATCTCAGACCAAATTTCAACTTAAAGTTTGGGTTTCGCCTAAAGATGGAACCCGGGGGCGGTCCTGGCGCTAACCGGAATCCGATTAGCGCGATCTGTGGCACGATCTGCTGTGGCAGGAAGAGAAGGCGGTGAAGACGGTTACCGGGGAACCACGACCCGTAAACAAAGGGCGTTGGCCCAGCCTCTCGATTTAGTGTGGAGGATCCAGTTGTATACCGTCAGATGGCCCAGCCACCCACTATCTTCGCTGGTGACGCTCTCTTGTTTTGCAAATATTCGGTGGCAGGAAAGTCTCGCTGATTTGGGCTGCAATTGTGGACTTGTCCAGATACGATCTCTCCCTCTCCATCTTCCTCCCTCTTACAGAGACCACTCTCTCAAATTGCCCGTCTAGACCATTGTCGTCCCACTGAGACTCTGGGTGACGGTGCTTTGGTATTCATTGATAACTGACCACTCTGTACAGCTCGGAGTCTTCCCTTCCACGAGATACTTCGGTACATTCCTTCTTCCATCGCCATTCCTCCCATCTCTTTAATCCACCGCATTCCACGCCGACTCTTGCGACATTCTTTTGAGCGGGCCACTGTTGTCACTGTCTGGGGTCAAACACTCGGTACTCGACAGTCGAGGTCACAAAGTCCGACTATCTTCACCTTCGGGTCGACAGGACCGGGCGCAGCCGTTGGGCAAAGTGTGTAGGGTTAACGGCACTCCTTCTCGGGGCTCCGAGAAGTGAGGCTCAACAAGGGAAGGGATCGAAGGAAGATAGACACAGCGAGAGGCTGTTGGGAACTCAAGATGCCGAGATTTGCGCGGGGCTTTGCCCGTATGTGTTATCTCTCTCTTTGATATTGCGACAGAAATCCGCTAACAGATTGCAAGGGTTCATTCCGATGATCGGATATCACCATGTGCTCATGATCATTATTGCCGTTACTATTATTCTTCTCTGTGAGTTATCACTCCTCACTCTCAGCGTTTTGCATGCAACTTACTAACCTACTCCGTCAGCGCTGTTACTGGCAGGATGCTCGTCATCATCACCCCAGATGCCCACAATTTTCCTGATCTCTATGTACTATGAGCGCTACGATCCGGTCTTCGACCTCGCCCAAGTTAATCCTCAGGTCGTGACAGCCACAGCCAATATTGTCGGAGGTGCCCAGCTGGAGGTTCGCGTGGGCTATTTTGGCATCTGTGTTCAACCGGACGGTGGGTCTTACATCTGCAACAACAACGCAACCGCATTAGCAGAGATCTTGAACTTTGATCAAGATCCGCTGAACCTCGTCTGGGTTGCGTCAACGTTCAAAGATGCGGTTGTCTTCCCGTACTTAATGTGAGTTTGCACTTTCCCCCGGACCTAGGCTCATGAGACTAACCCTCCTAGAATCATCGCCATCATCCTTGCTTTCATCTGTTTCATTATCCTCGCAACCTTTCCTGGCTGGCACGAGGAGGTTGACGCGAGCGGTTCCGAAGTCGAAGTGAAACCGTTCCCTTCCCGCCCCGTATCGCAGGTGGCCCTGGCCCTGATCTTCGTGGCCGCAGTGTTCGTGCTAGTATCAGTGCTATGGCAACATACAGCCTCTGTTGGAGCAAGCACAATAGTGCAAGACCTAGGGAATGGAAGTGTCAAGAGCGGCGTCGGAACTTCCGCCATGGTTTTGGGTTGGTTCGGATTCGCCCTGCTGGTGGTCGTGACAATCGGACTGCTAGTCATGATTCTGAATTTGCGGATGTTAAGACAACTGACGGACGAAGAGCCCTAAAAGGGCGGAGCATGACCTTTTGTTTTTCTTGGTTTTTCTTATGTTTTCACCTCTCGACTCGATGCACGCACAATACCCCTTCTCCACGACCTCGACACAACGAATACTACGACCGCCGCATGAATAATACAATACTATGAGACCCCGATTTCTCCACCAAAGATAATGGTCGGATCGACTGAGATCAACCCTTGACCGAATCGGGGTAGATTAATCGACTCTACGATCTCGACCTTCATCAACCCATGATACACCATGCTTGTTTTTTGTTATTTGACCTTCACCATATCGCAAATGTACATTCCCCCCGCGATCTACGCTCATCGACTCCATTTTCCGTGTTGTATAAAGAGTTCTTTCCTTTTGTTGTGGCAATCAGGATCTGGTGCTTAAGGGTTGGAACCTATGTTTATGATTGGATGGACAGGATATGGCTAAGGTTACATATGATATATGGATTGGATGCGCGAAATGAAATATATGGATACAGCAATGATATGACCAACTACCAACTTCTTGCGCTGTATATATCACTCTAAGAATTTCTAGTAGTGTGTATTCCGTACTCTGAAGAATGATTCGGGCTGTGTCTCTTCGATTCGGCGACGATTCGTCGTAAATAGAGTGCGTAGGTAGGGCTTTTTGCTCCGTGTTATACCTCCTTTGCACTCAACCACACATTCGCCTAGGCAGAAGGGGCGACGATAACTGCACGGCGGGCTCCATCATGCCTTCCTACTCAGAATAGGCAGGCACGACCACTTTCAGACATCGGGAAGGAGCGACCGGCCCTCCTCACCCATCGCACCTTCCTTGGCATGTGTTTATATCTATCCATAATAGGAAGGCACAACAACCGCGAGCGAAGTTTCGGGAAGGAGCGACCGGCCCCCCTCACCCATCACAACTTCCTTGGCATGTGTTTATATCTATCCATAATGGGAAGGCTCAACAACCGCCAGCGAAGCTTCAGGAAGGAGCAGCCAGCGGACTTACCCGAGCTTCTGTTGACGTTCGAGGAATGCAGAATATTGCAGTCGACGAAAGAATCGTTCTCTCACTGGCATCTCGAACATTGACTCCATTATTGCCGTATATCAGGGTACAAGGCCAATAAATCAAGCTAAGACGTTATCGGGAAACCCTAAGAACTCGCACTGCTCTAGGTCCTGGAAGGGCGCATTCTGACTAGGGAAGTCTAGCATCTGAATTGGGCCGCTAGCGTTGTGCACCGGCTCCCAAGGCCCAAAGGCCCGGAGGGCTTTGAGTGTTCTCTTATAGCCGCGCGCAGTCAGGTATTTGGCATCAGGATTCGGTTGTCCGGATCGTACGAATTCCGCGAAATAGGACGATATAAGCTGCGCGGCGTAGAGGTCTGATGGGTCCCGGATTGTGTCGAGGTTGCCGAAGACGAAAGGCAGGTCTGAGCCGTGGAGGCGGAAGTAAGGGAGTTGGGGGTCTCCGTTTGGAGAGTCTGGTGTTGGTGGTGGTCCGCCGATATTGTTTGGGTCGACTCCGCCCATTGTCCGCTGCATTTGGTAGTAGTATGAGGGCTTGATTTTACCGGATGAGACGCCTGCATATATAGCGGCTTGATTGGGACATCGGACTTTGACGTCTGTTGCTATGCGTTGTGCAATTGTGAAGGAGTCGAGTGTTATATTGCCTGTGTTCGGACTGGGGAAGTGGTTCGAGTCCAGGATCCTCAGGGCTTGGGTTGTGCTGAGGTCCAGGGGTTCCTGGATTCCGTCAAGTTCGGTTTTGATGTCGGTGGAGGGGTACTGGATGAAAGAAGCGCCTTCATCGACGGTGTTGCCGAACATGACTGGGATGTCTGCATGTTCTGCACCGTGGTCAAGGCCTGGTGTGTCTATGTATTTTCCGTCCTGGACGACATGGCGTGCAACTGTTGGCAAGGTGACAAGGGTAAACGCAGAAAGCTCCCTTAAGCATGATATCTGCTGCTCAGTCGTGCCCTCGCAGCGGGCCTCGGAAAAAACCTTCTGGCCGGTTGTTTGGTATAGTTCCAAGATGCTTAGGTAGGAGTTATTTGGCGCTTCGCCGGGTACATGCACAATATGAACGCCGTCTTTTACGTCTGACATTGCAATGGCACCTTGGAATTTGCCCCGTGCATGCGGCGAGCTTAAGAGGGCCTTTACTGAACTAGCCCCTGCTCCTTCGCCCATTATCGTGATTTGTCGAGGATCACCACCAAATTGAGCGATATGTTTGATTGTCCACTGCGTATCTTAGCATTGCTTTAGATCATATCCAGGTCACTGGGCCAAATTACCTCAAGAGCAAGGAGCTGATCTGCAATGCCATAGTTCCCTTGGATGTCTGTCCCTGGAACCGCTAAAAATCCCAGCGTCGAGAGTCGATAATTAAACGTCACGACGACTATGTCCTCCCGCGACGCAAGATTTCCACCATCTGTCACAGGGTCCGAACCTGTCCCAGCAGTGAAATCACCACCATGGATCCAGAATAACACGGGCCGCAGACCAAGCGTGGAGTTCTTCTTCGGGATATATGGTGTCTGGATGTTGAGGTACAGGCAGTTCTCGCTTCCACCGGCAAACTGCACACAACTAGGACCATATTCCGTAGCTTCGATAGTGTGAAACTTGCCGGAATACGGTTTCGCGTAAGAGAACCGGGTCGGAGAGTCAGCGTATGGGATCCCCAAGAAACGGAATGACTTTCGATCTCGGGAACCTATGTACGTGTTGCTCTCGGAGTTGACTCGAATCAATTGCCGCTGTGCATCCCTGTCGCGTCTTTCGCCGCCGCCACTACTCGATTGCGTACACAACACGGGAAGCTGGACGTTTCGAGAAGGAAAAGGGTGATGTTCAAAGTGCTCATCACCATCCTTAACAATCAGCACCCCATTTCGAATGTAGAACCGCTCTTGTTCGATCTTCTCTGTCTGGTTTCTGACATAAAAATGGTATGAAAATATATTCAGGAAGTCTTCTTTGTACTCCATGATTGTGGAAAGGGAGATCATGGTCTCTCCAATCTCTTCGCATGCATCGCGAAGGTCATGTTGTCCCGTAGGGTCCAGCAGAATCGCCCCAGCATGATTCTGATCGTCGGACGAGTTCAAATTATTCTGGTAGAGAAGGGTAAGTGACGTCTTCTCGTTGGCAACGCGACCATGCTCAGATAGCCGGTAGTTGTGTAGGGGAGCTTGGGCTTCGGTATCCAAGTCCGCCGGCCCAAAACCCCCTCGCAACAACCCTAATCCATGCGCATGCAAGCTGAACACAGCAACCACAAGTAAGCGTACCATCATAGTGGCGATTGCACGAGCAAATGCTCGCTCAGTTGCTCAGGAAGGAGTCGCCTGCCTCGCAGTATAAAAAGGTATTCGACTGCCGCAGGGAGCATTCCAATTATCCGCATTCGTCGAAAGTGAGGGCCCCAATATATTAGCTAGATATCGGGTACCTCCCCGCATCTTGTCCTCCTTGTTTTATTCTAGGCAGGGCCCAAGGGCGACACTTGCAAGCCAGCATGACATGGTGAACGCGGGGAGGGCATTAACCTTAGTGCTGGCAGTCACTTGAGCTGGCCTTTAAACTTTGGGACCCAATCGTCAGCGAGAAATAGGGCGATAGGATTCTGCCAAGAAGATAGTTGCAAGACACAGTTCAGCACCTGCGCTCGCTCTGTGAAACAGGGTATTTCAAGCGACGCTTTGGTTGGCCATGTCTTGCTGCGCATTATTTAGATCAGACCTTGTGGCGGGACTGGTCAAGTCGCCAGCAAGGGATTCGAGAACCACTTTGATCCGAGGCCCCGGACGGACTCCATTTGCTCAGCCCGTCAAGAGGAATGTTTGCAAGCTCGAATCATGGAGATCGCGTGCCTCTGACAGGGACGGACAAGTCCGCCAATTGTATACGGCCCTTGAATCAGCACCGGCACTAGTACCAGATGGACCCGGAGACTCGGAGTATACATACTGTGCTGATCCGTGTTTCCGTAATCAGTCAGCCCGCGCATGTTACGGAGTATAATGGACGATGAAAAGAAAGTCCGAGAGACACACGGTTGGTGACATTGGTGGACGGAGGAAGAAGTGAAGCTTGGCGGGGCAATTGGTGTCGGTGTCCCGTGATTGAGTTCAGTAAACACGCAACTATACTAATGGAAGATTATGGCACAGTTGTACAAGGCCTTGATTTCGCTTTACTTCTATTCTTGCTCTGTATTTCATCGTGCTTGGGGTGACACCGAAAGTAGGTAATGAGACCAAATTCAAGATGAATGCCGCACCGGGCAGCCAGAGCATATTAAAACGAACGCTCAAGGAATGAAGAAGCTTGCTCCGCCCACTCTCAACGCTTCTTGGCAGATCCGAAGGAGCAGATGTAATTCAGAAACACATTGAAGAAGCTAATAATTCATAGGTCCCGGCCTCTCATCATAACCGCCACCGCCCCCCTCAATCGCAGAATGATCATCAAGAGACTTATAGTATGCTGGATGGCCAGTTTCACGACCACGGGCTCTACCACGGCCACCTCCACGGGGATTTCCACGACCGCGCGCACCGCCGCCACGGCCGCGGCCACGATAGCCTCCTCGTCGATGCCCATCATCATGCCCATGGCGGTTATTACCACGGTGGTTGTGGTTCTGACGACCAGACTGTCCTTCGGGATTGCTCTGGCTGGGATAGAGAATATCATCGTCTCTCTCCTGCTGATGGCGTCTCTTGCCAGACCTATTCATAAACTGCTCATCACTTTGGCCATCTTCTTCAATGCGTAGGACGACCTTTTCGCCCACGACACTCTCAACCCCAATGGCCCTATCACTGGGGACAGGGTGCCAATTATGGATCTTTGAAGCATCCACAGGTCGAGCTCCTTTGCGTATTGCTAGGACCACAAACGGGACTCTGTTTTCTGTATGGTATTTCTCTGTACCTGGAACTGGCTGCAACCGGGCGGCCCAGACTCTGTTTTCAAAGATGCCAGTCCCGGTGACAACCCAGCTTAGCTTTTTGCCGATACCGCCAACCTTGTCTAGGATTGAACGGCTTGCGGGCCTTGGAGTGATCAAAATACTGTTAGCCATATACTTCAGATCATTTGAGTCAGCCAAGCCATGGGGCAGCAATGGGTTTAATATCTGTCGGATTAGGCGGTCGGAATCTGCATTTGGGATGAGATAACCAGTGAAGTAGGTTGTTCGCTTTATGCTGAGCCGACCATACGGCGATTTTGTCATATTCAGCGCTGGGTTGCGAGTTGCAACATTGTGAGAGTTGATCATACGCTGCACTTCAGCAGCTTCAATTACGGGGGACAGGTACGCAGACCCTTCAGCAACCTGGATAACTTCAGCATTGATAGGTTTCCGTGAGTCAGGACCGCTTGTTGTCTGGAAATTCCGGTTAAGCGCCTCAAAGAAGTCCCGGAATCCCTTCACACTGTAATGGATTAGAATGAACTTTCAGCAGGCGAGTTTCAAACTTACTGTTTTGGACGATCCTCATAGACGCGGATTTCGTCAGCCTTCTCATAGGTGAGGATAATGTCTGAGAGGAAATTCTGCTTGAAGTCCATAGTTGACGAAAACCGCTGGCCATTTGGCCCAACCTCGGGCTTCAAGCAAATAAGATCGAACTCGAGCTTCCTGCTATCGACAATGCGCTTGACAATATCAGAGAACCCAGCTTCTGAGCGACCGGTCAAGAGCACTGTAATTGCATCTTTCTGCTTCATACTCAACTCCACCAGTTGTACCTATACGTAATCAGTGCACGTCCCAGGGCATGTTTATGTGACTCGCACAATTCGCTCGTTCCACCATCCTTTCCAGGCGCGAGGCTCTTCTTTTTCTAAACCGTCGCCGGTGGCAGACAGAAGGTTGGGGTCATGCCACCATCCTCCATTTGCGAAGCTTTCGTAGGCTTGTAGGAATCCAATGCTCGGACCATTCCATAGCTGCGGGTTCGGAAGGGGACTTAAGAACACTGAGCGAAAGGATTAACTCGGCAATATTCGGGACCTGGAAAACTCAATTTCCAGCCTTACATGTGTTGTCGAAGTCATAGACGTGAATCGCTTTGACCTGCGGCGGAGCTAGAAGTCGCGGGCAAACAAGGTCAGCAACATCCCCGCCAACATACGGAAAAGACGCAGTAGGTGCCTTACCTGGTAGCTCTCTGTTGATGATAGACCATCGACGCATTCCTGTAATAGTCCGCGATAAAGACTGGTGGTCCACGTAAGACCCATTTGCTGCTCCGCGCGCCATTGCGTAGCTTTCAGCGACAACCGACTTGGCAGACCTTCTGATCATTGTCCGAGGGACATGGTAGCGCTGTCGAGTATCCTAGTAAAGCTCTCCGTATTCTCTTCTCCAAGCGGAAGTTTAATCCGGAGCAGCGCTATCCGGGGTGTTAGTCAAAAGCAGGTCCAGCTTCCAAGTCGAGTTCCTGCTAGCCAAAGGAAAATTGTTGCGGAGGCGGGCAACGTGACCGGCCCTGCGGAGGTGAAAGTAATGCTGTCACAGCCACCTCACATTTTCTTGACCTTTACAACCACCGGAAGACCTCCCGCCCCATGCTTGCAGTGCCCGACTGATGACCGATGATGGCGAGATTCAACAGCGGATTCTGCAGCGAACTCTCCAAGAGATAGCGCAGGAGCAGCAGCAGGAAGATGTCTCGGACCCATGCGTCATTTGCCTAGAACCCATCACAGAACCCGCCGTCGCAGTTTCCTGCAACCATGCGAACTTTGACTTTCTTTGCCTCGTGAACTGGCTGGAACAGCGCCGTAACTGCCCACTGTGTATGGAGCCTTCTACTTCTCCGTTTCTAGCCCTTCGGTACTAACACCTCGTCCAGGCAAGAGTGACGTATACGCGGTCAAATACGAACTTGAGCACGCAGACGGCCCGAAAATCTATAAGCTTCCTGATCTCCCTACGTCGACGGACCTACCCTCCACTGCGCACATAAACCCGCGTGGCCGATTACCGTATCGAAATCCCCGCCGCCGCCCGCGACACACACGAAGCCCCCCGCTACAAACTCCCAACGATCCCCTCCTCCGTAGACAGCATGTCTACCGCAATAATCTGTATTCCCTCCGTGTGGGCTCAAATCGTCTCTCCCAATACCGTGAGTTTACACCGGAGATGTTCAACCGGGACGAAGAGTTAGTCTCGCGAGCCCGCAAATGGATCCGACGAGAGCTGCGCGTGTTTGAGTTTCTTCATCCCGACACCTCATCGTCGTCCTCCTCCCCAGTAGCTCGGCCGGGGCAACAACGACTCGAAAGTCGCCGAGGCAACAACGCCGAGTTCCTTTTAGAGTATATCGTCGCTATTCTCCGAACAGTGGATATCAAAGGTAGCGCTGGACAGGCGGAGGAACTCCTAAGGGATTTCATAGGGCGGGATAATGCGTCCCTTTTCTTGCATGAGCTTCAGGCTTGGTTGCGAAGTCCGTATACTTCGTTGGAAGACTGGGATCGCAACGTCCAGTATGACGAACCGAATACGCCTGCTCGACGAGCCGGCCAGGATTCCACGACTTCTAGCCGTACATCCACTCCGGATTATAGAGGCATTGGACGGGACTCTCGCGGCCGGATCAGCAAGCCGCGGTACTCTCGTGGACCGGAGCACCAAAATAGAACCTCCCATTCTCTTGCGAGAAGGGTCCAGTATGCGCGGGATCGTTACATACCGGACTAGTAAGGCTCCTCAACTCGGAATGATGTTATGAAATGCATATAGAAGGTATTATATAGACTAATCTATCGCTAAAAATATGGTATCTATGTTGATGATAACAAAAAGCAAGAGTAATGATCGTTTCTCATAGAAATGCAAGGTCGTGGCTTCCAATTACCTCCGTCGGAACCGCCCAAACTGACGTCCTCCAGCTCTGCCTCCTCTATTCCGGATCTTCAATGACCGATAGTTCGCATGGGCCTGGGGATTGTATTTCCTCGTTGATGGCTTCTTCGCATTCGTATCTATGTTCTCCTTGTCTCTCTCCTGTTCCTTGGCCTTCGTCCTTTGCTCCCGCTCTTGAGCTTGTTTCGCATCGCTACCTGGCCCTGCAGCTCCGATAGCCTCCCTCATTTTCTCAGAGAAGCTCTTACTCCGGCCCAGCGGTTTCGACTCCGCGTCATAATCTGGATCTGAGTCTGAGTCCGGCTCGGCATCGGAGATTGAATGGAGAGAGCCCAGATCGTCATCTTCAAAAGGTTCCGGATTATCGGCCTTCGGACCATCTATTTGCGTTTCGGCGATGGCGAGGAGGTCGCTATCGTCTAGTCCCAGTTCATCAAACTCCCCGGTTTCGACAACTGGTGTAGAAGCACGTTGAGGTCGAGGGTGTGACTGTGACTGTGACTGTGACTGTGACTGTGACTGTGACTGGGATTGGAGTCTGGCAGTTGTTTGCTTCGGCGGCACGACGGGCCTCATGCGCACTAATCTGGTCGTCCGCTTCTGCCCCTTCTTCTTGAATTTACGTCCTGTGGCGCTGGGATCAGCTGCCTGACTATCAGGCACATCGACGCCTGCTTCCGTTTGGTCGATTTCGATCTCGCGAAGCACATCCCATTCATCTTCTAGTCGTTCCTCTTCCATATCCCGTAGTCCCTGGACAAGCTGTGACAGGCCTTTGCCCACGAACTGCTGAGGTTTCCGGACGGGTAATAGACTCAGTCCGCTTTGTTCAAATCCCGTTAGACCCGATGTGGATCGGCGAAGAAAAGATGGCGTCTCAAGACTTGTAGTGGCAGGATCAGCATTTCGTGCAGGTTGTGGACTTTGTTCCGTGTCATTATTGTTGCCCATAGCCCCCCTCGAAGCCCCATCATCGACAATTGACGAGTATTTCCAAGCCGTTGGAGTCGCAAAGAGAGCAGAAAGCATGTACTTCTTTCCTGATGACGCTGGTGTTCGGTTCACTCTCAGTGTATCTTCCTCCTCTTCTTCTTCCTCCTCCACAATAGTATCCATCGTCTTCCGCCTTTTCGACGGTGTTTGAGCAGCCATACCTTTAAGACTCGCTATCCTGGTCGCAGAGGGCGTAGCGGTGCTACCGCCTGATTCGGAGAGAAGATCGAATAGGCCGAGCGCTTTCCCATCCCGCTGTGGTGTCGGTCCAATGGCTGTCTTAAAGGGGGAGGCTTGCATATGAGTGGAGGGGCTAAATAGCCGCCGTAATACGGATGGGGAATCATAAGGGTCGACATCGGCCGGGTGCGTAGTTTTGGTTTTTGAGGGGGTCTGAAATATGCCCGCGCCGGATTTTCGTGGCGTGGATGTCGTCTGATTATGGCTCTGGGACTGTTCTGGTCCGTTTGGCGAAGAGTGTTTGCGCTTCTTTGATCGCTCTTCCGATTCAATCGATTTTGAATACTTGTCGTTCTTATTGCTCGGTGCTGATTCTTCGGATTTCAGTCGCGAGTATTCTTTGTATTTCGCAGCTAGATTGGGAGCGATTAGCGGGTTTCATAGCCTAGAGACACTGGTAAACACGCAATGAGGCATACGTACCTATCTCGGGGACTTTCTTGATGTCGCCTCGTCCTGCCTTCTTGCCTCCGTTTGCGGCCGCGAATTCCCTCTCCCACTCCTTGAGTTCGGCGCGCAGGGTGGCCGCCTGAGTTGCGATCTCTGAGACAGTAACAGTGGCCATTATTGCATTTCGGACAGATTTGAAAGACAAGAAACAGATATGCGTGGTTTGGTATCGACAAAGGCAGCGTGGTGGTCATGAGGTTCTTCTTGTCGCGTAGAAATCAATTAACGCGTGACGCGGTCCAGGCATTCCACGTCTGCCAAAACGGCGCTCCTACCACCCCACGTCATCGGTTCTACACAAATGCGCTACCCCTGGATTCACGGAGGATATGATGAACGATTTACCGGTAACAAAGAGTGCTGCCGAAACAGAACAATTTGAGACGCTGAATACAAGTTTTCTGTATACTAAACACGTTCACTGGACAGTCTGGCTAACAAGGATAGAACCATCGGGATAACTTCAACATTCCGCAACTGAGACGTTTGATCAGGCTTGAGCCTTGCTGTGACTGGCTGGTCGACAGCTTCAACTCTTTCGATGGCTGCGGCTATCATTCTAGCAATCATACTTTGCACATTCGCTCTTGATCTCCTCACAGCGCATCTTCCACTTCGGGTTGGAGAATACCACACGATCTGCCCATCTTATTTGATCGTGCTTAAGCCGCCGAGCTACGAGGTTTACGGCGCCTCCCATCCAGACAGCATGCGCGTTCGTCTCGGCCTTATCGGCGCCAGTACCAGCAAGCATCATGCGAAGGCCTTTTGACAGAGCAAGCTGAATAACGCCATATCCTCCATTCGATAATAAGACCGGCGTATAGTTGCTCAATATACCCGGATGCGTTCCACAACATTGCGTCTCAGCCCTAAACACCTCAAAGCACCGCCCTCTGCCCCCTCCTCGACAGACCTCCCAGCCACCCCCTACTCGTGCCTATCCTAATCCTCTTCCCCCAAACCCAAAACACGGCAACCACAAGATTATTCGCAACAGCAACCGCACAAAACACCCCCGCAATAACAACAGCGTACCCCCGCTCCTCGATCCAATCCAACAGGTAACTCCCCATCCCAAACGAAATCGCCTGCTTGCCCAGATTCATTGCGATAAGCATCTCACTCACATCTGCAAAGTAACTGTCTACGCTATACGCCAGCGTAAACGTAAAGAAGAAGTACGCGCCGCATTGCGTCATTGCCACGCCTGCGAAGTACCCCGTCCAGTGGAGTTCGTTCTGTGCGGTTAGACCGTACGTTATTAGGCCGGCAGGTGCGAGAAGGATTGCAGGGAGGAGAGCAGGCAAGCGCATCTCGGCCTCCCGGACGTGCGAGTTTTTCTTGGTTAGTTTGGCTGCGATGATGTCGGAGGTTGGTGTGAAGGGGAGGGCGATTGCGAAGCCGAGGATTGTTGCGAGGGCGATTAGGCCGCTGGATGTTTGCGGCCAGTTGTAGGGGGATGTAGTTATTAGGAGCGGGAAGGTGTAGTTGAATGTTAGGGCGCCGAGGCCGATGTAGATTCCTGTCCATATCATGTTAGATAGGCATGTTTTCGTGGGCTGGATGTACGGTACGTACCGTAGCTGGTGATTACCCAGAGCACGGCGGGGACAAGGAAGTACGCGAAGGAGCGCAGTATAGTGCCGAAGAACTCTGCTTCGTGGTCGATGGGTGCATAGGGCTTGAGCGTCTCCATGAAGGATCTCCGTTTCGGGATGGGGTCGGGGCTTGCGTTGGAGGCTGGTAGCGCTTCAACCTCTGTAGCATGCCCTACTTGCTTCTCGTTTTCGTCCTCTTCGAGTGAGCCCCCCGGTCCAGAATTAGGCGTTGATACCACCACAGGCCCCGGTCGATGAAACCGCGACTCTTCGACCAGAAAGAATGCAGCCACGAGCAACGCCCCAGCGAAAGCCGCAACGACATAGAAGAACAGCCGCCAAGAGTATCCGCCAGCAAGCATATAACCAGCATAAAGGGGCCCCGTAGAGCCGAGGCATAAGCAGACTGTTTTCGTCAGCTCATCTTGCTCAGCATGGTGCGTTGGGTAGGGAATGGTGGGGAATACCAGTATAGTACCCAATCCTCTTCCCCCGCTCATGCAGGTAGAAGATATCGTTCACCAGCTGCACGGGAAGAGACTCGCATACTCCACTGCCGAAGCCATGGAAGACTCGAGCAATCATGAGGCCGGTGAAGCTTGTTGCGCGGGAAGCGCCGATGAGGCCGGCGACGAACTATCAACGCGTCTGTTTAAGTTGTCCTGATGGGGCGGGGGATGATGTGGGTGGACATACCATGACCATAGACAAAAGCGTCACAAATCGCCTCCCTAGTTTGAGGTACATCGGGACAAGTACCAACGACCCTATACTACTCGTTAGACGCACACATGCCAGCAAAACATGAGGGTATGGTGTGTATTCTAAGGGCATCAGAGACACACCAAAGCCAAACGCCAAATTTGGATACGAAATCAGCCCCGACGCATCAGCATGCGAGATATCAAACTCCTCACTATAAATTTCAATATAGACGGACGGCCCAACAAGGGAGCAGTTGCCGAGGAAGGAGTATATCGAAACAATGATGAGAATGGAGGTCTTTTTCCAGGTTGGCCACTGTCATCCACTAGTATCAGCATCATGACCGGTACGTTTGACGTGTAGATCAAGAAGAGAATCGTACAAGAAGTGGATCATTGGGATCATCCGTAGGAACAGGATAGAGTGCTTGTCCATAACTGGCATTCGTAGTTTCGCCTTCTGCAGCTGATAGGTCGACGGTCCCTGGGATGGAGCCCTCACGGGCGCGGTTTTGAGGTGGCATTTTGGTGGTATCAGGGGAGAGAGCGTTCAAGTCCAGATTCCTTCTGCTCTGGGGACCGGAGCCCATATCTGGTTATGTATCATCCCGGAACACTCTGCGAACGCCTCTTGCGGGGCCATTTGTGGGACGGTCTGTCATGTCCTGCATTCCCCTCACTGCTCTAGACCCTGCAGCCTGTCAAGGTGAAGTAAGGGGTTGAATCCGGGGTGAGATGTGGAGGCGAGTCTTGCGGGGAAAGTTGGAGTCTGCAGGTGCGAGTCAGTTCAGGCTAAGCAGCATTGAACTGCCTGGCAGCCCCACAGATCAGTCCAAGGAGGAATCCAATAGAAGATGGGTGGCTACGTCTCCAGTCTACGCTTTGGAGCAGAGATTATAGGGCCATGATCATGTATTGGTGCTAGATATATACGTCCAATATCCAGCTTTCCCTTTGTCTAACAGGACCACCTCAGTTCACACAATATATTCACATATCCATCCTAGCATACCATACCAACAACCGACCGGCAGTGTTGCTATACTTGTCGTGCACTTGTATCGTAATCGCTGGTTTGAAACCGCTTAACCCCGGAAGGGAGAGCCGCTGGCCGAAGGGATACCACTGGGGAAACCGCTAGCATCGGGGGCGCCGGAGCTGGCGTCAGGGAAGCCGCTGGGGAAGGGCGAGCCACCGGTGGGAGTAGGAAGACCGGTGGGGAGGCTGCCGAGGCCACCAAGGCCGGAGTCAGAGCCGGAGCTGGAGTCGGAACCGGAGCTCGAATCGTCAGAGCCGCCGCCGAAGAGGCCGCTCAGCCAATCGCCAAAGCCGCCGCTGCTGGAGCTGTCGGAGCTGTCGCTGGAGCCACCGAGGCCGGGGAAACCGGAGGCAGAGGGGGAGTCACCGCCGAGACCACCAAGGCTGGGAAAGCCGGAGGCGGAAGGGGAGTCGCCGCCGAGGCCACCGAACTGGCGCTTGACGTTGATGCTCATGGTGCCGGTGGGAGTAGGGGCGGGAGCTTCACCGGTCTCGCCGGTCTCGCCGCCAAAGCTGGGGATGCCAGAGGGAGCCGCACCCTCGCCGCCAAAGCCACCACCGGGGAAGCCAGAAGCGGAGGGAGCGTCGTCGCCGAAGCTGGGGGTGCCAGATGGAGCGGGAACTTGCTCGTTGGGACCGCCGGGGAAGCTGGGAAAGCCGCTGGGAGTGGCACCGCCAGAGGGGGCAGGGAAGCCACCGAAGCCACCGCCAGGGAAGCCAGAAGGAGTGGCACCGGCAGCAGGAAGGCCGGTAGGGGTAGGGACACTGCCACCCTCACCACCCTCACTACCACCGAAGCCGGGGAAGAAAGGAATGAACTGAGGAGCGGGGAGGGCAAGGGCGCAGCCCAGGATGCCAGCGGATGCAACAAGAGAGTATCTCATTTTGATATTGAAAGAGTGGTTTGAATGTTGGATAGTAATGAAAAGAAAAGGACAGACGTTAAGAGACAACGAATACCAGATTCGGTCAAGTGAGTGATGTTGTGAGTGAGTGAGCGTTTGGCCGGCCGACAAAACAGAAGAGATGGAAGCGGTCTTTATAGCTTTGAACTCGGGAGCAGGACTGGATTGGAAACAGGCCAGGCACACTAGCACAAGGAACGGAAAGTCAAACAGTTACCCACTTGCCATCGGAATAAGCACTTAAGGTTGGGTGCTGGTGAAACTGAAACCTCAAATTAGCTCATACGGGTCCGTAGGGAGGTCGAATCCCGCCATGCCCTGGACCGCATGGCGTGCTCTCTGACCAACAATCCTAGAGACGGCCCCAACATGCCGGAGTCACACTGCCCATGTGCGCATACAGCCGTGGTTGATTGTACGACCAGTTCTTCAACTGCACCTTTGATGGTGAGATGGCCGTGGCGTGGTCTCTCGAGTCTCCGAATATGACCCGCGGTACAAGTCAATTTCAACTAAACCCTGATAGGGTCCAGCAGGGCTGATCATTATCTCTCACTCTTGAGATGGGATTGATTGATTAGATCGTGACTGCGGGCTGACGACGCTGCACTTCCTAGCACTAATCCATCGACGTCCTTCCATGGCTCAATTTTTCGACAGGAGTCCGGAAGCACTGACAATAAGATCGAGGATTGACATGTCCAGAGACTCCGCGGAACAGTCGTGCGGCCATGGCTGTTCGAGGGATCTGGCAGGGCAGGCCTCCCGTGCCCGTGTGGGGAAGGATCTTCGCCGAATGACGAATTCCAACGCTAAGAGTGCTTGTCCGGAGATGTGAAACGCTGCGAGCCATGTTTAATTCGACACGGTTCCAGACCTCGATCGCCGGCTCCGAAACACGCTACAACCTCGGTGGTGATGTGGTCCTGCAGGTGCCCTTTTGACGGTGACTCTCATGAACCCCGGCCGCCCGCGGGCCGCAGCACTGTTGCTACTACTATGCATCCTTTTGATCATTCCTAGAGATAGAGAATAAGACGAATGATGGCAAAAGCTTGGGATGTCTAGTTTGGAGGCGCGGGATTGCCTATTCCAGGGATCAGCACTCAGTCACTGTAGGAAGGATCGTCCACCATCCAGGAACACCTCCAAAACTGGCCGTTGTTTATGTAGATCGCAGAATGTGCAGTGGCTGAGAAGTTTCATCGAGCTTCAAGATCAAGTTCTTTGCTTGTTATGACGACAGACTCAACCACTGCTCAGTTATTGACGCATATGAAGGTCTGGAAAATTCGCTGAATGATTCCATCATCGTCAACACCTACGGTTCCCGAAGGTTGGAGCAAAATCATCTCACCAAGGCACCGGCTCAAAGATCGCTCTCGGCGAGATGCTCCTTGAAGATAAGATTTGCAGGGCTGCATGCGACAGCAAGCTTGCTGGCGTTGTGTTGAGAACCAAATAGAATCACATCCGCAAACGTCACTTGAGTGACCCTTCTTGTAGATAATACTTGAGCCAAATATTTGACGCAGCCTAGACGTCAAATGTCGGGCGCGAATAGATGAGTTCAGCCTCGTCAACCGACTACCGAAGCCCTATGGCTGGTAGTGGGCCTAGTCCACGTCTCAAGTTGTCCTCGGAGTCTACTAATATTGCAGCCCGCCTCTTCGACTGCCATCGGCGCAAAGCCAGATTCAGAATGAGCCGCTGTCAGCATTGAACAAAGCGCATCCAGCCGGGAAAGCTCATACCATCCGGGTCTTAGCTGACAAGTACCGAGACAACTCGGCCGGTCGGCAGTAAAGAGCCGGCCTCGTGATTCTGAGTCTGCCCGTCTCATAGACTGCATGCCCCGGCAACATGTTTCGAATATTGTACAGGTGGAAAATGCTTGAGTTGGTTCAAGCCTTCGACATGCCAAGAAACTGATACACCATAGAGCCGCGTATGCTGTTTGAGATTTAGCAGAGCTCGCGCCCGAAATAAAGTCTAGACTCTAGTCCGCAGTCTAGACAGCGATGTCGCCAGTCCGGGGCATTTGACTAGGGACTCCGCAAAGGTGCAGATAACATTCCCGTGCCGCTGCCAGACTCAGAATGGGACTGTCAAAGATTGATTGCGGCGGGAATCTGAAACTCACGGGCCATCCTTCAGACGGCGAAGACTGCGTAAAGACTAGGGAGGCCTGTCGACTCTCAGCTGTTCAGGGGCAGCAATAATGTTTGTTACTTCCATGCCCCTTTTTGTGCCGTGAAATTAGATGATGGAACAGAGTTGAGGGCGCTGAATTGGAAGTGTGTGTGACGGAGGTGTCCATGGTTGAAGCTGCCACTGTTCAAGGAAACTGTGCATGAATTATGCTTTTTCTAATTACTAAGGCAGCTCATGCATAAATATCCTATCGCCCGATAAGCCGATCTATATACTGCTCGAGAACCAAAAGCATCACGCCTTTTCTGCATCGCAGACTATAGGCCTACGGTGATAATCAATATGCTTACCGGCGGCAGTCTTACTTCCTCAGTTGGTACTCTGTGTCTTAACAGCTCTGCTCATTGCAATGTCTAACGCTCTTCTCCGCAATAAGAAAACGGGTAAACACCCTCTGGCCCTTGCGCCGCATTGCAGAGGGGATGCAGCTTTGAATCCTCGCTGGCGCCTGTCTTCCCGTCAAATTCTTCTTCTAAGGCCTCAGAGCCTCTTTCGCCTCAGATCACTACTAAGACTACTGAACTGAATCAAACCCCCAAATGATGCAATCCCAGCAACCGATGGTGATAATACCCACTCCTCCTTGTCAGCCAATCAGGGTGCTCAGTTTCTCAACCGCGGGGAAATTTTGTGCCTGGCGCTGATACGGAGCTTATCGCCTTTAAAAGCCGAATTTCCCCTCATTCTGGGGATTTTTGACTTTTGCTTGGGTGGCCTGATGGTATAGGACGCGGCCGTGCTGCACTAGATCTACGCTTTTACCGTACAGCGTCCGAGAGCATAGAGATCAGCCAACATGTCTATAAAGCGCGTTGCAGTCATCGGCACAGGCCCCTCCGGCGCAATAGCGGTTGATGCCCTGGTGCAGGAAGGCGCATTCGACGTTATCCGTGTCTTTGAGAGACAGGAGAAGGCCGGTGGGAACTGGTAACTACATTGGCTCTACATACTTATCCACCTACTAACTCCCATGCGCAGGGTCTCACGGAAAACAGAACGAGCAGAACCCCTCGACATCAACAATCTAAGCACTCGGACAGCCGACAAGCCAGTCGAGATCCCGTCTAGTCTACCATGTCATACGCCCTCTGTCAAAGCGCACCGTTATACAGACTCGCACATCTACCCCAACTTGCACACAAATGTTGACGCCAGTGTAATGGAGTACTCCGGGTCCGACGAGAGAATCCCAACAGTCCGCTCGGAGTGGTCAATTGGCCTACATGGCGAGGACACGCCTTTCCGGCATCATGAGGTCATATGCGGGTATGTGGAGAGCTTGCTGGAGAGGAACGGGTACCAGGATCTAGTGCAGTATAATACGACCGTTGAGCGGGCTGTCAAGGACGAAGAGATGGGCGAGTGGGTTTTGACGCTGAGAAAGGCGGGCACGGGGGAAGAGGGCAAGGAGGACTACTGGTGGACGGAGACGTTTGATGCGCTTGTTGTTGCGTCCGGTCACTACCACGTCCCTTATGTCCCATCCATTTCTGGGCTTAAGGAATTTGCGGAGAGATATCCCGGAAACGTGGAGCACGCGAAGCAGTACCGGGGCCCGACGAAGTACAAGGGAAAGGTATATCTCACCCAACACCATCCTGATTGAAGTATACTAAAAATCAAACAGAGGGTCGTAACAATCGGCGCCTCCGTCTCCGCCGCTGACACCGCAGTCTCGCTCATAAACTCCGCCCAAACACCCATCTACTCCGTGACCCGCGGCAAATACAACATCTACTTCGGCGACCACGCATTCAAGCACCCGTCCATCTCCCTCCGCCCTGCAATCTCCCACATCGAGCCCAAGAGCCGAACAGTTCACTTCGAAGACGGCACCTCCGTGTCGGACGTCGACCACCTCATCTTCGGCACAGGATTCACCTGGACCCTCCCGTTCCTCCCTCAGATCCCGATTCGGAATAACCGCGTCCCGGATCTCTATCTGCATGTCTTCCATCAGTCCGATCCAAGCCTTATATTCCTCGGTGCTGTCGGTGCGGGTCTTACATTCAAGGTCTTTGAGTGGCAGGCCGTTGCCGCGGCGAGGGTGTTAGCTGGACGAGCAAAGTTGCCGCCGCTGGAAGAACAGAAGAGGTGGGAAGAAGATCGGATTGCGGTTAAAGGTGACGGCGCTGGTTTCTTGATGGTTAACCCGGATTTCGAGACGTATTTCGAGCAGTTGAGGGCTATTGCTGGCGAGCCGGTTGGCAAGGGAAGGAGGTTGCCGGCGTTTGAGCAGAAGTGGGTGGATGATTTCTCGGCGGGCCATGAGAGGAGAATCCGCATGTGGAAGAGGGCGAATGAGGCTGCTGCTGCTGAGGTTCAGAAGGTGTCTGCCCAACCATAGAGCTGAGTGGCGGTAGATGAATAGCTATACTTCGATGTAAATGTTTAACCCAGGTATATATATGATATAGAGAATATCAAGACTCTGTGTACAAACATTATCTATCCATCTCAAGTCTTGAAATCTATCTATCCCAAACGCCCCAACAACCCTAACAAACCAATACATCCATCTAAATCGTAAATAAGGAAACGCAATCAAATGGTGAAGAAAACCACCAGACCTGTTTGTTTTATCGAGGTTAGAAGCAAGCGCTTGCAACGTCGAGAAATCAAAACTGGGTCTGGGCTCAAAGCAGTGTCCAAAAAGCCAACGCGATCATTAAAGCAAGGGGTATCATCGTCTTGCGACTAAGCACAATAACGCCTTTGTAGACGAGCGCGAGCACGATAACGAGGCAGCACATACACAGCATTGCGAAGATATGAAGAGAAGACCCTGGTGGTTTGAGACTGGTGGCCGGGCTTGAGGCGCCTCTGTTGTACAAGGGTTAGCGAGCTGGGTCTCTAATGGGTGATCCGGAGAGCAAGTTGGGGTGGGCATACCTCACAACAGGCCAGCCGCCGACGTAGTCGAGGTAGTTCCAGCCTAGGCGTGCGTCCTGCGAGTCATTTTGTCAGAGGTAGGACAGTAGCCATGGTGGCGGGAATACGTACGCCCTGGGCGAAGCCAATACTTGCGTTATCTATGGGTATAATGTCAGCAGCTTCTTCCTATGTTTGTGAAGAAGATAACGTACGGTAGTGGTAGTACAAGACATCAGGCTCGTCATTGGCGCCAGGCAAAATGCCCTGCCCGCCCGGGGCATATACCTGCCCATGGCTCGAGCCGTAGACCACTGATCCGCCCCCGTCAATAAGAGTCTTGTTGTCTCGATCAACGAACGGTCCGTGAACGCTCGTCGACCTTCCAACGCGGATGCTATACCTATAAGCCAGTCATGTTAGTCAAGTCTGCCAAGTCTCATGCGATCATATAGGGCACATACTCATTCCCCTTCTTCGGAAACCCCTCCGTATTGAAATGGCAGCACTGCCCGTGACTGAACCAAGTATAGTAGTACGGATCCCTATAGCTCATAAAGCCGCCCTCAATCGGCTTCGGCTTTGTATTCGGTAAAGCGACCAGATGGTCAGCGTCCGGGTGCGTAGCATTCTCAACAGACAGTAGGTCATCGGCGAGGGGAACCTGGAAGATCCCCTCCCAGTAACTCCCATACTGCAGATACGGCTTCCCCGTATCCGGGTCTGCTAAAAACCCCGGGTCAATCGCATTCGACACATTATACGGGTATACATCCGACCCATTCCCCGCTCCAGTATTGATCAGCGCGCCATGATCCGTCCAGTCTCCAGGCTCAGGAGACTCCGAACTTGCAACCCCAATCGCACTATTCCGCTTCCCGTTCTGGCTGATCGAGTAGAAGCAGTACACCCTATCCCTCCACTGCGTCACCATTGGCGCCCATGGTCGCCGCTGGTTCTGCTTCTGGACTGTGCTGTTGCCGTCGAGGACTGTCCCTATATTCTCCCAGGGGCCCGAGAGGCTCGCGGCGCGGAAAATGGGGATGTGTACGCCGCCTCGGAAGTGGTAGAGGCTATTGTTGTAGCGGAGGATGCTGGGGTCGTGGGCGACGGCATGGCCTTCGTTCGGGAGCGGGTAGTGGGTTGTATCGGAGATGTGGGAATTGGTGGTTGGTGATGCAGATGTGAGGGATAGGCATAGGAGCAGCCCTAGCAGGATGAGGGGGACCATTTGGGTCTCGGACGGTTATGAGCGTTGTTGGAGAGTGGGAGTGCTAATTGAGATCGAGGGAGGTCGGGGAGCTATAGGGGGAGATCGGGGGAGATAGCTGGCCATCGTCATAGCTCCAGCTAGGCTCTAGATCCTGGAAGAGAGGAAAATAGATCAGCGATAAGCGTAGATCATTCTCAAACAGGATGATTTACCAACCAGGCAGCGAGATAGGCGCACGGTCGGGGCGCATTGAGATCTCGTAAACAAATCGCCAGCATGACGTTGACGTTCGGTGGAGTGGCCGGACCCTGCAATGAGCACCGAGATAGCCGATGGAGCACATCGACACAACAATGTACTCGAGATCGAAATTGAACTGTACCGAGTACGTTCTTTAGAGATAGGCTTAGAAATAGCATTATCATTAGATCATCTAAGTCAATGTAAATAGCAACCAAGCACAGAACTGCTTGAGCCCTAGCCCAGAATACAAATATATATATATCCGCCACACATCGCCAACCAACCATGCAAAGATCCAAACCGGATCTAAACAATCATCCCACCAAGCAAAACCCCAGCAATAACTGCATATAATCCAACCGCGTTCGGATTGGCGTACAATCCTTGCGCGGCGCCCGTAAACACCGGGTCGGATCCGCCTGTTGTACCAGAGGAACCATTGCTGTCGCTCCCAATGTTTCCATTCCCATCGCTCCCGTCGCCATTTCCAATTCCATTTCCACTACCACCGCTCCCGCTGTTGCTGCCATCGCCATTGCCACTGCCGTTACCATTCCCATCGCCATTGCCGTTACCACCCCCAGTCCCAGGACGACCAGTGGGCGTCCCACTCGGACTTGCGGTCCAGCTCGAACTCGGGCTCGGGCTCTGACGAGACCACCAAGGCGGCGTTGAGCGGGAGCCGGTTGGGCGAGTCGTAGTCGGAGACGATGATGGGGATGTTGATATGCCGGGTGGGCTGGTGAAGGTAACGCTGTCGGTAGGTGAGGCTCCTGGGGGGCTAGTGGTGGAAGCGGGATCTGATGGCCCTGGGAGACTGGTGACGGTCGTTGTTGGGAGAGTCACAGTGGCAGTCGTCTCGTCCTGCGGAATGGCCAAGACGCTCGAGGCGAGGAGGGCGAGGGCGAGGAGCTTGTACATTTTGGACGATTGGAGACTGATTGAGTCCTTGGGTTAGGGCTGGATTGGTTTGCCTAACGAAGGTAAGATGGGAAGTGATTGCGTGCTTGATGGGTTGATTGAAGAGTGAGTAGCTAATGAACTATATAGGCCTTTCACCATCGCATACGGATACAGTAGCCGACCTGATGTCTCATAGTGCTAAAAATACCCCAGCCACAGCTCGTATACCTTGTCCAGTGGCTACCACGTTGCTGACACCGACGGGTTGCCTAAGCCGAGCTCTGAATTGATTTCCTAGAGTGCCTAGTTATTTGCGAGGATGCTTCTTTGTCTTTGCATGTAAGAGCCCCGAATGCCTTGTAAAATTAGAAGGACAGGCAAGAACTCAGACATGTCTTACTAGGGGTAAGCTACCAAAGGTGTAAGCCAGCGTTACTCGAGAACAAAATTGATCCCAGGAGCCACGGGATCTATCTTCTCAAGGGTCTTCTGGATTCGACAGTGTATATAATTGGAAGAACCGAGATTCACTGGAACAGCAGGTCCAGCCTTGGCTTCCCATACTAGAATAATTACCCGATGAGACAACTGCACATCATGAGGCCTCCGAATACATATGATATACAGATTGGTGGCCACTAGACGAGATGGTTTCAGCCACGCGAAGCCTAAATAACACCAGGACTTAGAACCACCACAGTAGCATAGAACGGGATGTTGAGCGATGAAGCCGCGCCTGCGAAATGGAGGCCATCGATAGCGGCCGACTTAGTCGAAGAGTTGCTTGACGGAGAAGGGTGGAAAGGGGCCCAAGTCTAATCCGCAATTATTGTGAATTAGTAAGTCCAGCGGATGTCCATGGAGTGTTCCTAGGAGTGTGCGCGGACTCCATGTCGAGTCGGTGATGCTGGATGGCGAAATAGTAAGCCCAATTCGCGCTCAACCACTGGCTCCAAATACAGCCAAGCGTGAAAACAACGTGTTCGATGCGGGGAGCTTGAATTCGAGACAAGGTCTCCAGTATTCCACATAAGCTCGCAAGAGTATGATAGCCGTGACCTCGAGCTCAGAACTCGTGTGCTGGGTAAAGAGCGCGGATGTGTTTGCGACGAGGCTTGCACCACACACGCACTCATCAGGTCATTTGACATGGCCGCTGTGACAACTGACTTGGTCATGCTATTCAAAAGCGAACCCTGCCATATCTCCCCAGTCAAAAGCACCCAAATAAGGGTCCAAGTCAGTAGACGCCTAGTACGTATCAGTAACAGTAGCAGCTAATCATCCAGAGAAACGCACCGTCAGACCAAAATCCTCCGGCATAGGCAGGTTGATCTCAGGAACAAACTGCTGGGGTACGTTCAAGTTGGGCACCTAAGCCATAACGATGTTAGCACCATGCCCCTGCATAGTGAGGACAGTTAGGGTACAGACCTGATTAGTTTTAAAGCTTCCCATACCCAGCTCACCCAAATGAGCACAATTCGCGTGTCGCGTGAAGAGCGTTTGCGCAAACAATATGACCCGCTCGACAACCTCCTGCTTATAGATGGTCGCCTGCACCGCCCACATCTTGGCTTTGACTAGAGCCAGGATGGTAGACATGAAGAAGTATTCCTTTGCACCCTTGATTACGAGTAAGAGACGACTCTCCATGCAAGCTAGGGCCACCTCGACGAGCGATATCAGAGATTCTGGAAGACCCGGGAGTGTGTGAATAAGGGAAAGACCAGGGTTCGCGGCTCCCTCGTGTAGTAACTGGCAGATCGAGCAGTAAGCTTGGACGGTCCAGTCTCCAAGGTTGCATAGAGATAAAGACCGCGACGTCTCCTGCAGTCGTTTCTGAGTCGATAGTATCATAGTCACTATTTCCAGTCGCGCCCGGGATGAAGGGGCGAAGAGCGGCTCTCGGGGCGCCTCGATTGCGAATGGTGTGTGGATTGACAAGAGGCTGAGGCCGATCTTGTTCTCTAGCATGGCTTTTGTCAGGGCAATCTTGTCCGCTGTTTTGATATGGCCGAGTTCAGGCATCTTCCAATTCGGTATCCTCGACATATGCCGGTTCAGTTCCCAGTCTAGTCGAAGGATATCCTCATAGCGGCATCTGATCCGCGGAGAGTGCATCAAATGGCAAACCTTTAGCCGTAAAGGAAGAGACTGTGTCAGAATTGTCTGGAAAGAGCAGTCCGTAAAGTCTTCTAATGATCGCTCTGTGGGTAGCTCTTCCACGGCTTCGTGTAGGTCAATGTCGTTGACATTCAAAGGGGTTGCCGTGTCATAGTCCGACTCCTGTACGGATGGGGGCATGCCCCGTTCAAAGGATACCTGGAGGTCCAGCTCCAGAATGGTGATCCATATGCGCCTTCGCATTTCCTGGTTAAATGGCGAGATCTTGGTATACAGGCTAGTGTCTCGATGATAACCGGCTAGCATGGCCTGCTTCACGAGAGTTGCGGTGGTGAGCCACGCTTTGCTCCGACCCATCCCGAGGCTCTTCTGAGCGGTTACTAGAAGGATGTGCAACCGAAGGATCACGATATCTGATCTCTTGATGTGGGCAGTCTCAATCCACTTATCTGCATGCTTAACCCAGTTGATGGCGGTATAACAATCAAGGCTGGATCCATTCTTTAATTCGAGAGTGGCGAAATCTGCAAGGTTCCAAGCGCAAGCAAGGACGAGGAGCAGCTGCACAACAAATGCTGGAGACACCACGGCCGGGTTGTGCTTCTGGTCCCAGAACGCTTCCAATTCTTTCAAAAACGTGGGAATATGGAGTATTCTATGCGTCGACTCGACATGAGTGAGATATAGAACGACTAGCTCGTCGACGGTGTCTCTAGAAGGCAACAACGCAATCAAAGACGGCGTGTCTAGATTCTGAACAGCCTCGTTTAATATCTTTTTCTTCCAGAGGCCCCTCGTAACCCTCGTTAGGTCGAACCGGAGAGCAGATAAATGAGGACTGGCGAGTCGGATTTCTTCTGCGAATGATCTGAGGTCCGGAAACTGGGCCAGTTAGCGATGTATCTAACTTGTGCTTAACCAACATACCTGCGCAATGAGGTTTGCGAAGATGCCGGACCCATTGTACCGGGTCTTTGTATCCTTTCCTCGTATCATGATTCGAGGCGAAAGATCTAGCTGCTGCGACGGCGAAACCGGAGGCTCATCGTCCTGCACCGAGTCCGCACGCGAGTCCTGGTTGGAAGGATGGTGTCGATGACGGTGCAATAGCTCAGTATTCATGAAGTCCTGGTTGACAGCAGCCTTCGGGGCGCCCAAGACAGTTTCGAGAAACCGATCACGCTTTTCGCCAGGTGTAGGGTTCGTATTCGTCAAATTTGTCAGTTGAGGCCGAGAGGAGCTTATCCCCGAGTCTGGGGTCGGGTGGGCAACCGGCCGATCGACCAACTGCATCTGACTCTGTGTGCTAGCCGGGGCTGAAGCTCCAGATCGCTCGGCAAAGGACGAATCCACAGTGCTTGGCTGCTGCCATAGAAAGCCATCTTCGTACGAGCACTTGGCGGGCGCTTTGCTCTTCAGGCACCGGCCGCAGGTCGGATACTCGCGGTCACATTTCAGTTTTCGGCTGCGACACTGCGAGCAGGCTATTGTTCGCCTTCTTCTCTTCCGGATGCGCTGCTCGGGGGGCTGAATGTCGGCCATCCTTGGCTTTGATTCGGAATTGACATTCCAGAGGGTCTCCTGTCGGGGTTTTGAGGGAGTCCAGGACTCCAGAGTTCTGACTTGCGCGGCTTACGTGTCGGGCCGGTCCTCTTAGCCTGTTCGGGCAATACCGTCCGCTCTTCCGTCTTCCATGAGACACTTGAGCCTCGAGCGACATAAAACTTATAGAGAAGCAGTATGAAACGTTTGCTCTGGTGATGTTAGCCAGAGATATGATTTCTGACTTAAAGTGTGCCCAAACGCCTTTCACACGTGATTATCTCCGACGGACCTATTTATGGCTATAAAATACCCATAAGGGAGCCTCAGGCTGGATCTACTTCCTACCTATCCATCTGACGAAAATGAGTGAGAATTATGCTGTGTCTAGTAGCTTGTCTTGTGCTTGCTGGAAAACCGGAGACAAGAACGCCTTGTACTGCATAGTCCGCTGTACAGTGCCGAGAGCAAGGACCAAGTCACAGTGAGCCATATCTGCATAATAGGCAGGTAGAACGTCGGAAAATAACAAAACAGACGGGACTGGAACTAACGACCTGAGCTAGGTAGATAAATTTCCTATACGTGCTCCAAAAGCCAGACCAATCCTAGGCCGGAGTATACTCGGTACCTTCTTTCGGCCCTCGGGGATAATCCTCGGGAAATTCGGGGTGCTATCTCCGAGGCCGGGGAACGGGGTATATAGCTGACGCTCACCACAACTTCATTCCGTCCAACGAATCTTCCCAGTATCGATACCCTATTCAAGACCGCCTGGTCCTACAGTTGCCTAGAGTCAGCACAATGCTTCGCTCCTTTCTCTCAATAACCGGCCTCCAACGCAATGACTACATTTTTCCAACCGTTGACCCCAAACAAGACGGCCCAGACTGCAAGAAAGACTGCGCAGACTGCACAGTAAACCTCCCAGAAAAAGTCAAGATCGAAGAATCGCGACCGCTCTACGGTCATATTAAGCAGTTTCATACCCACGTCCTAGTTGCGACGGGGAGGTCAGATTGGAAGCAGCATGTGGAGCATGAGCGAGGGAGTTTGATGGAGGCTTTTGATGGAGCTTCTTCTCAGCACGGTGTGAGTGTCCAAAGTCTCTCTATCATGGCAGAACAAGCTAATTATATAGTAGCGCATGATGATCTCTGCGTCAAATCTGAGATCTCCAGATTTCAGTGGGGATGAGACTAAAGAAGGCAACGGGACCACCGTTCTTCTTCTCCCATCATTTACATTCGTCGACGCCGTGAGTCCTGGGGATGTTAAGGAGGTCATCAACCACTTCATCGACGCGCCATTATCACACCCGTCGAAGACAATCTCACCACCGCCCGACTTCCGACTTAAATCTCGACCATGCGAATACGACCATGTCGTGCTCCTCTGCTCACACAAACGGCGCGATGCACGATGCGGCATTACAGCACCCTTGATCAAAAAAGAGCTTGAGAGGCATCTCCGGCCACACGGCCTGTATCGCGACGCAGACGACGAACGGCCTGGTGGCGTAGGGATCTTCTTTGTTTCCCATGTTGGCGGCCACAAGTTCTCGGCCAACGTGCTGATCTACCGTAAGAAGGAACAGCAGATGATTTGGCTGGCGAGGGTTCGGCCTGAGCATTGTGAAGGGGTTGTAAACTACACACTCCTGCAGGGGAAGGTTGTGCATCCTGATTCCCAGCTGCGAGGAGGCTTTGACCGGTTGAAGGGGTTGACGAGTTGGTAAGATAGACATTGTTTACTGTATGTATCATTATACCAAGTCACAAGGCATCGTCCTGTTTATGAGCTGGTTAGATCTGCCAATGTTTGCGGCAAATCCGTCCAAGTTGTAGACTTCAAGCGCAGGGATATTAGATCTTGATTTCGAACCAACGTCATAATAATGGCAGTATTGATATATCAGTCGGGATATTAGCTCCAAGGGCCCCGGCCCCGGCGTCGGCTCTTTCCTTCCTAATCGGGCATAACGGCGGAGATAAGGGCATCCCATCCGTCTACGTCACTCTCTCTCTCTCTCTCTCCATCTCCTTTGACCGTCGTTGATTCCATTTTCACAGCATCAGGAGACAACATGTCTTCATGGAGTCTGTCATAGAGAGACCAGGAAAGCGACGCAGACGGCCTAAAGTCTCATGCAGGCTTTGCCGCTTACGCAAAATTAAATGCGATCGAGGACGACCCTGCAGTAACTGCTTGCGTTCCAGAACCGAGAAATGTATCTATGAAGACCTTGGATCCTCTTCAGTCTCGTCCGGGCAGCAGCTTACTCCGCCAGCTGAATCTCTGAGTTCAGCAACTGGTGCATTGGGAACGCCCATCCACCCATGCTCGCTGAGAGCCGAGTCTAGTCCAGATGATGAAACAACGAGGTTGAGGTCAAAGATTCATCAGCTTGAAGAGCAGCTGGCGAAGATAACACGTCCCGCCCATGCTTCGTACCCAGACATCGAAGCAACGAGCTCCCACATAAGCGGCACATTCCACCTTCATTACAAGACGGATCCGGAACACCGTGAGCCAATTGCCTGTGGTTTCAGCCTCAAGACACGCTTACTCGGCCAAAGTCACTGGGCTGTTAGTATAGCCTACTCGGCTCGTGACTTGTTCAAATTTGTTGAGCTCTATATACATGAGTTTTCCGACGCCTGTGCTGGCATAGAGAAATGCAAAGCCCTGGCCAGGCGCATCAAAGCACAACGGACACCTCCTTGGCCCCCTATGCCTTCCACATTACCTTCACGACTCATTTGTGACACATTAGTCGATCGCTATCTTCGAAGAACCGAGTCCCTGTACCGAATTCTCCACATCCCTACTTTCTATAAGAAATATGAAAAGCTCTGGAGCAGCGAAAGGGAGCAAGATCTAGACTTTGTAAAACAGCTCAAGCTTGTTCTTGCAATAGGCGCAATCACATACGACGATCAGTTCTCGCTACGGACCTCAGCTACGCAGTGGATATATGAAGCCCAGGTATGGATGTCTGGACCAAAGTACAAAGCGAGACTCAACATCGAGGCCATGCAAACAAACCTGCTCTTGTTAATTGCCCAGGAGCAAGTGAGAGTTGGCGGGGATGTGGCATGGGTCTCGGCTGGGGCTTTGCTCAGAAAGGCCATTTACATGGGTCTCCATAGGGACCCAAGCCACCTTCCCCAGAGAACGGTATTTGTCGCCGAGATGTATCGGCGACTCTGGAATACCATACTTGAGATCAATCTTCAGTCAAGTCTGTCCTATGGCTGCGCTCCTTTAATCTCACTTTCCGACTTTGACGCCGTCCCTCCCGGTAATTTTGACGATGAGCAGCTTGAGGATGAAGAGCCTATATCGAAGCCTGATTACGAGACAACCCAATCATCCTTTGCAATAGCACTCCGGAGGACTTTGCCTCAACGTCTGGCGGTCGTCAAGTTCTTAAATGACCTTGATTCCCCGGGAACTTACAAGCAGACTCTCCAGCTCGATGCTGAACTGCGCGCGGCATATCGAGAGCTATGCCAGACTCTGCGAAATTTCACTGATTCATCTGCAAGTCCGCTATCCTTCCAACACCAAATTGAGATGGTCGACTTTCTTATGCAACGCTATTTCTCCGCTCTTCATGCTCCGTACCATGGCCCGTCACTTCACGGAACAACCTACGCCTTTTCACGAAGATCAGTCGTCGACTCTTCGCTGAAGATATGGAGAGCCGCGTGCCTTCCTACATCTGGCTTGTCGAACGGAATTGTGAATCCTGATATATTTCCCGATAACGATAAGGATGGCGGCCTTCCACGCCTAATTTCATGCAGCTCGGGCTTCTACCCAACCGCCGTAAGCCAAGCAGCGGTCATACTCATCATGGAACTTCGAGCCCAATTACAGGAGGATGCTGGCCTAAACCCCTTTCCCCTGCGCCCAGACCTTCTTTCTGTGCTAGACGACGCAAAAGCGTGGTGTGTGAGGGTTATCGAAGCTGGTGAGACAAATGTCAAGGGGTACCTGCTTATTAGTCTTGTCGTGGCGCAAGTCAAGGGAATGATTGACGGGCTTAAGGATGGCGACAGACGCATGAATGACGTGCTGATTAGCGCCGTGGAAGATGTCGGGAAGGTGTGCTTGCCGGTTTTGGAAAGGACGGTCAAGAGCCTCGATGAGGATCAGGTGCCAGGGGTGAATGTTGATATACCGGTTGACACAATGTCGAACTGGGACCCTCTGGTAAGTAACCCCCTCGACGAATCTTCCGGCGGCTTACCGCTTTAGACATCGCATCCAGGTGACCTGTTTAATTTTGAAGGCACCGGCCCCATGAGCTCTATGTTCGATGATTATTTCAACCTGGGAGGGGATGATTCAGGACTGGGAGTAGATTTCACCCTTTAGTGTAATAAACCCATTTGTTCAAGTTTGGATAATGCCGAGCGCACCACGTTGGACAATTGCAAACGTACCTCAATCCAAAAGTTTACTTTACTAGGTGCTTTAGTAGGTCGACACGCAGGTCTGTATTCTATCTACTTTACTGGAGGCCGTGGGAAAGCTCTCACCTTGCAGCTGGAGTTTTTACTTAGACCTGAAATCATTGCCCGCGATTCTTATACGTCCGTCGTAAGGCACATAAGCTTCTCAATTGCCGCAAGCATGTTTTAGAGAGAAGCTTGATCATCTGTACACGCTTCCCTCCTGTTGAACAATGCCTTGGTGTTGACGCCTTAGGCCTCAGGCACAAACGACAAAGCCCTAACTCAGTCCCACAGACACCGCAGTCTCGAATTCTGAAGGACAGAGCTCATGTTTCCTCGTTCTAGCCTTCTGATTACATCAACCCTGGATTATCTCAAACTTGTTTTAAGGCAATCACTGGGCTGTAGCACTGATCAGTCAACCTTGTACGCCGGCGAAGACATCGACCATTCACCCTACCTCATTATCAAAAGCAGAACTGCCAAAATGGGAGTTGTGTACAAATTGAGCTTGAGGCTAGGAGCTATCCTTGATTCACATGCATTGCAATAATCCCAAGTGGGTAGGCAAACCGGTATCTCGTCGGCGAAGTATATCCAAATGGGATGGTAAACCATGCTGGGCGCTTGCAGTTTCTGCAGCTCTCAAACAATCCAGTAAGTGATCTTTCAGGTATTCCCATGTTAGGCGTACCCGAGTACGAAAGAGGCATTGGCTGTGTCCAAGGAATGGCAGGTATTCTAGCAACACAGCCCGTTCCTATCCATGCGGGCTGACTGGAACCATATCGAAACTAGCCGAGGAACCTTCCATTCAACACGTTTGCCTGTGGACTTTGAGTTGCAAAGAGGCCTTTCGACTTCGATCTCATGCTGTGGCTAAATCAAGGACAAGCCACAGCCTCAAGGGCTATTCTATGCCGGATCCCTGGCTAAAGGAGCTGACAAGCCCGCCAATAGTCCGGTCTCTGTGTATATATATATTATCTCTCTGCTCCCTTTCCAGTGCGTACGCAGTAAGTGCTCGTCGGATCTGCTTCTTACTCTCGTAGACCATGGGCCTCAAACAATGGCGTCTTTCGTCCAGTGGTCGTGAGTGGCGCTTAAACTCAGGCGGGATTGCGATTTGATTATGGCGAGGACGTCTCGGATAGAGGTCAAGCTAACAGTCAAATGAGGTCGCCAGGCCGAAGTTCCTTGCTCCCATGGCCGCTATGACATTGATTTGTGGCCTGCTTGATGCCATAAGGTACGTTGTGTCGCGGCCGGAGATGCTTTGGGAAGAGCGCGTCTGGCAGGTTGGGGGACAAATTAGTTTGGAAGATACCGAGATGATGCAGACAGACTATTACTGTGCTCACTATCGCCAGTGACGATGTTCGTCAGTAAAATAGGCACTGACAACCATGGCAATTGTAGGGGTGACCAGTCAAGGATAGATAGGATCACTCAAGATTTACTGATAGAATGAAGCGAGTGAACGTATATGCACTGAACCCTAGACGCCTTGCACACGCGACCAGATCCTATAGCAGGGTGAGATCTTCCTATAGACCTATAGTGGTACAGGAGCCAGTGCAGACCGCCACCAAAGAGAACCATCTTAAGTATGTACAGAGAAGAAAAAGAACACCAGAGCCTAACAGCGATCGTGAACCAAACCAGACGCAGACGGAAGTATGCTAGATATAAACATGAATAAGGAGATTGGGAAAGATTGCACCAGAGGGCGAGAGATGGTTATAGAGGTATGTAGGTAGCGAGGGAAAGAGTAAGGGTCATGATCCGGAGTCGACCTGATGTTAGGGCAGCCCCGCGCGAAGTTCGCCTGCAAAGCCGCGCAGGGGTTGGCTTCGTCTCACAGTCAACAGTGCAAAGACTGGAAGCGCCCTTGCAGGTGGGTTCACGGCCGAGACCGGGCCGGTGTTTTGTCTTTACATCGTCGAGGAGGATTTGTTTTGTTTTTTATTTAGCAGCAAGGGATGTTACTGCACGGGCTGGTAGCCCCCATTCCTCCATTCGCTCTGCTTCCAGTTGCCTTGGTAGGTGTTCATCTCATTGCGCTCGGATTCGAACTTGGCGTCGTCAAGGGCGTGCTCGAGACGGCCCTTCTTGCGCTGGCGGATGAAGAAGAAGATAAACAGGGCGAGCAGAACCGCTCCGGCAGCGGCGGCTCCCACGTAAACACCGGCTTTGGCACCCGAAGGCAGATCGTCCCATTTCTCCGACAGCGACTTGGGCTTGGGCTTGTTGATCTCCTCGGAGGCGGTAGAGTTACCCCTGCGACATTAGTATTTGGAAACAAACATTGGACGGTAAGAAGCTCACTTGATAACGTTGATGCTCTCCCAGGTGCCAGACTTGTCACCATACTCATACTCCTTCCCACTGTTGAAGTCGTGCACGCGCACATCCTTAACAGTCATCGTGTACGGGCCTGCATCGTAATCGACTTCACCCCCAGCCCACTCAATCGTACCCTGGGCGTTGCTGGGATCACCGGCGGGCCAGATACCGATGCGTACATTGCAGGGCGTTTGCGGATAGGTGCTTCCAGTGCTGTTCGTAGTTTCATCGTAGGTAAGTGTCCGTAGGAGCTCGCCATCCACCCACCATTCCAGCTTCTCCGATGTCCAGTAGGTGGTGTAGTTGTGGAATTCCGTGTCGGCGTTGTCAACATAGAAGAATTTACCGTTCTTGTAGTTCGTAACTCCCTGGCTGTAGTAATTGGTCTGGATTTCCGTCGTGTTGTATCCGACCCATTCCCAGTCAATCTCATCTAGGTCATCCGACTGCAGGACCACGCTACTAACAATACCGCCGCCCTTGGCCATCTTGGCGTGGAATTCGAGAATACCAAAGAAGATGTAGAAGGTGGACTGGATAGTGGGCGACTGGAGTTTCTTCGCGATTGTAAATTCAGCGCCATCCTCGGTGTAGTTGATCTCGCCATTCGTCACGTTCCAAATCTGGTCGTCAAGGGTCTCATTGAAGGCCCAGGTGTAGTTTGTTCCGAGCGCTGGGTTGGGGTCGCAAGTCTGGTTGGTGGGATTGCAGTGCGTCCACGTTTGTGCGACGACAGGGGCGATAGAGGCCGCTAGAAGGGCCAGGTTTCGAAAGAGTGTCATGTTGAGCTCGTTGATTGTGGGCTAGCTAAAGAGCGTGGTTCGGCAGGTGCAGATGCCGATATAAGGCAATAAAGGGGCGGAGGGCCCGGAAGGAGTGACGGTTGGTGGGAGGAAAGAACGGACGTGCGGTTGAAACGCACGAGGATGGGATTGAGCCCAGTCAACGAGGAGAGGGAGGAGATGATGAGGTCGAAGATCGAGGGTCGAGGATAACGAGGAGGGAAGTTGGAGAAGAAGAGGGCGGGCAGAGTCTGAGAAAGGAGGCTAAGCCCGTTGAGAGTTGAGACGGGGCCATTCTGTCTGATGATTTCATTGATATTTTTACCCAGCGCCTCCGCCTATCAGGCCGGACTGGAAACTCTTTGTTTGTTTCTGCAGCGGATGGCGTTCAGGGGTGCGCCTAAACAGGAAGCTACCCCAAGAGCTAATCCTATCTGGGCTACCTTCAGGGACTTGGCTCTGCGCTAGTCTCATTCCAGCCGGCACACGGTGGATCAGCGGGGTCTGTGACTGCCCGCCTTCCAATCAATTATCAGACTGGCTGACTCAGGGCTCAGGTACGCGACTCCTGTCTGCCCTGTCGGGACTTTCTCTGTCTTTTCTTGTCGTGCAAGGTTCCATTGGTGTGAAGCTCTGGAAGGGAAAAAAGGCAGCTATCCAATGCAGTTACTGATTCAAAATGAAAGACATCAAGGTGAAACATGTGGGTTACAGGCTCCTCGGGGTACAACCCGTACGGGGGCGTGATTGGCCCGATAACAGCTGGCTCAGGAGTCCACAGGGTGAGTCCACCGTTCCTGGCCCGTTTTTGCCAACTTCCAAGCATCTAAGATGCTGAGGTTTTTATAACTGTCGTCCGCCAATGCACGGCAGTGGACTCTCGGCACCCGCGGGCCTCGTAACCCTCTCGAAGTCGGCCAACGTCTTGAGTCATTGACGGCCAAGTCCTCCCTCCTGAAGCTCCCCGAGGTCGGCGAGTTGACCAGTTCGAAAGCGAGCCGGATGGTGGCAATTAGATAGCTCGATCTAATTGCCGATGGAGATTGGAATGGAGGCGGTGTTGATCCCACTGTCGATCCGTGGGAGATTTCTGCTCGCAGTTCGCCCATCACTTGAACTGCTGGGGCCGAAATACCAAATTGCCCTTGCAGCGCTGTATCACACGCTGCATGTCGAGATAAGCTTGGGTCTGGAACCAGGAGCGCAGCTGTAAGCACAGGAACCCCTGTCGTTGACAAGTAACAAAGGACTGTGGCTGTCCAGTCAAGAATTCAAGACTCTTGACTGTCTAGCCGCTTGTGTCTTAGTTGGTCCACCGTCTCACTGGCTTTGTGAGACTGAGTAGGGGTGCGGTCCGACATATGTCTGACCGTCTGTGACCACCTAAATGACCAGTGTGACGGTCACAGCGAAACAAGACTGATAGATCGGCGCTTGGCATACCTTAAAGGGTCTAGCTCCCGTAGCATAAAAAAGCGCTAGTCCCAATCTAGAAGCCTATTAGCTAGGCAGGGCGCCTGATTATTGGTTAGTACTAACCCACTTTTAGTCACGTGTATGTCGTCTCTGACCGTCATAAAAAACATGGACATTTCGCTGTGTCGGTCACAGTCCGTTTTGTGACGACATTTTAACATCCCTAAGACTGAGACCTGACTCAGTCAACATCTTAATTCTCAAGTCACCGTCCAGTTCCACTGTCCAGGAGTGATTGTTTCACCTGCATACTCCTTGCAGTTGGAAGTCAACAATGTATCTAGCCGCCCGCTGTCAGTCAGGCCGGATTGATATGCTGAAAATGCGTCTCACTCATGATATACCTGGGTCCCTGCATAGTCCTGTGTCCCTCGCCTGGAACCTGTTACCCCTTTTCTTTGACTTCAAGATCTCAGTCTAGGAGATGAGAATTATAATAATCTTCGGTTCATCCGACGCAAGTCATTTTTTTCTCAATTGAGATCGAGCCAAAAATAGCCGATTATCCACTCGGCTTATATTTTACTTTCCACCGTCAGCGCACGAGGCTGTCCTGGGCTCCGACTTTGACATCCCGTTCACGGGCCTTTTGCGCTTGGCCGTCTCTCGGAGGTTCTATATTTACCAGTTTGATGCGGACTGTATGCAGGTCACAGGATGGTTACTGTCGGTCCATTCGGATTCCTGCCTCTTCATGCCACTGCGCTGCACGTCAACGCTCTGAGCATTACTCCTAAGAGACCGTCCGCGAAACCGTCTGCGTCACCAGCAGGAGTAGTACAGTAGTACACGCGGAGGGCATGCCATACTCAATGACGTAGTGCATTCAGATCTCGACATGACCAGGGCTGGGCGGCACGTCCCCTTCCTCCCAGACAACTTGTTCGCTTCCAAGATCGAACTCTATCACTCCGCCAGACTGCAAAACATCCCCATGTTGAAACCAGTTCTTCTTCCAATCTGCCCCGTTGATTTTGACGCTCTGCACGTAAAACCCGTCCTCCAACCCTGTAGCTCGAATCCGTAGCGTTTCATTCCCGTTGATCGTCATGTTCAAATCCTTGAACGACGGCGAGCCAAGCAGGTACACATCCGTTGTCACGATGGGGTAGATCCCTAATATTGACCAGAGGAGCCAGGTGTTCATTGCCCCGGCGTCTGAGTTTCCTGGAATGCCGGAAGGACCGTCGTGGAAGCTGTAGATATATTGTTAGTTGGTTTATCCGGTGATCCCTTGAATTGCTCAGTTCCTCAGAGGAAGGTGTATGGAAGGGTCACGGACTACTGATAAGCGAGCTCTTTCGTCCTCTGGACAGATTTGCATTGCTTGTTGATGTAGTTATAGAGATAAGGCGTAGCAAAATCGGGCTCGTTTCTAAGTCAGACTATCAGTTTAGGTTCACATTGGTTTCCATTAACACTCAGATGGGCCAGGGTCAGTACCCGATGTTCATAAGAGTTGTTATCCCTGCCCCGTTAGGACCAAGGGCTTGTACCGAGGTGTTTGGTTTAAACTACGAAGTTAGTTTTTTCATTCAAAAGCATGAGATCAATATGGTACCATCAAGTCAAGCCGTGACTCAAACATCTGAGGACCGCCCATGAAGTCAATTAGGGTTTGCATGTCGTGTGGGATCACGAACGAGTATTCTGAAGCCGTATGTGAGTATCACACCATGTCTTGCTTCAAGGAAGAGGAGGCAAATCCAGGATAGCTTACCCCAAGGAACCGCCTCGTAGGTGTAGTCGCTCCACTCGCACCCATAACAATATAGCGGATCATATCCCGATTCATTGAAACTACCATTGGAGAATTTCGGGGCGAGAAATCCATTGAAATCAAGACTCTTCACGTTCGGATTCCATATTTCCTGCCACCCCGCTGAGCGACGAAGATATTTCTCCTGGTCACCCGGCATTTCACCCGCCGCGACCTGGCTGATGGCAAAGTCATTGAGACTATACTCCACTGTACGAGAAATGCAGCGCGTACTTCGGTCTTTAGAGACGTAGCCGAGTTCGAGCCAGTCAAGTAGGGCTCCTCGACCTTCTTTAGTACTTGCGGTGTAGTCAGTCGGATCATGTGTGTTGTACGGCACGACCTCCGCGTTTGTCTTCATGGCGGCATACCCGTCTGTCCAGTTAATTGCGCCACGGAGGCCTTTAACGTACGCATCTGCTAGGACATTGTCGGCATTTGAACCGCCCTGAACGAGACCGTTCCAGTTCCCAGAGCGGCCGTCGGGGAGGAATCCTTGATGCCTTTCTTTGTTAGCCAATCCCTCGCTTGATTTGGGAGCAGACACACCTCCAGATGTCGATGAGTCCGCGGATCATCGACTCGTAGTATACAGGTTGGAAGATGTGGTAGAAGCTAACGGTGCAGCGGAATATGTCCCCTGATATAGTCAGTAAGCTGCGAGATAACGGTTATGGGGGGCTGACAAAGAGTGTAGAAATCATCCCACGAGGGCTCGTCCGATTCCCAGAGCGGATTCTCACCAGTCCTGTCGGATGGCATCAGGTGAATAAAGTAGAGAGAGCTATACAGCAGCCGCACATTTGTCAGGTTGGCCGTATCATCTAGCGGAACTTGAATCTTGCTAAAGACATCATCGTTCCACACTTGAACGGTAGAGTCTACCGTGTCGTTGAGCCTCCAAGAGGGAATCTCAGAGCGGATATACAATTGCGCCTTTTCAACGGAAATAAAGGAGATCCCTATCCTTGAGGTAATGCTCAATTGTTCGTCCACGTCCCAAGTAAATGTTCCGCCCACACGATCATTCATCGGTCCCGAGGTCGCAGTGTTTGTCAAGTTATCGTAGATTGCGAAACTTGGCCGGCCATTTGCAAGGCCTTGGTACCCTCGCATCGGATCGGTGTTTGGCCCTCTGAATAATCGGGCGGCTTCCGGTGCCATATCGAACTCTCCGTAGAAGTACACAGTAAACGGTGCGCCTGCATGATTAGCATAGACCTGGGACCTGGTGGGCGTCTATCTTATATACCGTTATTCCAGCCTCCTACATATGTCCCGTAACCAGACCAAGCCTGCCCATTATCGTGGACTTGGATCTCTCCACCAATGTAGAATTGACTGTTTGGATCATTCGGTGATCCGGGAAGATACTGAGAACAAGTCAGCCCCAGCTTGGTGCCAAATTTAATGGCTTGCTTACATGAGAGACATCAACCAGGACATGTTTCTCCCCGGCAGGAAAGTTGTACTGAATGATACCGGCGTGACGGGAGCCCGATAGTTCTATCTGAACGCCGTTCTGCAGTTGCGTCTTGAAGTATCCTACACTCGCCGTATCATGACCGACCTGAGCAGGATAAGCTGGTGGAAACAAAGATGTGTTACGTGGCGAGTACCCTTGGTTGACTATATGTCAGGTTGTCAAGTATGTTTACGGGCGTGTCGATGGACGTCAAGGGCATTTGTGGAATGATTCCATACTTCGGAGCGCCGCCAGTGCCGCTTTCATGCATCATCGCTAGACCCAGTCAAAAGAGTCTCTCAAGCAGCCCCAAGACATACTTATCGCTGTTACGTTGCCATCTGGAGACCAGCCTCCATTCAGCACAGCCGTGCTCCAGTTCGCCGCTGTAGTGTCGATTCCAACCTTGACTACTCCAAAGGGACGAGCACCGCCGACGAAGATGTCGCCCCCTCCATAGCCTTGCCCTGGAAAGGGGCCTTCAGACCCAATAAAAGGATTCACATATTGAGAATAGTCCACTTGTGCAATAACAGCTAGAGTCAGGCTCAAGAGCCAAAGGTATCTGAGCGACATTAGGTACCGCATGTTTAGATACTTTGGAAAGACATGCGCTCACCATGAGGAGACGGGATATTTAAATCCCAGCTCCGCATTATGATGTTCCTTCCCCTCAGCAGAGTAACCGACGTAGTACCAGTACTAGCACATAAAGTAAATGTGCGCATTGCGGAGTGACCAAACATAAAGAAGCACCAGGCCGATCTACATACCAGCCGGATAAACGCACCGCATTGGGGTTATTCCGGCCGGAATAGCCGCACAGCAACACAATCGAAAATTAATCCTCAATTTTGTCCCGCATTGAAGAACGAGCCTCGAATCCAGCCCCTCCTCTCCATACACATCATCCGTCACAATGGGCGTCGCTTTCGACAAGTGCGAGACACGACCGGCTAACATCGAGGCCATCCTCAGCGGCCTCGACCGGTACAACCCCGAGACCACCACAGTATTCCAGGACTACGTGGTTCAACAGTGCGAGGACCGGACATTCGACTGCTACGCCAACCTGGCTCTGCTCAAGCTGTGAGTGCGCCTTTTACCATTGTTTCACGATCGCGATCAGTATCCCTCGGCTTCTGGCGGCCATGGCTTGCATGATGTAGAATTCTCACTTATTATCACGTTTCCTATTACCTGATACCCAATTGGGCATGTTGAGCATTACTATCTGAAAGCCATTTTCAACCATATCATACTCCTAGCAGCGCCAAAATCTACGCCTGTTTGCTAACTGTATCCGACACAGCTACCAATTCAACCCTCACCTCCTCCAGCCTGAGACTGTCACCAATGTCCTCGTCAAGGCCCTTACCGTCTTCCCTTCTCCCGCCTTCTCCCTCTGCCTCGCCCTGCTCCCCGCCTACACTCAGCCTTTCCCCTCTTCCGAAGCCGAGACCGCGGCTGCACAGACATCCGACTTTGTCGAGTCCGTTCAGAAGCTCGCCCGGCTATCCTCTCTCCTTGAGTCCGCCCAATACGCCCAGTTCTGGTCAACGCTGAACAGCGACGACCTCTACGCCGATCTTGTTGCCGACGTTGCTGGCTTCGAGGAGCTCGTCCGCATCCGCATCGCTGTTGAGGTCGGCAAGGCTTTCCGTGAGATCAACGCCGAGGTCCTCGAGCAATGGCTCGACGTGCGAAACAGCGAGGCCCTCGAGAAGTTCGTCACCGAGGTTTGCAGCTGGGAGGTTGACAAGTCTGGTTCAACTACTGTTGTCAAGGTTCCCACAAACAAGGAAAACGAGGCGCGCAGTGAGGTCAAGAGCGAGCGTGTCGGTGTTGACATGTTCGGTCGCGTTATCCGGAGGGGCTTCGAGCAGGCTGCTTAAGCGTATCTCCAACCAACAAATTTCACTTCGCATTACTGAATAATATCATAGATCTTGAAGATCTTGACGTATCCGATCCGTCTGCGCGGATCAAAAAACGGACCATGTCCGGCTTGAGTCGTTGAGATGAGCTCCAGCAAATGATTATGAGACAGCATGGGGAGGATTGGGAAGTCTGGACTGGCGCATTGGCGTTGTGTATTTGCTTCTCCTCATTCCATCATTCTATACCTACCTACCTATGACAACCCGATTTCCTCTATCCTGTATCTGTTATAGATCCGAGAGGTATCCTGTCTAACTTAACATATCAGCGACAATCCCGCTGACAATGCCAACAAGCATAAGACTGGCTGAACCTGAACCGGTAGCTTTTCATGATTCAAACAAGTCTATATTCATCATCAACATAAGACGTAACCACATAAGCGTACTACCAAATCTATTTAGCAGCCTCCTCCCACTGCACACCAGCCCATTCCTCCCTATACCCAACGACTCCAATCTCCTTGGGTCCGCAATTCCTGTTACAGACACCCAAAATGATATTTCCCCACTCCATCCCGCCATCATCCTTCCCAAGGCCAACCCCTGGCCTGCCCTCCTCAAGAACACTTATCGCATGCGGGACAAGCTGCAGCTCAAACACTCTTTCGCTGCCACAAGATTGACACCGCGGCAGACGGCTCGCACCGCTCGATTTTGTGCTAATTTTCACAGCAGAAGGGGTGTTGTCATGCAACAGTTTCCCCACGGCATCGGTGTACGAGTATAGCAGCGGGGCACCCCGGAATTCATAACGCAGCACTTGCTCCGGGTTATGGCCTAGTCGGGTGGAGAACTTAAGGAACGCCTTATCGATGTCAGACTCGAGGTCGTCTTTCGCATCTGCGCCGCCGCTGCCCCCCTCGGCGTCTTCGCTGGTATCGATTGTGACGTTGTCGGGGATCTTAGGGGTTGGTGGGCGCGAAAGGGTTTCGCCCTCGGCGTCAATGTAGAAGTTTGTGTAAGGTTCTGGGAATTCCGATTGCGATGGCCAAGGCGTTAGTGGGCCAGTTGGCTCGGCGGATTGGGTGGATGGGGGCGGGGAGGAAACGCGGACTTTGTCGGCGAAGCTTTCAGCGAGGGTGTTGGGAGTAGACTTCGTGGATGCCGGCGCCGGGCTAGCGACAGGCGCAGCGAAAGGGTTGGCTGACTGTGTAGAGCCAAATGCTGGTTTCGACGAGAAGGGGTTTGCGTTCGCGGAGACGCTGTTGATGAGAGTTGAACTCCCGAACAGGCTAGCACCAAGATCCGGCTTGGGCGTCTGGAATTGTTCCACCTCTTTCTTCTCTGGTTCCTGCTTCTCGATCTTCTGAGGCGGCTGGTGGCTCTTATGTTGTCTCGTTGCGCGAAGAGCTCGGATGCTGCCTGGCTTTCGGTTGCATACTTTGCGGGGGCAGGAGAAGATATAAAGACGTCTATCGGCGTCTGGGAAGTGTTCGTATAGTTCGCCATCTAGTTCGAGGAGGAGCAGCATTGGGTTGTTGCACACTTTGCATTTGGCGAACTCTCCGGAGGGCGGGGTAGAATCGTCTAGCCATGTCTATGAATCTATGATCTCAGTATTTGTGATTTAAGACATTAAATTCGCTAAGTAAGGTATCTTACCGGACAGCCACCAATATGGGTAACAGCGTCCTCGATTATCTCCTCAGAGGCGTACCCAAGTACGACTCCGGTCTCAGTGTAGTCCCCCTCATCTTCGAAACCGGAGGAGTCGCTATCGTATGGATCCATTGCGGTAATTGCGGTGCGAGCAAAGAAAAGTGATCTGATAGCGGGGAATTCAATCTCTGCGCAGATAGCGTCAATATGAGGCCGAAATAAGACGTTGATGCGATTGTAGAGATCGAGGGCCTGCTCTATAGCAGAAAAAATTTATGGATTGGGCGATAAGCGATATGGGGTCAGGGGCGCCATTCCGTATCGGGGTTAGCGTTCTGTGTCTGTTACATCGTCAGCTCGCTCGATAGCTTCAACTTCCATCCCAATTAACCTCATCAGGGTAGAATTCATCAATCTGTCTATCGGGAACTTCACATTACACCTGGGGCACCCTGGCTTGAAATAATCTAGACGCGATATCTAGAAACCGTAGTCAGGCACAAGGCTTGACGAGCATACGCTAAGCTCCGTCATGGAGCCATTCTTTAGCGGCAGGTTTAGATGGTGCCTCTTTGTCTGGGCTCTTTGTTATGCTACAGCTCTAGCATTCATTCCAATTCCCAAGCTTAGTGGGGCAAGGTCGTCCCTCAAGTCGGTTGAACCTGGGCCGAAACAAGTTGCGGTTATTGGTAAGAATTACCTCGCTAATATCAGCCTACTTACTGACGTCCTGGTAGGAGCTGGGGCAGCTGGAGCATCTACGGCATACAACTTGCGCAAGTATGCAGACTTACTCGGAGTACCTGTTAATATCACTGTCTTTGAGCGTGCTTCCTACGTCGGTGGCCGCTCAACGACAGTCAATGTGTTTGATGATCCAGCATTCCCAATTGAACTTGGCGCATCCATCTTTGTCCAAGTAAACTACAACCTCGTCAATGCATCCAAAGAGCTTGGTCTTGACGTCAGGGGCGCCAGCTTTGAGCGCACCGGGAACAGGGACGCCATCGGTATCTGGGATGGAAAGGAGTTCGCCTACGTGATGGAGGATTCCTCCAGCTGGTGGAATATTGCGAAGCTTTTGTGGCGCTATGGATTGGCCCCAGTGCGTGCCCAGAACCTCATGAAGAGCACTGTCAGCAAGTTCCTCCAACTCTATAAAGAGCCGTTGTTTCCTTTCAAGTCTCTTACCGCTGCTGCTGCCTCGGTGGGGTTGCTGGATGCGACGTCCACATCTGGAGCTACGTTCCTGGAGAAGAACAATGTATCCCCTGACTTTTCTCGGGAACTAATCCAGGCGAGCACGCGCGTCAACTATGGTCAGAATCTGCCTTTGATTCACGGGCTTGAGTCTATGGTCTGCCTTGCCACAGACGGTGCCGTGGCTGTGGAGGGAGGTAACTGGCGCATCTTTGATGGAATGCTCAAATCTGCGCAAGCGAACGTGCAACTCAACCACACGGTTACAGCCATCAGCCGGAACAAGGACAACACCGTTACGCTTAACTTCAAAGATGAGCAGAGCATTAGACAAAAAAGAGCCGATTTTGATGAAGTTGTCATTGCCGGTCCATACCAGTACTCCGATATCAAGGTCTCTCCAGCACTCGAACACACCCCGGACACTATTCCTTTCCACACTCTCTACGTAACCCTCTTCTCTTCACCACATCGATTATCAGGCAAATACTTCAACCTGAAGAACCCGTCCGATCTTCCTCCGGAAACCATCCTTACTACTCTCCCTGCCGGTACAGACCTCGGCAACGCTGAGGAAGGCGTCGGCCCAGCAAACTTCTGGAGTATCAGCACCCTCCGCACCGTGGACGCTCCATCTTCTTCAGAAGAAGAACCAGAGTCCAAGACAAAGCACTACGTCTACAAGATCTTTTCCCCCACCCGTCCAAACGAAGCATTCATCCGAGACATCCTAGGCCTCGAACAACCAAAAGTAAAGAAAGCCGGGTACATCACTGATCTTCCCAGCGAAGAGATAAGCTGGTCATACGAGAAGATATGGCACCCCTACCCTTTCCTGTACCCGCGCGTGACTTTTGAAGACCCGCTCCTTGCGCCGGGTGTCTGGTACACAGGCGGCATTGAGAGTTTTATTTCGACCATGGAGACAAGTGCGCTTATGGGAAAGAATGTAGCAGCGCTGATGTCGCAGGCTTGGTTGGATGAGGATGAAGATGGGCAGGTGAGGGGGTTGGATGATTCTCCAATTGTTGTCCAAGGGGAAAGTGGGGAGCTCTGATTGTGAAAAGGCATGGCATTTCTAGGTAGAGCATCTAGCGTCTATCGCGTATCTGCTTAGGTGCTCTGGACAATATAGGAGTATGGCGTTAATAGCATTTATCCGAGGAGCAGAATCGGAAACGTATTGACAAAGTCAATTCATTCATATATCAATCATTAATGTATAGACGTAGCTATCGGTAAAGAAGGCATTAAAGCCAAGGCAGTTAAAGCCTGTGAAAAGGGTAAACTTTTCCTGTTGAAGAAGGTGTTGAAGAAGCCATCCCAGTGCTATGTTGATTCTCATTCATATATCCATATCCCGTGACCCGCGTAAGGTTGAAAAAGCAGACCCGTAACCCCAAAAAGCACTCCGCAACCCATTTTATGCGCAATGATGTTGAACTCGTACAAGAGCAAAAAAGTAACAAGTCAGAAAATAAAACAGAAGAAAATTGGTATCATATCCAAGATTAGAGCCTCGAGCCGCTTAAACGGGGAGGGGGAAGGTGCTGGCCCACTCGGCAACCTCCTTGCGGAGGTTGTTGATCTCTTCAACGGTGCCGGAGGCGACCTTGGCCTTGAAGTCCTTGAGCTTGTTGGCCTCCTTGGGAAGCTCAGCCTGGACGGACTTGCAGATGTTGATGGCCTGGTCGATGTAGCGAGCGATGCGCTTGAAGTCCTCCTCACCCATACCACGACTAGTCATGGCGGGGGCACCGATACGGATACCGCAGGGAGTGAGAGCGGACTTGTCACCGGGGATAGAGTTCTTGTTGCAAGCAATGTTGATCTGCTCGAGGACGGCCTCGACACGGGCACCGTCAAGAGACTTGGGGCGGAGGTCGACGAGGACCATGTGGCTGTCGGTACCGTCGGAGACGAGCTTATGACCGATAGCCTTGAACTCGTTCTCAAGGGACTTGGCGTTCTTGATCACCAGCTCCTGGTACTGCTTGAACTCGGGGGTAGCAGCATACTTGAGGGCAACAGAGAGAGCAGTGATGGTGTGGTTGTGGGGACCACCCTGGTGACCAGGGAAAACGGAGAAGTTGATGGGGCCCTCAAGGTCGTACAGGACGTCCTTGCCGGTCTTGGGGTCGGTGTTGCGGACACCCTTGCGGAAGAAGATCATGGCACCACGAGGGCCACGGAGAGACTTGTGGGTGGTCGTGGTAACAACATCGGCGTACTCGAAGGGAGAGGGGATGACGCCAGCAGCGATCAGACCGGAGATATGAGCCATGTCAACAACAAGGTAGGCGCCGACCTTGTCAGCGATCTTGCGCATGCGGGCATAGTCGATCAGACGGCAGTAGGCGGAAGTACCGGCGACCAAGATCTTGGGGCGGTAGAGCTCAGCGTTGGCCTCAAGGGTGTCGTAGTCAATGATACCAGTCTCGAGGTTGACACGGTAGGGGAGGGTCTCGAAGTAGGTAGAGACAGCAGAGATCTTTCTGGCAGGGGTCTGGTAACCGTGGCTCAGATGGCCACCGTGGGGGAGGTCGAGACCCATGAGACGGTCATGGGGGCGCATGAGGGCCTGGTAGACCTGCAGGTTGGCGGGGGAACCACTCAAGCATTGAACGTTGACACCCCACTTGTCGGCGTCGAGGTTAAAGGCCTTGAGGGCACGGGACTGGCACAGAAGCTCGATGGCGTCAATGTGCTGGTTTCCACCGTAGTAACGAGCACCGGGGTAACCCTCGGAGTACTTGTTGCACATGGGGGAGCCAAGAGCATCGAAGACGGCACGGGAGGTGAAGTTCTCAGAGGCAATCAGAACGATGGATTCACGCTGACGTTGGATCTCATTTTCCTGTAAAGCGTAGAAAGTTAGACTTGGTCAATGAGAACAGATCCCACGGATGATACGCCGCAGGACAAGGACCTGCAGTTGCAGATGATCACATACCATGATCTTAGCGACCTCAGGGTCAGTGTTGACGAGGCGGTCCTCCATTTGCTACACCGGTGAGTCAGTCATGGTTCAGGTACAGCTCTAAAGAGCTGAAGAGCTCAATGGGGAACTTACAGCCCGGTGGGCATCTGACAGAGCGTAGGCGGCCATTGTGAGAGGTGAAGCGAAGGAATGAAGATAGGAAGAAAAAGACAAAAGCTGGTATGAGGGAGGAATGGGGAAGAAAAGGAGGAGGGAGACTGGAGAGTAATAAGAAGAAAAAAAAGGTGGTGGGGTAGGAAAAGTTGCCTCAGAAATCTGGAGCTAAAGATCTGACGGCGGCGAATCGGACCGCGATATCGGAGTTTCCTGCCTCACCCGGTCCGCAGTTCTCGGAGAATCTACTCCGTTTCTAGTCGTGTTACGCGGTGTCTTACATTTTATAAGATGAGAAATATACATCAATTATTGATGTTGCCAGTGTAGCATACGATTTCTGTGTATAAAGATGACATGCTGTGAGTGATGAGGACCGCGGTGGCCTGGAGGGGTAATCGGTGCATGTTACTCTGTGCCCCCGCCTAAGGTCCTTCCCGGCCTATTTCCAGTCACAGTCGTGACTTGTTCGCCTCAAAAGACTTGATGGTAAAGCCCCGTGTATGCTATTATAGCATGGCCATGGCCTGCCGAGGCTTCGATAGTCGGAGGCTGTATGTCAAGTGAGAACCTTTGATGCTGACCATTGGAAACTCAGCGGGCAGTGTTTGCTACATTGAGTCAATGGCAATTATTGCATGATGGATCGCCAATCTCTTGAATGGGCATTAGCCACCACGTCCGAAAAGGTCGATAGCACATGAGGATCTTATGGCTGTCTTTCTAGCAGGTCGCTTCTCAGGAGCAATTCCATGTCCGACTTTGACAAATAATGGGCATACCTTCGTCCTTCAGACTTCATGGGCCATGTGCTTTGGTTTTCTCAAAATTGGCTTTGTTTGCCCTCCTCCCAAAGTCAGAAATCACGGATCTCAGCCTCGTAATCTTGTCCTCGAGATCCTGAATCTCCTTTTCCTGCTCTGCTACAGTACGGTCCACGTCCGGCAAGCCCTCCACAACAGCTTGTGCTTTCTGTACCCGGATCTTGATCGAGCTGACTTCAGTCGGCAGTTTCTTGACATCCAATGGAGGAAGCAAGTTCGAGCCCAATGCAGCGATCTCAGCTGCAGTGGAAGGACCGGGACCTGATGAAGATACAGCTGCTAGTAAATCGGCGTTGGTATTCCCATCGTTGACCCCTGATGTTGGCTGTTGGCTTTGATCTGGCCCAGCGCCGTCGTTTCCGCCATTGGCAGCCCCTGCTTCGTTTGCGTTGGGAGCAAGAAGTCGAAGAATCACTCCATGAAGCGGAGGAATGAAATCAAAGGTCTGCGGAGGTGGGAAAGGAACAGCTTGCGGTGTTGTAAGCGCGTCGTTGATTATGGCTGGCGTCTCAGGCGCAGAAGACTTCGGTCCTGGCGTTACGGCGGTCGGCGATCTGGAGGCCATTGCGGGCGTGGGGAAGATAGCGATCCGAGGTGAGTTGCCCCTGATAACGAACCGGAAACAAGAAAATACTAATGATGGGGCTCCAGATAGCAAAGGACGTTGCTGTCCCGAAAGCTGGGGAATTGTTTAGGGAAGAGCCGGAACGCGGTCGAGAACGGAAGAGCGACAGCAGAAGTGACGTAGAAAGCGCGGGAAAACAGAAAAACGCCTGTTTCCCAAAGCGTCACCGAAGCCCCTCCCCCTCCATACTATTATTTTGTTGTGCTCACCGGACAGCCTCGGCCACTTTTCCTCCGCTTTCTTTTTCTGAATTTCTTCAATTTACTAGAACTTTTACAATTTCCTCATCTCTGTAAGTACCTCAGTGCCATCAATTGCTTCTACTACCCTATGAGCTTCGCTGATTTGATCATACCAAGGATCATCTGAGTTAGATATTCAATATGGCCAAGGTTGACCAGAAGGCTGTTCTGAGTATGCGATCCTTCACTCGAGCCTCATGTTCCCCAAATGGCATCCATTAACACAGCTTTCTAGTCGTCATTGACGGTTGGGGTGTCGCCGGCCCCAACTCCCCCAAGGAGGGTGATGCCATCGCCGCCGCTGACACCCCGGTCATGTCGGGTTTCGCCGAGGAGAACTCGAAGACTGCCTCGGGTTACACCGAGCTTGACGCCTCATCGCTTGCTGTCGGTTTGCCTGAGGGTCTGATGGGTAACAGTGAGGTCGGCCACTTGAACATCGGTGCCGGCCGTGTCGTCTGGCAGGACAGTGTGCGCATCGACCAGACGCTCAAGAAGGGAGAGCTGAACAAGGTGGACAACATCGTTGCGTCATTCAAGCGCGCTAAGGAGGGCAATGGCCGTCTTCACCTGCTGGGTCTCATCTCCGATGGCGGTGTCCACTCCAACATCACTCACCTCATCGGCCTGTTGAAGGTCGCCAAGGAGATGGAGATCCCCCAGGTCTTCATCCACTTCTTCGGTGATGGCCGTGATACCGACCCCAAGAGTGCTTCCAAGTACATGCAGCAACTGCTCGACGCTACGAAAGAGATCGGCATTGGTGAGATCGCGACTATTGTCGGCCGCTACTACGCTATGGACCGTGACAAGCGTTGGGAGCGCGTTGAGATTGCCATCAATGGTATCCTTTCCGGAGAAGGCGAGGAGAGCTCCGACCCCGTCGAGGCTATTGAGAAGCGCTACACTGAGAACCAGACCGATGAGTTCCTCAAGCCCATCATCGTTGGTGGCAAGGACCGCCGCGTGCAGGAGGATGACACTCTCTTCTTCTTCAACTACCGCTCCGACCGTGTCCGTGAGATCACCCAGCTTCTCGGTGACTTCGATCGTTCACCCAGGCCCGACCTCCCCTACCCCAAAAACATCCACCTCACCACCATGACCCAGTACAAGCCCGATTACACATTCCCCGTCGCCTTCCCCCCTCAGCACATGGGCAACGTTTTGGCCGAATGGCTCGGCAAGAAGGACGTCCAGCAGTGCCACGTTGCTGAGACTGAGAAGTACGCCCACGTCACCTTTTTCTTCAACGGTGGTATCGAGAAGCAGTTCCCTGGTGAGGTCCGCGACATGATTCCCTCTCCCAAGGTTGCCACCTACGACCTTCAGCCCGAGATGAGTGCCGAGGGCGTCGGCAAGAAGATGGAGGAACGTATCGCCGAGAGCAAGTTCGAGTTCATCATGAACAACTTTGCTCCTCCTGACATGGTTGGCCACACTGGTGTCTACGAGGCTGCCATTAAGGGTGTCGCGGCCACCGACAAGGCCATTGGCGTCATCTACGAAGCCTGCAAGAAGCACGGCTACACCCTCTTCATCACCGCCGATCACGGGTAAGTGTTGAAATTCCATGCAGCCCCGCACAACCGGCCCAGGCTAACGTAGTCAACCCAAGGAACGCTGAGGAAATGCTCAACGAGAAGGGCACGCCCAAGACATCGCACACCACCAACAAGGTTCCCTTCATCATGGCCAATGCCCCCGAGGGCTGGAGCCTCAGGAAGGAACCCGGTGTCCTCGGAGACGTTGCGCCAACCGTCCTCGCTGCCATGGGTATCGAACAGCCCAAGGAGATGACTGGAGAGAGCCTCTTGGTCAAGGCATAGACGTAATATGAATATAGATTTTTTGTGCACGCTACCTAGAGACAGCGTTGTTTATGAAGAGACGAATGTCATGGAGTTTCACATTTAGAAGCATATATTGTGGCTCTGGGTATCTTTCGGATGCCATGGCGACCTTAAGGCCGGTACCACTTAAGGCGACGGCGACCTGTAGCCCTGCCGACTATTCTACCGTAATCTCTTCTCTGTGAGCGCGTATCAACCCTCCTCCGGGTCTCCCCGCGGCCCTTGACTCCCGCTCAGAAGCAGAGACAATGCGCCGATTAGATCCATTCCGTGAACGGGAAGCGGCGCTGGCTGATTCGGCTGGTTTTCATATGTTGGCTCTCATCAATACCAATTCATATTATCCGCATGCGCTAGCTATGCTCAATACCTTATCCAATAATTTCCCGTCAGTGTTAGTCTCACGCAGAGGCCGACGCGGCAGCAGCCTGTTGTTGAATTTGGCTCTGGTACTGGACGATCTATCACACACGGTTAGATAAGGCCAGCTATGCAGGTCTATCATAAGGAAGCTCACCTCAGTCCTCTTCTTATCGCTCTTATCCTGGTTTTCCTTGATCTGGCCCTCGATTCGCTGACTGTGGGTGACAATCAGCAACAGCTTCGCTTTTAATCCACCATCCAGCTTCTGCGCGGTAGGAGCCAGATGAGCAATAGTTGAAACGTACATTTCCTTCTCAATGAACTCCAGACGCCCATTCACGGCCATCAATGCCTCCGTCTTATCCTGCTTCAATAGCACCGGCCCGATCTGCTTAAAGATATTGGCGTCATCGTCGAGGGAGTTGAATTCGGTCTGAACGCTCTTGTTCTCCTGCTGCTGGGATTCGAGTTTTTGACGCGCGTCAACGAGGCCATCGAGTTCTGTTAGGTACATTGTCAGCCATTGCTTTCCTTGAATCCACTGTTGTGTCTTGTATCGGGGACTGCAGCCCCGCTCCGCTCCTCTGGGACGCAACGGGATGGTGGACGCACCGGTTTGAAGGGCCTGGTACTCATCTGAGAGGGCCTGCATCTGCTTCTGAGGGTCTGCCATGTTTGCGAACTGTGTAAACTATGAGTAATATTAAAAGTTGATGGGCGACGATGGGGAGCGGCAGAAAAGCGCCTAAGGGCACGAGAGCGACACCAAGGCGGCGTTGTCCAGAGAGACCGATCACCCTCGCTCCCCACCCCCATCGCATCCCCGCGAAGAAAACACTACAGCAGCCTTTGGTTTATCAGTCTACAGTATTTCTCTGTCTACCTACATTATCTTTCTAGAAGGAATCCCTCGTTTAGCTAGTCCGTCGCAGCCAGCAAGCCTTCTCTTCCAGCCGTATCTATTTCGTTCTCCCCAAACTCCCCGCCTCCAACCGTACCTGTCTTCGCCTCCGAGCCAGCCCGCCAGTTCTGAACGAGTCGTTCTACGCAGCTTAAAAGAGATCTCAAACAAGCGCTTGGGTCATCATCGTCAGAATGAGCAACACCGATTTCCTCGGCCGAGCGATTGACACGGTCAAGAAGGCCATTGAGAGCGACAATGAGGGCGAGTACGAGAAAGCTTATCAGCAATATTACTCAGCATTAGAGCTGTTCATGCTGGCTCTGAAATGGGAGAAGAACCCCAAGTCCAAGGAGATGATCCGCGCAAAGGCAGGCGAGTACATGGACCGCGCGGAGAAGTTGAAGAATCATCTGGCATCGCAGGACAGTCGGAAAAAGCCGAGCGCGGTAGGCGCCAACGGCAAGGTGTCGCAGGGCAGTGGGAAAGGCGGGTATGTATACATTTTTCTGTCAGTGTTCAGGCTTGCGGTTGCGCTAACTTTGTACCTTCTCTGCTATGTAGGAAAGAAGACGACGACAACGAGGACGCCGATTCCAAGAAGCTACGGTCTGCCCTTGCTGGCGCCATCTTGTCGGAGAAGCCGAATGTGAAATGGGAGGACGTCGCGGGCCTCGAGGGTGCAAAGGAAGCGCTGAAGGAGGCGGTTATTCTTCCTATAAAATTCCCACATCTATTCACAGGGCGGCGACAACCGTGGAAGGGTATTTTACTATATGGGCCTCCGGGTACAGGAAAGTCCTACCTTGCCAAGGCTGTCGCGACGGAGGCAAACAGCACATTCTTCAGTGTCAGCAGTAGTGATCTGGTTTCGAAATGGATGGGTGAGAGTGAGAGGTATGTCGTCTAAACTTCAATCGCACATCTGTTGCAGACTGACACTGCCCTACAGGCTTGTGAAACAACTCTTCAACATGGCCCGAGAGAACAAGCCTGCTATCATCTTCATCGACGAAGTCGATGCGCTCTGCGGTGCGCGTGGGGAGAACGACTCGGAGGCGTCTCGCCGTATCAAGACTGAACTGCTCGTCCAAATGGACGGAGTAGGCAACGACTCCAAGGGTGTCCTCATCCTAGGCGCAACAAATATCCCCTGGCAGCTAGACGCCGCCATTCGCCGAAGATTCCAACGACGAGTGCACATCAGTCTTCCGGATATCAACGCGCGCATGAAGATGTTCATGCTAGCTGTAGGCTCAACCCCGTGTCACATGACACAGGCCGACTACCGGTCCCTAGCAGAGCAAAGCGAAGGCTACTCCGGTAGCGATATCAGTATTGCCGTGCAAGATGCGCTTATGCAACCCATCCGTAAAATTCAAACTGCCACACACTACAAGAAGGTAATGGGTCGTCTTTCGAGCTCCTCAGTTCAATGCTAACTCCACTCCCAGGTCCTACATGAAGGGCAAGAAAAGTTAACGCCATGCTCCCCTGGCGACAGTGGCGCCATGGAGATGCGGTGGGAGAACATTGAGGCCGATCAATTATTAGAGCCTCCTCTCGTGCTCAAGGACTTCATCAAGGCCATCCGCAACTCGCGGCCAACAGTCAGCCACGAGGACTTGAAGAGGAACACGGAATGGACCCAAGAGTTCGGTAGTGAGGGTGCTTAACCCTTTGGGCCTTGTAAAAGTCTTTCCCTGCGTACCTCATCTCTGCTTGTGTCCGATAGACTACGTCTCTATACAATGTCCCTACGACGCGACGTCCCCCTTCTGTTGGTTATACAGGTGCTCCGCAAATCTTCCCATCTTCTGAACGAGTTAAATGACCACCCCTATACATATCTTCCCCCAGTCATCATCTATTTTTTCCGAGTCATTTTCCTGTCCATTTTGCATACCACGCGTTCTTCCCTTGATTCAACAAGGGGATGCATCCTCTTTTCACTTCACATGCCGGTGTTAAGCGTTATCACTGTTGGACGGAGGCTACTTAGGCAGGCGAGGCGTTATATTAACTTTCAGTACTACTCTTGTTCTTTTCTTCTTCGTGGCCTGTCTCGGCTCTAAAATACACGGGTTACCAGGCTTTACTCCGTATACGATCAAGAAACGAGTCTCGCTGGCTTGAATCAAGATCTTATGTTCATCTCTCCACGCAGACACAGGGACTCAAGGCTGGATGTCTGGCGGATGCATGATGAATGGCGGTAGGTAGACAAAATGACATTTCTCAGTTTATGTACGTAGCAATCACCCAAAGAACAAACCTCCTCATAAGTACCCGTTCAGCTCTCGCAAACCAAGGGTAAGTTCATGCAATCCCAGAAAGACGCCTACTCAAGATAAGTACACAAAAACGAAAGCATAAACAGAACAATCAATCATCGCTGGGGAATTACTTGGTTGATATAAACAAAAAGACAGAAGAAAGAGAAGAGCCTCGGCTGGCGAAAATGAAATGTAGAGCGATATAGGTAGGTGGAAGAAAAGACATCTGGAGCAGAAAAGACAATCTATGCCTTTAATGACTCCCTTTCCCTCCGCCTCATAACCTCATTCTTCGCCCGCTTCAAGCCTTCGCCTAGCTTCGTCATCCTCTTCCATTCACGGCCCAGCTTCTGCATGCGGACGACGGCCTTGACCATAGAGACAGCGGTCTTGAGCTTCGCCTTTGGGCTGCGCACATTACTGCGGTCACGAGCTTTGACGCCCATATCAGAGATCATGCGGAGGTCGGCCTCGTTGCTACAGAAGGGATCAGGTTAGTACATTGACGTTTACGTCGAGAATGAATTCGAAGTGGGTAACATACCAAGCAACCCTGACACGCTCCCCAAGTTCCATCAATCCCTTGCTCCAGGCTAGGTCCCGACGGAACTTCTCCTCTCTCTTGAGGCGTGCTCGGAGCCAGATGATCTCTTTGCCGAGGCCGAGCATTTCCTTTTCATGCTTGGTCTTGTTTTCGCCCTTGACATTTGCTTTCTCCATGGCTTGCCTGTAGCGATCCTGGAGAGAGTCGAGTTCCTTGAGCGCCGCATTCGCTTTCCGGGCATAAGAAGCGCGCTCTTCACGTATTCTGTGAAGCCGGTATTCTGTATCACTTAATAGAGCTTCTTTTTCGGACACCTGCAGAGCCAAGGCCTCGGCCTCGAGGGTTGACTGCTTAAGCAGCTCGTGCAGGTCTCGTTGATCCTCTTCACGCATCGCGGCTCGTTCAAGATCATGGTTCTTTTGCTTCAGTTCTCGCAAAACACGGTGCGCGTCTGAGAGCTGCTTCCGCAAGGTCCGGACATCTTGATGCAACTTGTTGGCTGGCGACGATGATGGAGATTGAGCTTCAAATTTTCTTATAGTCGCGTCATGCAATTCTCTTTCAAGCTCAACAACCTTAGACTTGTAGGCGCGGATAGAAGCTTTTTGGTCGGCTTCGCGCTGTATCAACGCTTTTTCACGTTTCCGTACCTCGTCTAAATTATGGCGCAGCATTGACAGGTCTGCAGCAGTTGCCGACTGCTCATTATCAGCGGGCGGCTGTTGCTCCAGCAGATCCTCCAGCTCACGGATGCGCTTTTCGAACCGTTGGAGCTTGTTCTTAGTGAGCGCGAGTTCTCGATCCCTTCCTCCGGAGGTAGATTGCAACTTGCTTTGAAGCTGGTCGATCTCCGCAGACAGCCTGTTCTCCTCCAAAGCGGCTCTCTCGATTTCAGAGTTCAGTTGGTTCTCAAGAGATTCCTTAGTTTCCAGGAGCGCCATTCGGTCTTCCTTGAGTCTCTTAAGTTCCGTCTCCATCCGAAGAGAAGATTTTCGGAGCTCGGTCTTCTCTTTATCGAACTTCGTGGTGTCACCAACCTGGTTTTGGACTTGGTCTAGTTGTGCTTGAAGCTCATCGCGTTCTGCCTCAATCTCTGTCTTCACAGTTTTAAGATCATGAAGCTCAACGTGCGCGTTGGCGAGTTGATCGCGAAGCTTTTGCTTATCAGCAAGTAGCTTCTGCACCTGGCCATCCTGTTCAGCAGGCTCTTTCCGTGTGCGCGTTTTGGCATATTCTTGTTCTTCTTCTAGGCTTGACTGGAGAACAACCACCTCATCCTCCAAAGATTGTACCTTTTCCTTGAGGGTCGCTTCCGCACGCCTCGTAAGGCGAAGCTCTTCCTTGGCAGACAGAAGTTCATGCCGTAATTCGTCAATGGCATCTCGCTTAGCTGACAAGTCATCGTTCAACTCCTTTACCTGGCGACTAAGGACAGCTTCAGCATTGAAATGCCTCGTCTTCTCGCTATCAATGACTTCTTGCAGCTTGTACTCTTTCCCGGTCAGTGTGTGCTCCACTTGTTCTAGCTTCTCGATGGTCCGCTTAAAGCCTGCTGCTTGGTCCTCGGCCCTGTCCTTTTGGACTTGCAGATTCCGCCTCAAACTCTCCCATCTATCTTGCTCGAGCGCAAACTGGCCTTCTTTGTCTTCGATCTCATGCTGAAGAGACTCAATCTCTTCTTGCAAGCGCTCAATGTCCTCCAAGTATTGAGAGCGCACATTTTGCGCGTCCTCCGCGGCGTTCTGCTTTTCGACGTCGAATGTCTCTTGGAGTTCGCGGATTCTAGATTGTGCCTTTGCCAATTCGTTCTGCAAATCGCCGGACTCGTCTGTCAAGGCGTGATGCCGAGTTTGGAGGAGAGCCTTCTCGTCCGTTTTCCGCTGAATCTCGTCTTGCGCTTCATGGAGTTGGGCATTGAGGTCGTCACGTTCCCGAAGAACTAGTTCACGTTCTCGTCTGATCTGTTGCAGTTCTTCAAGTAGCCGCTCCTTCTCGTCATCCGTGGTCCGTCGTGACATCTGAGACTGTTCCTCGATACTGGATATTTGTTGAGCTTTTGAGTCAAGTTCCTCTTTAAGTGCACTGTTTTTATGGCGAAGCTCTTTCACTTCCTCCTCCAGTTGGCGAGTAAGACCTTTCGTGCTAATTGACTTGTTCGACATCTCGTCATGCAGTTCTTGAAGGTTCTCTTCCGCGCGTTCTTTCTCCTCCAAGGCTTGTTGCTCGGAGGTCCTGGCCTCTATGGCATCCGATCTTGCTTGGTCTAGAGAGTCCTGCAATTCCTCCAGCTGTTCCTTTGCTCGTCGAAGTTCAGATTCCAGCTCGGAGAGAGCGTCTTTCTCTTGATTATCTTTGTCTTTCAGTTCCTCGATCTCCTCTTCGCGCTCCTCGATTGTTCGATCTTTCTCCCTTAAAGATGCCTCCAGGTCCTCAATATCATCACGGAGCTTGTCGATTTGATCTGACTGCGAGTCCTTTGCCTCCCTTAGTTGTTCTTGTAGCTCCTTTACACGCTGGTCCCTGATCTCAAGCTCCTCTCTCATCGACTCCATTTCCCGTTGTATCGTCTCATCTGTGTTCTTCCTACGCATCTTCTCTTTATACTCCTGGAACTGTTGGCGATAGGCTTCTAGGTCACGTTCGGCTTGTTGCAGGCTCTTCTTATACCGTGATATATCGCGTTGCATCGTCAACTTCGAGACCTTAAGTTCGGTGTTCTCGTGTAGTGCCGCCTGATTGTAAGACGGCCCAGCCTTCTCTAGTTGTTCTTGAAGGAAATGAATCTTCAGTTTCAGCCCGAAATTGTCCTTGTCAAGCTTATCGATGATCTGAAGAAGTCAGCAATTCGCATTTAGAACTTTTGCCGCGCGTTGCCCACCTTCTCTTGTTCCTTTAGTGTCATGTTACTTCCGTCGCCTAAAACGCCATTGTCCCGGCTGGCAAGTCCCGGAAGTGGGGTGCCTGCCACACTGCTGCTGGCTACTTGCGGAACAGGCGTCGGGTCGTCAACTGTCGCGTCCTCTTCATCAATCCCTGTCATCTCCATAACCGTCAACCCTGGGGTATTGCCATTGCTCCTGTATCCCCCTCTCGCGTAAGACGGAGTCTTTGGTCCGCGCGTCGTAGACGCATTCCTCAGATAATTATTCTTCATCGCACTCTTCAGCATTGGCGTAAACTCGCCCTTCGCGCCCATTGTCGGGAGTTGTCGTGAGTTTAACGCGCTCCTCGTTGACTTTGTGCCGGCAGTCGCACGCGGTGTATTGAGCTTCGATCCCGCAGAGCTGCGCCTGCGGCCGTCGCCGAGAACCTTCAGGACATCTTCGTCTTTCGAGGGCGTTTGAAATGAGTTTTCAACCGAGTCAAGGGCGGATAAGTTGTGTCGTCCGACGCTGCGGTATCCATGCGTCAGGTAAGTCGCGTTTCCGTCGACTTCGGTGCGCGGGGTGTCGATGTACGGGTAAGCCATTTTCCGGAGAAAGCGCGTCGTACGCTGATACAATTAGTATGTTGAGTAGTATTCCGAGGCCCTCCAGCGCGCAAACATCCCCGACACCACGGGAGAGATAGTTAGGCTCGATGGGTAGAAAGACGACGCATTGGCGATGGACGTGTTTTGGGCGGTGAGCACAATGTTCGGGGGCGTTGTTGGTATCTAGCCAGAAGCGGCTTAGCGTCGACGGATCAAAGCCGCTGCATAATCCGGACCGAGTGATTTTCCGCTCTTTGTATGAAGTCATACCGATGGTAATTTTAGTTTGACTTTTCGGAGCTGCAGGCGAAACAAAACAGCAATAGCTCTTGTACAAAGTACAAGCTCATCAGAAACTAGAGCCATGGCGCCAATGTCGCAAGAGGACATCGAGTGGTTCAAATCCACTTTTCGTCCCATCCCAAAGCCCGAACTTCCCGACGACTGCATCGAGTACTCGTTACACTATATTCCTTCGGACCCCACCCCCGCTGTTATCGATGAAGTCGCAGCTACCCGGACACACTTGACGGAGGTGCAGAAGTCCGCAGCGGAGTTGACGAAGCAGTTGCTGAAGGATTATATTTGGCAAAGAGAGGCATTCCGCCTGGAGATCACAAAGAAAGATGGTGCGCTCGCACGTGAATGCGACTCCTTCCAAAAACACCTCTAACTAGGTCATTCAGGCACGACCACGTTGGGCGGACGAACGAACTTCGGGGACTCGGTAGAGGATGAATGGGTAATTGTGCATCTGCTGCGCGAGTTGACCAAAAAACATAAAGATATCTGGGCGACTGTGACAGATAATGATGGGCAGTTTCTCCTTGCAGAGGCGGCAGGGGCATTACCTTCGTGGCTCGAGCCGGAAATTGCAGATAATAGGGTAGGTACTCGACTGATATCTATTAATTTGCGGAGTACCCTAACGACTATAAGGTATGGCTACATCAAGGGGACCTTGTGATCGTCAAACCGAAGAATGAAAAGCGCAGAATCACGGAAACAATATCTCTGTTGGAGGCGAGAAGGATAATAAAGGACGAGCCCAATAGATTGATGCGCTCAGCCATGATTCAAGAGGAGGCATTTTACCGATTGCGGAATTACCCGAAGCAAATCAGTGAGAACCTTCATTCTGCTTTGGTCACTATCCCTCGCAAGGTCGCCTTCCTCTTGCATCAGAAGCCCGCCTATATATCTCCCGCCGTTGAAGCCTTCTATCTTCGGGATCCTATCGCGCTGAGGCCTCTGCGAAGTAAGAATTCTGAAGACCTCACTTTCAAGCCTGAGGATTTCGTCACAGTGAGCACCCGCTTTACACGGACTGGATACGCACAAGTCAAAAGTCAAGATTTCCCGGCGCCAAAGTCATGGGTTGACAAACTGCCTTCTACCGATGATCGGAAGTTATACGATCGTGCGGATACCGGGATGAAAATGACTTGTGGTTTTGAGATGCTTTTGTCGGACCCGCAGAACCAGGATAAGCCACTAGTGCGGGAAATGAAACTAATACTCGAGGATCTAGATACCGGTGATGAGACTCTTCCCACTGCTGAGGAGATCCAAAACTGGGACAAGCGTGAAGATGACGAGAAATGGCTAGATATCAGCTTTGAGGACTTGGACAGTGAGCTCAAGGGGAAAGGAAAAGAGAGGGCTAAATCTGCGGGGGAGTTTGGCGACGCGAATGCACAGGAAAACCTGCAACGAATCGTTGCTCAGTTCGAGAAGTTCTTGAACGACGAATCAGCTGGTTTCGAAGGAGCCGACTTCATCGACGACTACGAGACGGATTCCGATGTCGACGAGGACGAGGAGGAAGAACCGGATAGCGAAGGTGAAGACAAGGACGCGTCCTTTGACGAGGAAGAGTTTTCCAGGATGATGAAAGAAATGATGGGCATGCCTTCAGGGCCATCAATGCCTCCTCTCAGACCACCGAAATCATCGAGTCCGGCTAACCGAGTGCAAGAGCTGGATACCGACTCCGAGGATGACACTGAGCAGATCCGACAACTCTCACGGGAAATGGAGGCCGAACTAAAGGGAACGGGAGTGCTCGATCTGAATCGTCCTAGCGATATCTCCAAGGGCAAACGCGCCGTGTCTCAGGGAGTTATGGGGGATGAAAGCGGTGACCCCGACCTTGAGGGTCAAGATATCAATATCAACCTGGTGAAGAACCTTCTAGAGAGTCTCCAGGGACAATCAGGGACAGCGGGTCCGGCCGGGAATATGCTCTCTATGCTGAACCTGCCCATGCCTAAAGATGATCGCCAACGGTGAAACCCGGCCATTTAGATGACTTCTTGATATCTGGAATCTCCGCATCTCGGGTGCGGATGAACTCTAAAAACATTGGATGAACCGGTCAATGTCCGATCCCTACCTACTTGTGGTGCCCGGATTAGGACGCGGAGAAATCACGGGCGATAAGCAGTATCAGTCACGTGCCAACCTTGTCGGCTGGATTGAGGTTCCCCTCTCGGGCCCTCGACCGTCTTTCAACCACTTCTCCCCTCCTTCCACCCCACCACGGTCCTGATCCTAATAAACTTTGAGCTGTGCGCTACACTGCTAGACGCGGTCATCCCTGAAAGCCAATCTTGGTTCTAGCGGTTCAAGATCCTTCTACACAGCGTTCGGATTTACCTGGGCTCTAGTCCGGTCCCAGCCGTGGTGGTGGTGGAGCCCCATGGTGATGTTAGGTGACATCCTACGCTTCCATAAACGTATATAAACGGGTCATTCCAGTCACAACTGAAAGTTCTCTTATCATCGAGCAATCTCGGCATCTGTGTACCTACTTCGAGTCTATGGCGACTCCAGCACATTGCTTCTATTGCTTCGAGAGCCTGGCTGCCGAGTATGATGGGAACGACCCCATCAGCCTTACTACTGTGGAGGAACTATGGGAAAGATACGAACAGTTCAAGAAACTTTCCGAACTTCAAGTCAGCCAGGAGAACGAGGTCCCCGGCCAACAACCTATAAACGATGACGAAGCATCAGGTCAAGGAGTGCAGACCACTTCTCGCCCTCAGACTATTAAGATCCCAGAAATCGGCCGCCTGCAAGCCCAAGCGGCGTCGGATTCTAGCGCGTCTACGACGCCATCGGCGATGTCCAACAAGTCATCAAGCTCCATCTTCTCGAGCGCTACCACATCCAGCTCAATATCTTCACAGTCTGACACACCAGCCGGGGAACGACAGCGACTCAGCGATCAGAGATATCCCTTGTTCGTTACATGGAACACACTGTCAAAGAGCGGCCGCAAATCCTTACGTGGGTGTATCGGCACGTTTGAGGCGCAGGAACTCTCTCACGGTCTAAAATCCTACGCTCTCACATCGTACGTACACCGATACACCCAATCCAGCCCATCAATCCACCTCCATACCTAATCCAAACCAAAGAGAGAAAAAAGACTAACAGAGAGCAGAGCCTTCGAAGACACCCGCTTCTCCCCCATCCCAGAATCCCTCCTCCCCTCCCTCTCCTGCTCTCTAACCCTCCTAGGCACATTCGAGCCCTGCACCAACGCCCTAGATTGGACCCTCGGCACCCACGGCATCCGCATTTCATTCATCCACCGCGGTCGCCGCTTCGGCGCAACATACCTCCCCGACGTCCCCGTCGAGCAAGGCTGGACGAAAGAAGAAACCATCAAGTCCCTAATGCACAAGGCTGGCTGGGACGGGTCTCACCATGAAGGCAACACACATCGGCGGTTCTTCCGCGGCAGTACCAGCAGCAACGCTCGGAGTGGTTCCTCGAACGCGAACTCGAAGCTTGAGCCGTGGGAGCAGGTCTCGGATTTCCGTACAATCAAGTATCAGGGTCTCAAGGCGTCTGCTGACTATGCCCAGTGGCAGGAGTGGCGTGATTGGGTGCTCTCTCTGGATGATGGAAGTGGGAAGCTGTTGGCTTGATCACGGCAGTCTAATGGCAGTGACGATGGCTAGCGGCGTGTGATTAATGGCCTGGTGTTTTGCGGATGGAATCGGCCTCATCTTTGTTAGTACTATATGGACATCTCGGGCTTATCTGATGTAATAGGAATTAATCTTAGGTTTATTGAAACTTCTATCCACTCTCACGTTGTTTATATCATAGGAGAGCGTAAACCTACAGATCGAAAGTCAAGCTAGTTACCAATAGCCTCCAATATTCTTGGTGTTCATGAATAAGCACTTGTAGTGTAATTTGAGAGAAATATACCGATCGATCCAGTAAAAGACAGAGATAATGTCCCAAACTCATCACCCTCTTCATAGAGATTGCTACCCTAACGAAAATCCACGGCGAGAGAAGAGGAACGAAAACAGAGGATGCCATCAAATACTAAACATATGAGATAGAGGGTATCGCTATTCCATGGATAAATAGACAGACAGATAAAGAGGTACGTTGGCAAAACCAGTTGAGCCAGTAGTCATATGTGCGAATGCTGTCAATATACTCATGATCATATCATATACGCAAATCAGCCTTCAGCCAAATAAAATCACCGCTCACTCCGGGCTGCAGTCCGACTCCACAACCCAGCAACAGTCTCCTTGACTTTCCGCTCCTGCTCACGGATCTGCTGTTCCGTCTGGCCGCGGCCATTGCCACGGCTATCGATCTCCATGGGGTCGCCTCTACTCCGTGGGGTAAGTCTGTCTTCGTCGACGACCTCACTCCCGTTAACGTGCTCAGGTTTGGGATCGACGCTCATCATGCCGTCCATCATAAGACCGCCATTTTCGCGAAGCTTGTTGATAGCGCGAACGGTATCGATAGCCTTGTGCAGCGTGCGGCGAGCGTTGAAGTTCTTCTTAAAGGTGGGGAGGAGATCTTCACCTCCGAGGCTGTCTGTTACGTCGTATGGCGGGTTGATCCAGCGGTGCTGGAGAGCTTGGTGGGCAGTCAGGCGTTTCTTAGGGTTGACTGTTAGACAGCTCTTGATGAAGTTGCGGGCGTCCTGGGATACGCCGCGCCAGTACTCAACGGGGGTGAATGTGAAGTTTGCTGTTGTGATGTCTTGGAATTCTTCCACGTTGTTGTCACGGTCAAAGGGCATGTAGCCGCAGAGCATGAAGTAGGTGATGACTCCGACGGCCCAGATGTCACTGATTCAGATCAGTTGCTGCTCGATAGGGTAAAAGATAGAGACAAAACATACACAGGTGTTCCGTGGCCGGTCTTAGCGAAGATCTCGGGCGCCATGTATCCTGGCGTACCGCATGTCGTCGTGAGAACATGGAGCTGCTCTTCGTCCATAAACCGTGACAGCCCAAAGTCCGCAATCAGCAGGTCTGCGTTGTCCTCGGGCGTGCGGAAAAGAAGGTTCTCCGGTTTCAGGTCGCGATGTACGATGCCGTGGTCGTGTAGGTATGCCACCGCGGACAATATCGTGCGAACGAGGTCAGCCGCATCAGACTCGTAGTAGCTGCCTTTTCGGCAGATGCGATCAAAGAGCTCTCCGCCAAGCGCAAGGTCCGTAACAAGGTATACTGCAGGTAAAGCGAACAGTCAGCGCGCAGTCACAGCCAAACAACTTCACGGGAAACCGTACAGTTATTCATCGTCTCGAAATAGTCCACCAGCGTCAGAATGTTCTTATGGCCCGTGGATACTTTCTTCAATATCGCAATCTCATTCCGAACCTATATCCCATTAGCTGAAGCCCTTCAGCTATCGCCGGCCGCAGGCAATCGACCGTAACCGGCATCGTTGGGCTGATGCGTACCATATTTTCTTTTCCTACCATCAAGCGCTTATTGATCACCTTCGCTGCATAGTAATTGCCGGTATCGATATGTACGCACTCCTTCACGACCGAGTAGGTGCCTGCTCCTAGGGTCTTTCCGGTTTTGTATCGGCAGGGTTGGACCTTGGGCTTCTGGCCCGGTTGAGGTTGAGTGGCCATTATAAAGGATGTATAGGTTGAAAATTGAAGGGTCGGTTTCGAAGACGTGGAGTTGTGATGGGGTTTCGAGGCGGCTTGGGGTGATTACGGGGTAAGATCGCAGTAGCTCCTATCGCAGTGATCGGTCAGAAGGAGAGATAGATGGTATGGGACATCAGTGCGCAATGGCTGTAGAAAGTTGAAAGCTATAATAAGAAGAGATTCGGGTTCGAAGACAGCGCATAGAGGGAGGAAACAAAGGGCGCAGGACACGGTGTGAGCTTACCTTCCCAAGACCGACTCCTGCGGGGTTCTGATGCGATAAGGTCGGATCGGCGATCGTCTCGAATCTAGACCGACCGTCGCAGGCTAGAATATCAAACAGGAGATACTCAAATATCGGAACTAGGTCGGCTATAAAGGGGAGGAAGCTCGAGTGAAATATGTAGCCGAGGAGTGTGGGAGGAGAGTTAGAGTTGTATGGTCCCAGCCGAGTGGGCGATCTACACTAGGCAGCGGGGTATTTATACCAGATGAATGTTCGACTCCGTAGCTCAGGCAGGCTAATTCGAGATTTGAAAGCTTGAAGCTATCCGGTTCCAGAGCATGGACTACTACTGAGCATTCAATGCGAAAATAACATCCTCCTTGCAGGAGCGGTTCATTCCATGCATACCGACTTTACATGTGGCTTCTATATATAGGTATCCGTCCCACCCGATCTATATATTTTGACAGCTGCCACCTTTTTGACTCGTAGTCCTAAGCAAAACACTGTTCCCAGTGTGCAAACCGGAAGTCCAGCCTCTTATTTCCTTCATCCTTCATTGTACGCATAAATTATCCTTCTCCTTCGAGCTCATGGCATCCCAAATCCTGTCTCGTGACTTATCGGGCTTGTTGTCTTCGCGATAGATCTGCAAGCACATACGGAGTAGCTCTGATATTGTGAAGATAGGATCTTGGCCAGCGGAAGTGGTAGGCAACGAGAAATCTGACTGGCCTCTGTTTCCTAATTGAGAATAGCTTCAGAAAATTGCTTGAAGGCCTCGGGTCTCCAGACAAGCTCTATATAAAGGCCTCTGGCCATTGTATAGTTAGAGTTCTCCAAGCAATCCTTTCAGTATATAAATCCTCGATTCTCATTGGTCAGATCTCATTGCCTGAAGCTTTATTGTCATATTAACTTTAAGCTAGCCCGATGCAATCGCCCAGCCCGACTTTTTCTTCGCGTCGACGACTCGACGTGGCGTTGCAAAACCCTCTTATAATGAATCATGAATCATGATGCCGACGGTGGCCCAAATCCCCGAACGGCCTCGACACATCGACCCACGCTCCACTGGCTGCCACGTTGGTCGAAATTCAGTCGTCTACATCATCCAAGAAAGAGACAGATAGTGCTGGTACCACAAGGCTAGATCGATATAGCTATTCCGAATCTCCTGGTCATGTACACGTAGGGGATTGTCCTAACAGGATATAGTACCAGACAGATGTTCGAAGCCTCATGACCTCGAGGTGCTGTACATGGCGAAAGGCGACTAGACATATACCGGTGTCTGATTTAGAGAATTAGACTAGACAAGGTACATATGTAAAAAGGGCGATAATGCTCCCACAACGCCGACCCCCTAGCCAGTCATGCTTTGCAAATGAACACAGACACACTGAACGCCGCGAAGTAGCCAGCCAAGCAAATGAAGAGAGAAGAAAAGGTTAAGGAAATCACATCTGACCAAGAACCTCCTCAACAACCCCCTGCAGCAATTTCAACTCATGGAATTTCGCCACGCTCCCCAAGACTTTCAGTCTTTTTTCAATGTCCGCCCGATTCATGGTTTCCGTCCACTTGCCACTGCACGAGCAGTGCTCCATGAACTCGCTGATCTTCAGACTTCCACACTTCGAGCACTTGAGGTCCTGCGTCTGCCATGCTACAACCATGCCCCAAACCTGGCCGATGAGCATTTCCTCCTGCGCGAGGCGGTCGTATTCGGTTTGGCAGAAGGGGCAGCGCCATGGTCGGGACGAAGTAGCGCCATCAGAGCCAGGCTCAGGGAGGACGTCTTCATCACGGCAAAGGTCCAGGTCGCGGATGAGGCAGCAGGCACTACATGTGAGTTCTGGAATTTTGAGACTATTGCCGGGATTCTCGAAGCGGCCTTCTTTGCTGAACTCTCGCACTTCGAAGAGAGCGAGCAGCTCGCGACGGAGAAGGCGGGTTTCGAGAGTAGTTGTTCTGGACAAACTCAGAACTTGCATGAGGAGCTTGACGAGCTCGAGGGCGGGATTGCGTTTTTCCTCGTTGGGGTCCGTGAGGACACCCGGGAGGACGGGAAAGACATAGTCGGAAGCGAGCTCAGGATGCAGCAGTTCTTCGCGCTGGCGCCGGATGAGGCCCGATATTTGTTTCTTGAGCGGCTTGGAGAATCTCTCGGATAGGGCGGCGGAGAGTGCCTCGTTCTCTTCGCCTGGTGCTGGCTGTCCAATGGGGATCTGGGTCATTCGTGGCGTAGAAGAGTCGTCGTTCTCTGGTCGCTTGAAGTCTTGCATGAGTTCAATGTACTCCACAACCCAGTCGTGGAAAATAGTCTGCATAGGCGTTGGGAGGAAGCGGCTAAGCTGCCAGTGCATGACTGTTTCCAGCGGCTGTTCTTCCGTCTCTGCAACTTCTTGACATCCCTTGCCGCCGTAGTTGTACTCGTCGTACCAGACGAGGTAGTCCCAGTATTCCTTGATGTCGAGGTCGATGAAGTGGAAAGATGGGTTAGCGCGGATCGATTTCAGCACATATTGGCTGTACGCATAGGCGTTGCCAACCTCCGTCTTGGAAGTCTGGAGCAAGAGACGGGTCGGACTGGCAAAGACGACATTCGAGCCGACACGCCTGAACTCGGCCATGAGCTGTTGGAAGGACTTCCTTGACAGCATCCGCACGTATTGATGCAACGACCGGTCATAAAGGCATGACGCTGGGCTCTCGACCCATCGGATTAGGTGCTGCACCATGATATCCGCCATGTTATTCCCTTGACACGCTTCCGACCACCAGTGCTTCACCATCTCGCGTAGTACCACTGCACCGGCGGACGCAAACGCCTTTTCAGAGTATAGTACCCCAGAGCCACTACCTTCAGCGGATGGGTCAGACGGCGCCAGAAGCGAATCAGCTCCCTCTGCTTCGTTGATGATAGAAGATGTGAGAATGGTATTAATGGCGAGATTGCGGACCTCCAACTCGACGCAAACCGTAGTATAAGAGCCTGGGACATTGACAGATGGCATGCCAACTCTTTCTAGCGGACCGGTAATGTCATCCTTTTCGTATCCAGCATGGTCTGGCCTCGCGGTTGAAGACCACCAGAGAACAACGTTGTTTTGCTGTAGCCGCCTAGCATACGAGACATCGATCAGAAATCGTGGGTCATCACTTTCCAGGTTGCAAAGCGGAACATCACCATATCTGGCGAGCATGGTAAGATGTTGAACCCAGGATGAGAGGTAAAGGTAGTGTGTCACCAATCGCCTGGCAATGAAAGACTGCCAACCCAGAGGGGGCAGATTCATATCCGAAACTTCTGGTTTTACCGGTATGATTGGGTATTCCTTCAGGATCGGGATATCGTGGCAGAGGCGACTCCTTTGCTGCGATTGTATGATCATAACAGTCGGGAGACTCTCATCGTTACGAAGTTTCTTAATCAGATCACCCACTTCTAGGTGCGCTTTCCTCCTCGTCGTGATCTGAGTAGTCCTGAAGTGGATCTTGTCCTGGTACTCAAAGGCCCCCTCTGCCTGACCACTCTGATCCTGCAACTTGCGGGCAAGAAGCTCTGAATAGATCTTGTCGACATTCGGAAGACCTTGAACATCCCTCGCACGGTTAAGAATGACTATATGTGCTTCATTCTTTGTGCTCGAGAAAATAGCAAAGATCTGTTTCTCGCCCGAGGATACATGATAGAGGAAATGGTATGCCAGAGGCGTGTCTTGCAAGTATACTCGTTCTGAGGTCGTGCGGCATAACGTCGAAAGGTCAAATCCTCGGTCTAGTCCCTCTCCGAGCACGCCGCGCTGTCCTTCATCAAAGGTACAGATGCTGCCCAGCTTGAGGACTGCTCTGAGGTTCAAAGGAATATTCCTCTCGTAGACTCCCTCCACGCTGGGGTGTTGCAAGAGGACGTCAATTTTGTCCGCCTCTCGTAGGAAGGTTTCCTCAGACAACGTAAGCTTGAACAAATGGACGGAGGGGTGCCCATTTGGTAATGTATGGTTGACCTTTTCCACCTCACACTCCGGAACATCTACATCAGGGAGCGAATCTTGCTTCAAGTTGATGTAGACACACCGTGGGACCTTGACTGTGAGGGTATGTATTTTCCGGTCAATCAAAACAAACGCCCGCACAATCCCAGGCCTCGAGGTTTCAGCGAGCTGTAAGACCTGCCACGTACTGATATACAGCAGCTCAGCTTGATTTCTGAAGAGATGGCTCAGTGAGTCTCCTCCAGTGTTTGCCCTCTCACCAAAGAGTTGTCGGCGGCGAAGTCGAGCCTGTTTTTGGATCTTCCACTTCTGCTTCTGATACTTCAGGAACCCGACGTAGTCATCGTTGATGGATGGCATCTTCGCTGGGAGACTGGCGAAGGGGTCCAAGGACGTCTTCGGTTGGTTCTCAGGGTGTTTTCGCTTTCCCGATGCCTTTTGGGGAGATGAGGATTTTAGCTTTTCCATTGAGCTCGCCATGGCTTCGTCGAGGTTATCAGCATGCTGGACGCGGTGGTCAAGGATGTTCGTCGAGATATCAGCCAGCGGGTTCTTTTCGGATTTCCCAAACATGTCAGTCATCTTCACCTGCTTGAATCGGTCATCCTGCTTATTGATCCTCCGCTGCAGCCACTCTGGGTGAGCGACCCTAGGCACGGGGTTGCGAACTTTTTGGAGGGCAGCTGGGATTGTGATGAGCTTCTGCACAACCGATCCCAATCGCTCCAAGTAGTAGTCCCAGTCAATCACGCTTCGAGGATCCATGTCACCGGGGTCATCCTTGAGCCATTTTCGCAAGAAGTGGCGCTTAATGCTTTCCTCGGCCGAAAAGATGGTGACTGGAATAGCTCGTTCTGTAACAGGCGTGTTCCTCGGTCTTGCTGAAATGATGTATTTACAGTTGAGACCCTTGTCCTTGACCATCTGTTCTCCCAAGAACTCTGCCAAACGTCGCGCGGTGGTAATCGATGTCGACTTTTGATTCCCATACTCCTCGAGAGTCTTCGTCATGCTTCGATTTTCGGAAATAAGCTCGATGAGTTCTTCATCAGCCAAGGTAGCACCGTGCTCGTATAGTACATCAAGCCACCTATCAGCCACCCGAGCTACAGCAGCATATGTCTCAGCGAGTGTTTGACCCTCAAGGAAGAACTTGAAGATTTGCGTCTGGAAAATTTTGATCAACTTGAGCTCTCCTCGTCGCTTGACCTCGAAACCCTTCAATTCTGCCAAAGAGCCATCGTCGTTGAAAACAGCGTAACGCTTCTTCAAATTCTTGTCCTCTTCCTTGGAAGTAGGCAAAATCATTGCTCTGTACGGTCCATCGACTTCGAAGAAGATCGAGTTCTCGCTGTGTGTCTCGTACTTGAACGTTGCAGGGTTTGAGAGAGCCTGATATTGGTGGTTTGTATAACTCCCGTGCACAAGATGGTTTAGCATTACACAGGGGTAAGATATGCCGAGTTTCTTGCCGTTTTTGAGGGTAAATGAGAAGTTCTCGGGAAATGTTCCTGGCAGCATACACCAAATACCATCGGTGTCAAGCTCCAGCGGTCGCCCAATGCGTTCAACAAGTTCTCTGGCCATCTGGATGATACGTGCACCAGTCAAACAGGTGACACCGGCCATCTCCATGGAATACCATCGAGATCCCTTTCGCATCACATAACCATAGAAACTGTTGAGAATAACCTTGTGTGCAAGTTGTAAAGAGTCGTACAGAACGATCATCTTCTTCGCCTCCTCAACCTCTGCGGCCGAGGCACCTGATGACTTCAAGGACTCTGTTTTCCCTTTCCACACCTTTTGCTTCCCCTTGAAATCGTATCTTCGGTCTCGGAAGCTACGTACAGTGTCGACGTAAAATGGGTTCTCCCTCTGGCAAATGATGGCTTCTCGCACCATTGTCTTGCTGTCGTGGATCTTATGGTAAATCTTCTTGCTGTAGTCTTGGAGCCGCTTCTTGACGATGGCAGCTTGCTCCTCGGCACTCAACTCAGTAAACGTCCTCATAGGGCTTTTCTTGGTCCTGCCAGGGAAGCGCTCATTTTGGACCGCGTGCCGAATCATATTATACTCGTCGCGCTTAGCTGGAAGGAATTCACCTCTCCAAGCCCATGGTAGACGTCTATCGCAGGTTTTTCCAGGACGATTGAAGTCACATGCGGCGCAATTTGATTCTTGAATAAGCGAGTCAGGTTGCAGTCGATTCGTAATCATGATGTTCGGATACATAGAGGCGACATCCAAGTGGTAGATGAACGGGACCTCGTTTCGATGCGGATTTTCCTTGAGGTTGATGAGGAGTTTAGCAATCTGAGCCTTAACTTCATCATAATTCGTGACGTCGTCGAGGGACTTCTTCTCTTCCACTTCAATGCTGAACTTAAGGGCAGCATCGAGATCACGAAGTAATTCGTCGACGGCGGTTGGGTCAATGTTGAACGATACGGGGATATCGCTTCGGAACACTCCAGCCTCAATACTTTCTACGTGTCCACCGACGTAGGTCTCGGACTCAAGCAGATGGCCCTCGTAAAAGGCTTCCGGAGGATCTTTATGCTTGTTTGGCAAAACGATGTTGCCCTGGTATGCTTGGACCATCAGTAGCATTTCACACAACGTTCCAGTACCTTTGCGCAGCGTATCATCCGGATTCAGCGGGAGAATCGTGCAGAGGGAGAAGATGAAGGGGTGGATGTATTTCATGTATAGATAATACGTGGCGACTGCATCGGAAACAGAGTACTCGGCCAGCGTCTGCGGGCGTTCGCTTGCGTACGGCGTCATGAGTTCCGGATCAAGTTCGTCAGGGTCATAGCCAAGCTTCGCAACGGTAACAGCCTTCAAACCACGAGACCCCTGAGGTAGGTAACTGTCACGGTTGACCCATGCAAAACAGTCCATGTGCGCGCAGTGATCGCTCACGTAGATGTCTTCGCTGTTTTTCCTGAATCCAATCTCCCTGTACATGTCGATACCCAGGACACTTGCTCTAGCTTCAACAAACGGCCAATCGAAGAAGTCACCGTTGTATGTGGCTATTACCGTCGGTTTCGCTTCCTTGATATGTTCAAAGAACCTCTCGAGAACAGCCCGTTCATTCGGCTCGTTGAAGATCATAAATGGACCGCTGTACTCGGGTTTGGGCGTGTATTCGAAGTCGTCGATATCCTCCGACACTATCTCTCGATTGGTGATCAGAAATCCTTGACCATCGATCATATACGATATCATCATAATCTGGTCGATCACTGAATCGGGAAATTTGAGCGGCAGCTTCGTTGTCTCGATGTCGAATGCAAGGACGACCGGGTCCGCTCGTGTAAGTCGTTCTTCCAAGCAAGTCAATGAAATAACGCCATGGATCGCCTCTACCGTATACCATTTTCCTATCCGTATATCTGATCGAAGGTCAGCCACTAACCCGGGTAAGGTTCGAATCATGCATACCTTTATCAATCGCCACTCTAACATGGTATGGAACATCGTACTCTCGAATATCAATTATATAATCACTCGCAATAGTGCTGCCATTAGGTCGTGCCTCATTAAGTTCGTCATCAAAGAGATCAAATCCAGCGTTCGCGCTGGACAAAGTTAGCTCATGCTTTAGGAAAGTCCCTAAAGTCCTCACCTCGAGATCTCCACATAAGTGTCCATCATGTTGACATTCTTCTTGTTCTTCTCCGCCAGAGGCAGAAGCGTCTTCCGCACCTCAAGTAGATGGCTCACACTGGCAAAGTCCAACTGGAGAAAAGTCCTCCTGTGCCCAAGCAGATGGTTTGGTAGCTTGAGATCTTCCTTCACCACCCTCTTGATCTTCTTTATGAGCCCTTCGAACATCCTCCGACACCATTCCTCGACCTCCGGCTCGTGGCCCGTCTTGACCGCAATCAGAAAGTAAGGGTCATATTCTACCGTCGCTTTAAAGCTGCCGCCGTCGTCTTCGAGAAAATAGTAGTCAACACCAGCACGCCCTCCTGGGACATTCGGGTCCTCTATTGAGGTGCTGTGCATGTTTATAAGCCATCCTGCCCTTTTCTCGCCGGCTTCGAAGCGCGGAAACCCGAGTGTTTCGTCGATGCTGTTTGCTAGCCGGATCGCCTCGAATTTTTCATCTTGAGAGGTAGCTTCTGAGGATCGCAAGGACGAGAATTCGACGGTCTTCGTTCTCTTGGGATTGAACGATGCGGTGCCTGACCGGAACTTGTTTCCATATTTGCTCGGTTTTCGCGAAGGCATTGCGAGACGCCCCGGCAGCTGAGGATCACTGCAATACTGAAGGTGAAAGTTGGTGGGACATCGAACGGAAAATGGACGACCGCAACGTCTAGCTTCTTGCCTTAGGATCAAAAACGTTTGAATATGGCGAAATGAGCGAGTGATTGGTATTCAAGATCTCATGGGTCTCGATTTGGCCCGACCATGCAGAACCCGACCCATCTAAGGGCTCCGCGGCGAGACCGACGCGTTCGCGTTCTACTATACGCGTCCCTTGTGATTGGCTGGAGAAGTTTGACCGCCGGCTAAATTGGATCTCAAGGGACGGCCTGTAAGTATACGGAACAACTTTACCTCCGCGATATCATGATTCTTTGCCCAAAAAGGTGAGCAACATCAGTCCACTTGATCTACTTTGCGCCAATCAGCAGCACAATCCAACATGGCAGATGATTCACGGGAGCCGACAAAAACTAGTGAAGTCATGGATGCAACTGAACAAACCTCCAAGCTTCCATCGCAACCAAAAACAAAGTACGAGCTTCCGAAGTCGCAAGTTGGGAAACTATGGGAAGCCTTTGGCAGCCCAGAGGACCAGGTGAACATGCTTCCCACGGCGCATGGGAAGAAGGCCAACGATAACTCGCTCACGGAAGCTTGGAAGACATTTGATGTGAATAAAAATGCATCCACATTCTATAAGACGTCGTGTGGGCGATCTTCTCTGCTTTACGGAATTGGTGCTGCGTTTGGCATTGGAGGGGTGAGGGGTGTTTTGGGAGGTAAGTCTACCTGGTGTCTTTCATACATGAAGCGGAGTGGTCCAGAACTGATGTAAAATCTTTACAGGAATGCGCTCTATCCCGTCAGCATGTAATTGGGCAGCTGGCGCCTTCGTTGTTACGGCGCTCGCATCCTTTGAATTTTGCCGGTACAATCGCATACAAGAATTGGATAATATGAAGCAAGCTGTGCAGATGATGCAGGAGCTAAAGCTCAAGAAGCAACGAGAGAAGGAGGAAAAGGCGGCGGCGGAGGCCGCTCGTTTGGCGGAAGATGAACGAAAACGCAAGAGTTGGAAGTTCTGGTAGAACTTTTACATATTCTGGGAGTCATGGAGTTTGACCCATGTTGTATATTATGAAGGTCGGGGTGTACTTTTAATGTATATAAATCCTTGTTTTCCTTGAACGCCAATTTGCCCAACGCATTATTCAAGAAGCCTCCCATATTAATGACTCGGTTGACGCCGCTGTCGTTTGCATAGTGTGCCCCATAAACAAAGATCGCTGTCCGCTGAAATAAAAGTATGCCGTAATGAAAGTATGCCGTCGCAAAAGTCAAGGTAAGAATAGGTTCAAACGTCGAATTTGACCTTCTTTTGTATGGCGCCTGAGTGGACCGTTCGCAACTTATTCATGTTGTCGCCAACACGGCGCTCTCTTCGCCTCTCGCGCGCTTCTCTCGCTTCTCGATTTTTCCATTCCGCAACCTGCTGCTTCCTCTTCTGCGACCTAGCCCAAGCTATTGCCGCGGTAGGCTTGAAGCCTATGCCGTTTATACCGTAGCCATCGTCGTCTGGATCGGTCGGGTCGTGACCGGTTATTTCAGAGTCGCTCCAAGTAAGCAGATCCTCGACCTTGGCACCAGGAGGTGATGGCGATCTGCTCGGATTGCGCACTTTGGCAGACGCGGGAGCACTTTTTCTCTTTCGCGGGCTTATAGATGGTTGCCTCAAGGTGTTCACGGGCGTTTCTGGAATTTCGGGCTGAGGCTCGGCGCTTCCGGTCGGAGTTGGAGTAGGGGCACGGTTGATTAGCGAAGGAGAAAGGAGCTCTGTAGCTTCAGAAGAGTCCGATTCGTGCATGTCATGAGAGCCATGAAGGGTTGATCTGTTGGAAAGGCGATTCGCCTGCAGAAAAGGTATAAAAGTGGTACTATGGTGGAGACTGCGATCGGGGAGCTGGTGGTGGAAATCGCCCCGTATTGCCAGACCAGCTAGGCGGCCAGCCACCACGGCTCCAGGGCTATATCTTCCCTGGTCCTCCCAGTCACGGACTTTGGCTTCTTGAGGGCTAACGATTGATGGACTAGACGCTGGCGAGGTGGACTGACTGAGGTCGTTCAAAGCTTCTGGAGACCCTCGTTCGAGAAATGAGGTGCTCGTAAGTAATGATAATTCCGATGCCATCATCGTCGCGGGGCTGAGACTGCTCTGGTTGAGGGGTATAGACGGTGGATAAGTCTGCTGTTTGAGCAAGATTCCCAGCTCCTACGAGCGCCTTTTGATGATAAATAACAAAGACATCATTGATAGACTCAACGGAAGAAGGATAGGAGTGATTGTGCCATTGTGATGGCAGTGAAGGAGAGAGGCAGGCACGATTAGCTGGGAAGCCTCCCTTGTAGGTGAGGGGATGGCCGCGTTTCCCGTCGGAGAAGGTTCCAGGCACTCAGCAGATCTATGTAGGTGGTGAGACAAAAATAGAAGATTCAAATGTGATATTCTGCAACTAGAACCCAAGTTTTGAAAGGCATCGGCCTTGATCACATAATTTACAGAGATAAAGCCCGTCAGATCATGAAAGAGCAAATTGAAACAGAACAACGAATAAACCAAAACATAGAATAATGCAACCGTACAACGCCGCGAGAAGACGCCCTCCCGTTTCAAGAAATAGTAGTGGCTTTAGACCTTCTTCTTCTTCTTGGATGGCTCTGCATCAGTGTCGTGCTTCCGCTTCTTCTTTTCCGATTCGCCTCCTTCAGACTTGCGCTTCTTCTTCTTCTCCTCCTTCTCGCCCTTTTCTTTCTTCTCCTTCTTGTCCTTCTTCTTATCCTTCTTCTCCTTCTTCTCGACATCAGCATCCTTCATCTCAGCGTCGCTGTCGTCGCCATCAACGTCCATACCGGCCAAGACAGCATCCATGGCGTTTTTCTAGTAGCAAATTAGTTGTCTGACCTGCGCAGTAAATGTGGAATTAAGAGACATACCATGGCAACCTCGTTCTTAGTAGGGGCGGCACCGGTTGCGTAGAACTCAAGACGCTCTTCAACCTGCTTCTTGAGAGCATCACCGTACTTGGTTGTAGGGGTTTCACTGAAGTTGTCGATTCGGGAAGCGATGGAACACTTGTTGGCCAAGAAACGCGAGATGCGGCCCTTGTTCTTGGGACCAGCCCTGCCGATGAAGGAAGAGTGGTACAGAAGACCGTACTTGGGGGTGTTGCCCTTGGTCTTCAGTGCTCGGAAAAGGGCCTTCTCAGCACCCAAGATTTGGACAGTGGACGCGGGGTACTTGGAGAGGTTGGTCAAGCTTCCAGCGTGCGAGATGAGGCGAGCGCCAACAATGTCGCCGATAAGAGCAGCAAGGTTGGGAGCGACCACGTTCATCTTAGAAACCAGGTAGGAGTGGAGAGACTTGCGGTACTTGGAAAGGCTGACGACTCGTTGCGCGAAAGAGATGACGTTCTCCATGTCGGATTCCGAGATGTCCTGGCCCATACTGCGCTTCGCAGCATCGATGATGCTCTGAGCAACACCCTCATCGTCCTCAACAAGGGCTGCGATGTCATGCAGGCTCTCGTCAGTCAGAGTCTTCTTGTCCTTAATGAACAGGGCAAGCTGTGCGTAGCGCTGGTTGTCCGACACAATCTTGATGAGTTCGGGGAAGTGCCAGGAGTACCACTCGCGCACTCTCATGGAGAAGGTGTTGATGGCCTTGTCGAGCTGGTCAAGAATAGCGATGGCCTGGATGATGTGGTTGTCGTCGCGCTGAACGGAGAACTTGACCTTAGCACGCGAGTAGGCGTGACCAAGACCGAGCTGGGCAGTGTCCATGTCGCCCTCCCGCAGTTGCTTCAGCAGCTTGCTGGCGTGCAGCCTAACTCCACGGAGCATATCTTGAACGACCTCGCTGGTGTCACCGGTCTCGCAGTCGACGAAAGAAAAGGCGGACTTGATGCTGGTAGCCAAATTCCTATCCGCGAGTCCCAGCACAATGTTCTTCTTCTTGCTCGGTTTAGGCAGGTTCATTTCGAGGAAAGAAATAAGCGTCTCAGAAGCGACACCTTCTGAGATATCGTTGATCTCGCTCAGGGCCTGCTTGTTGTTCCTACGTTGGGGTCAGTCGCGGACCGCACATAAGCCTAGGGCCATAGAGCATACTCAAAAGGCAAGAAACTGGAAAGCTGGACCATCTTTCCGAACTTTGCCAGGTCGTTGACACCCTCCTGAACCTCCTTCAGGTTATGTCCCACGGTATCTCCCTTGTGGGCGACTTTGAAGAGCGAGTAGCCCATAGGACCCTCGAAAAGGATGAAGTCAGCCATTGCGAATGGGTGAAAATCTATAGCACTAGAAATATAGCACTTCCAGGCGTTATGAATCGATCCCCCTTCGACTTTGGCGGAACTTTGAGGCTGAAAACCTGCTGTCGGCCGGCGTGGGAATTGACAAAAGTGCCTGAAGGGTAGATTTGCAGAGTCGAACCGCCGGAGCTCTTTTTTTTTCACAGCCGGCGCTAGTAAGAATCCCGAATGTGGGCTTTTTGCCAAAACCACGGACTCACCGCATTCGACGGGAGACGCTACGGGGTGCGGCTACACTTTCGCAGCAGCAAGCTCCTTTTCCTTCGTTACTAGTCCTTTGGTCTCTGATAGTCTTCCGGATATATCTGCTCGTTGTTTGTTTCTTCTGCAGATATGTCGGCAACTCAGCTGCTCAACCCCAAAGCGGAGTCGAGGGTATGGAGAAATGCCCCTCAGTAATTGTGCAGAGACTAACAAGAGTACAGCGGAGAGGGGAGGCCTTGAAGGTGAACATCAGCGCTGGTGAGGGCCTTCAGGATGTCTTAAAGTCCAACCTTGGTCCGTCGGGGACTCTGAAGATGTATGTCTCGAAACTTCATTTACAGATGTGCTAAGCTAATTACAATCAGGCTCGTGGACGGTGCCGGTGGTGTACGAACTATCCATGCCATTGAAACAGTAACGGTGTCTGACAGTGCTACAAACAGATCAAGCTGACGAAGGATGGAAACGTTTTGTTGCGCGAGATGGTAAGCGGACTCTCTACCGGCGAGCTGGAGACGATGAAATAGCTAACTATCGCAGCAAATCCAAAACCCCACCGCCGTAAGACCTTATCCTCCCCTGCGACGATGCTTCGTATTGACTCCACAAGGTTATGATTGCTCGCGCTGCGACCGCTCAGGATGATATCACAGGTGATGGAACGACGTCGGTTGTATTGCTTGTCGGAGAACTCCTCAGGCAGGCGGATCGTCATATCTCAGAAGGACTGCACCCCCGAGTCATTACGGATGGTTACGAGATCGCGAAGAACGAGGCTCTGAAGGTGAGGATGTTGTAAGATTCCATCTGATCTAGCGCTGATTATGCTGGCGAACAGTTCCTCGACCAATTCAAGATTGAACGGACGATCGATCGCGAACTTCTTCTTTCCGTCGCCCGAACCTCCCTTAGTACGAAGTTGAACAGCGCTCTCGCCGAGAAGCTCACTCCCGATATTGTTGATGCCGTACTTGCTATCCACCGAGCTCCAGAGAAGCCCGACCTGCACATGGTTGAGATCATGACAATGCAGCACCGCAGCTCTTCCGACACACAGCTTATCCGTGGTCTTGCTCTAGACCACGGTGCTCGACACCCCGATATGCCGAAGCGCGTCGAGAACGCCTTTATCCTTACTCTTAATGTCAGCCTCGAGTACGAAAAGTCAGAGATCAACTCCGGATTCTACTATTCATCCGCTGAACAGAGGGACAAGCTGGTGGAGAGCGAGCGCAAATTCGTGGACGCGAAGCTACAGAAGATTGTCGAACTCAAGAAGCAGGTCTGCGGTGATGATCCTAAGAAGGGCTTTGTTCTCATTAACCAGAAAGGAATCGACCCTCTGAGTCTGGACGTCTTGGTGAAGAACGGAATTATGGCTCTTCGGAGAGCTAAGCGGAGGAACATGGAGCGTCTCCAGCTTATTTGCGGAGGTATCGCTCAGAACAGTGTCGAGGACCTTACCCCTGATGTTCTTGGGTGGGCCGGTCTTGTCTATGAGCACCAGCTCGGTGAGGAGAAGTACACATTCGTCGAGGAGGTCAAGGACCCCAAGTCCGTTACTATTCTCATCAAGGGTCCCAACGGACACACCATCGCACAGGTCAAGGATGCAGTCCGAGATGGTCTCCGATCAGTGTACAACACCATCGTTGATGGATGCGTTATTCCTGGTGCAGGAGCGTTCCAGGTCGCCTGCCATGCTCACCTTACATCGGACAGCTTTCGCAAAACCGTCAAGGGCAAGGCCAGATGGGGTGTCGAGGCCTTTGCTGACGCTCTTCTTATTATTCCCAAGACCCTTGCCGATAACTCTGGACACGACATCCAGGATTCCCTGGCTTTGCTGCAGGAGGAGCGGGCAGAAGGCAATGTTGTTGGCCTGGACCTGACTACGGGAGAGCCCATGGACCCTGTGCAGGAGGGTGTGTTTGACTCTTTCCGCGTTCTGCGGAACTGTGTCGCTTCCAGTACAGGTATCGCCTCGAACCTGCTGCTCTGCGACGAGCTCCTGAAGGCTAGGCAGATGGGTAAACAGGGTGGACCCGGAGGCATGGAGTAAAAAACTCACACACAAAAATATAGATGAAAGAATCATACCATTCGGGGGCCGTACCTCAGCAGCTTCTGCCTAAAATGTACTGAATATCTTCAAAGATTGGTAAATAATACCATCAATTTAATTCTGATACGGCTATTGCTGTTGCCTGTCATTAGAACAACCTGTTGCATGTGGACCAGATATATTGTTACCCTAGCTCTAGCAAGTGGTTAGGTCTTGAATCACTATTTAGAGGTTCATTGAGTATTGGCGGAGTTTTTTTCTCTCCTTTTTTCAACAAGAATATATACAGGTCGCTAGATAACTAAGCTGCCTACTGCATAGCAGAATCAACACTGGAGAGGGGTATCCAACAAGATGCACAAACGCAAAGTCACTATTCTTCTTCATCACTATCTGGGATCACCAATTCCCGGTTTTTAGCATGCTCCGACTGGCTCAGGCAAAAGCCTTCCTCCCGAACGGGTTCTCGTATACTGACTTTATGGGCATCAGCCCACTCCAGAACCTTGGACCGTCGGATGACGACTGGAATCGCCTCACCATCCCCTGAGCTTGACTGCATTCCCTTGCGTGTCTTTGAGGGCGTAGCGGGCTCAACGGCGCCCAAGCCGCGGAGTGCGGTGATGACATCCTCTGTTAGCATACCTGTAGCCCGGCCGATTTCCTGAACAGTCATGAGTTCGTACGGGTGTTTCTTACGACCTCTATTGGAGGCCGGTTTTTGCGTTTTCGAGTCGTCGAATTGCGCCAATGTCGCTCCAACCGCCGCATCGTTGCCGTCGGAAGACGACCGCAAAAGGAGATGCCTGGCTATCCGTTCCTCCCAGAACCGACCGTAACTCCTGCTTCCCATCTCGCTGAGCGGCTTCTCGGGGCCCCCGATTAGGCTGCTATCCTGCTCCCACCGACTTATTTTATAGCTTACCCCCATCAACAGTTTTCCCAGCTGTTTATGTTGGTATGGCGGAAAGACAAGAATGCAGGCTAGGTTATTCGCGTCCCAGGAGAGCTTCTCCTTTGAGAAGAAGCCAAGAATATGGTACGTCTCGTTCGGGTCATTGTCGCCAGTATTCGGATCGGTGAAGACGAGGATATAGTAGAGAAAGGAGACGACGTCAAAGAAGACAGATTTATGGTCAAGGAAGAGCTTCGAAAAGAGCGATAGATTCTGGCCGAACAGTTTGTGGTCTGCTCCGTCGACTTCCCAAACGGAGTAACCCGCGTGGTCATAGACCTTTACCCCGGGAGGCGTTGTGCGATGCGGACAGAGTCTTGTATGACTCGCATGTGTGTCTATGCCGCAGGAGTACCGAAAGCACCAGCGGCAGACATAGAGGATGTCTGTATCTTTGCTCACGAGTTCTTCGGGGTATATGGACTGGTACCACGTCTGAAAGCGCAAGTTGCCGAGAACGACATGCTGGACGTTGCGGGTCAAGGATTGCGCTTGGGGATCTTCGGTGGTGGCCATGGGCATAGAGAGAGCTGTGGCGAGCTTACGAGGTGAATAATAGCCGGGTTATCACGCGTTAGGCAGGTTCGAGTATAGTTTGTCCCGGGATTGGGATGAGGACGCGTCGAAAGGAATCGCGCTGCGAGGAGGCCATTGGCGATTGATCTCAAAGGCTATATTTCCTGATAAGTCCGCAGTTTGCTTCGGAATCAACATGCCATGATGGAATGGGGCATGGATGCAACTCAACTTGCGATACGAGTCGGCCGCGGTAGTAAATGTTGTTGCTGGTCTAGCGCTTGTCACGTGCCGTACCATACTCTATACAAAGCAGCGGGCTTGCCTGACACCAAAGAAGCTCAAGAATTGCCTCAAAGGCTCCTCTAGAAGTCGCGAGGAGCTCTGCTAGTAAAGACACCTGTATCGGAGGCAGACAGGCTATACTCCGTCCATTCGCACACTGTATCCTACTTTGAGCCTTCCAGGCATCTGCAGAACAATTAATTTAGCATAGAACCATCGATGATCATTGATCAGTTGATCCACCTGCGGCCAATAAATACGCGGGGTACGTCCAATCGCGGCGGATTATCGAAGCTTCGAATGCACTGGATGAAAGACCCTTCCGCCGGGTTCAAGCTCCTGAAAGCTCCAACGCAACTTATCTCGTTGCCTGGATTTCCTTTACCACACTCCTGTTTTCCTATGACCGATAATTACTACTTCGTACATCGGAAGTTCGCCCCTTCTGCCGCCTGACGGGAGCTTTTCAAGACAAACTCCGAGGGTGGGTTTGATAGGTCTGTCGATATCACAGGCAGCAGCCGTCGTATCCCCAGCGCCACCCTCTCCTCTTACAAGCTTCACTCCTCTTCTCTTTTAGGAGCATTCCCTTCCTTCTCATTGTCCACTTCCATCATTTCATCACCGTTAACCATTCTTCTGCTGGTCATCTTCAGTCGTTGTCTTTTTTTTGGCAGCCAAGTGGCCATAAGTGGGCCCGTCATACTTCAACATGCTTAAGCCGTTTCTGATAAGGGACCTCCACGAGGATTCCCCATCGCCCGATATTATTAAAGACACCGCATCTAATTTATACAATGCCACCGATGTGAGCATGGGTCCTCAGCGGCGACATGGACTTGTGCAGTTAGCCGCAGCAGATTATGATGAAATCGCCTATCTTCATCCCCAAGCTCGCTTGTCTTATCTAGATGATGACGATGGAGATATCATCACGGCAAGTGCCTTGATCAAAAAATAGTCTGTTTGACATTTGCTGATAGGTTCTAGGTCGGATCGTCCCTCGAGCTTGCTCAGCGCCTCGACGAACCGCCTCCCCAAAATCCCGATGCAGATTTTCCATCGACCATACATCTGTTTGACATCAGACGGAGAAGGTCCATCACAGATCTCTGGAAGCGGTATGAATACGACCAGCGCCGGCATGTCCCGGAATCGCCAGATATAGATGTGACTACGGCGGACTTGGGCGACCATCCAGCGACATCCCAAGCCGAGCAACCCGATACCAGTCGTGATCAGATGTCGCACGTTGATGATGACAAGGCGAACCAGCCGGAAAACGAGTCATCCGAGTCTTTTCTTTCCGCGTTCGAAATGGAGATGGCCAGGTTGATGAACGAAACACAGCCTCCAGAAAACAACGCCTTTGAGAGCACCTCATCGCCCAGCACGGTGCAGACCGAATCGACCCCTAATGTTCCGCGGGAGACTGCCGAAGCCTTTGCTTCTGCTCTACGGGGTCTCGTAGAAGTGGCAGAGATTATTAAATCTGGGGTACTGTCCAGACTCCCTGAGCTTGAGAGACATTTGGACAACGCCCGAAGAAATATACCAAACGATCTCACAGACTCCATGCGAAACACTCTATTAGCCTTCGAGGAACAGGTCAAAACGATGCTAGCCACTCTTAACAACATACCAGAAACTATCAGGCGGGACAATCTACCAGGGAACGCTAATATCTTCTCGGAGCTCCCTACACCGTACAGCGCTATGAACGGGTTGCGCGAAATGAGCGTGCAGCTTGGCGGCATGGGGCAGACGTTGATGGATACCCTCGAATCCGGAATTCGAGGCGCTTTCCCAGGCCAGGCGGATAGCATATTCTCCAGCTTCCCGAGTTTCTCAGAGTCAACCACTCCGGCAGCGGATCCACACAGTACTGAGCCAGAGAGTGCCTCTCGTCAGCAAGATAATGCATCCCCCGGCCAGGCACAGTCAGATAATCCCGCGGCTTCTCCGTTTCAGCAGTCAGCGACCGCCCCAAATTTGGCATCCAACTCGCAACCACCTGCGTCTCTTTATCCCTTTTGGGGTCCTACTCGGCTCCCCTACATGCCTCCTTTCGACTGGCCAGCATCTTCGTCTGGCTTTGGCCCGTCACCTTCCACCGTCAGCCCCGGCTCTGGCACTGCAGCCGAATCACATCAAACCCACACTGACCTACCGGAGCCACCCAGTCTCGAGTCCCACCCATCCCGATCATTGTTTATTGGTAACATCGGGTTTAACGTAACCGAGGCGATGGTCAAGGATGTGTTTCTGTCTAAAGGCCTCGAGGTTGGTGTGAATTTCCCGCTAGATTCCAGGAGTGGGAAACATGCAGGTTTCGGCTATCTCAGTTTCATATCGGATGAAAATGCTACGCGGGCAATGAAAGAATTGCAAGGGACAGTTATAGATGGACACCGTATCAACCTTGAATACGTCGACCATGCCCCTATGACAGAGCTGTTGTCTCAGGAATCTGAGGGACCAGATCCCACGTCGGCTTCTTCTACTCAGACGTCAGGTGTTGTTCATAACGATAATGCAGAAAATACTCCGGTCTCTGCGCCTAGCAACAACACTGATCCGGAGGCACGTAATGAAACGGTACATGACATGCTGCTTGCTCAAACAGAAGCCCGTTTCCCGCCTGTATCTCAACTAGATGCACACATGCTGGCTGGACAGTCCTCTGAAGCAAGTCAATCAAACTCGTCTTCAGGCGCTGCAAATGCAAGAAACCCTCAGACAGCCATTGGGGAAGGTGCGAGAAGTTACGTCAGTTCACATGAACCTTACCGCGGCGCTTTCTCACCGAATTCAACCTACTGGTCTCATGTCGAACCCCCCGCGAACCATCAGCCTCCTCCTTTCATCCACTACCAACGCCCTCACGTCCAACGCCATCGTTTGCGCCTAAATCCTGATTACCAAACTCCTTGGGGTCTTCACCGGGCAACCACCATGAGGGAGCCAGAAACGCATCGCAGATCTTTTGATCCTTTTGAGCCCCAGCCCGGACTGAGACGACGAGCCACTGAGCGCCATGCTCTTCGTGGTCCACGCGTGTACCCCAGGGGTCCCCGCCATCGAGCATCCTTGGAAGAGCAGACGCCAAACTTAAGCGCGCATAATGAAGAGCCAGATCTGCAGGCGTCCAGGAGAGAACTCAGGGAGGAACAGAAGCGGCGTGCTATAGAGGAATGCGTTTCCATGCTGGTTGACATGGGATATGGAAGCGAGGGAGATGGCGGCCGCCAACGACTGGAAATATATGCAGCCGCAGCCAAGGGCGAGCTGGCTGAGGCAATCGACATGATTGAGGAAGAACGCATGGCTTATGAACAGCGCGAATAGTCTGATTCGATGTGATATTATTGGTTTCAAGTTCGAATCCTTCGGTTTTGGCGTAGTGTCCGAAATGTTTTATATTCTCCGAAAGTCTGAATGTACACTGATTCGAAATAAATTGGACATCTCCCAGCTCTCTTCATCCCTAATATTAAGCGATGTGCTCTTTTCCATTACTATGTATTAAGTTGCAACGCTAGTGCAACGAAGACAATTCTCTTTCATAATACACACATCACACACCGCAACTCGGTTTACTCAGTAACCAATGCTGAACCATGTGCAAGAGTATGTCTCTGATCATTATCTTGAGAGGTTATATAGAGGATAAAGTTAGATGTCTTGCCTCGGGTGTCTGGAAATCATTTCTCTGGTTGCAGAAGATCTGAGGTATCTGGAATAATGAATAGATCAGTAGTCCGAGATGCATAGTACTAACTCCCCGATACATGGGAATAGCTTCGTGACCAAGTAGTTAAATCAAAATGAGAACGTGTCCCTCGCAGCATAACAAAGTCATCTCCTCACAGTCTAATAGTCACACTGTCCGCGCACTCTTTCCAAGGAGAAGGTTCACCATCTGCTCATTCCCCTGGCGCGAAGCAATCTGAAGAGCGTCACCACGTTTCCCATAATTAGCCTGCATATCAGCGCCGCTGTTGAGCAATTTTTCCACAGTCCTCTGATGACCCTCCCAAACCGCAGCCTGTAGTGCTGTTCCCAGACCGTAATAATTGTCAACGGGTATATTTGGATCAGCACCTCTAAGTAGTAGAAGCTCAACAACCTCTTCATGGCCTGCGCTCGACGCTGCAAAGAGTGACGTTTCGTTATTTCCACCGCGCGCGTTGATATCAGCTCCTTTGTCAAGGAGCAGCTTGACAATATCCTCATGACCTGCACGCGCCGCACCCTGGAGTACTGTCTTATAGACGTTGGGTTCGAGGTCCATATTGACCCTGGCGCCGTTGGCTAGAAGTTGTTCGACGATTCCCTGGTGTCCTTGAGCTGCTGCTACATGCAGCGCTGTGCCGTCGAATCGTTGCGCATTGACATCGGCGCCTTTTGTAAGGAGTATTTTGACAATGTCCTCATGTCCCGCACTTGCTGCTCCCTGGAGAACAGTCTTAAAGCACTGCCGCTTGAGATGGATATTGATGTCTGCGCCGTGGGCTAAGAGTTGCTCTACAATGCTTTTGTGACCTGCATATGCGGCATGATACAACGCAGTACACTCATTCCCATGTTGTGCATCAACATCAGCACCTTTGTTGAGAAGCAGGTCCACAATATCTTCGCAGCCTACCCTCGCTGCAGCCATCAGCGGTGTCCCACATTCTACCCCTTGCAAATTGTTAATATCAGCACCATCCCGAAGCAGGAGCTCGACGACTTTCAGATCTCCATTTGTCGCAGCTAAGTATATCGGACTCACTTGGTCTCCGATTTTCCCCTTCCAACCACCACAGGGGTAGGGGCAGCGTAGCTCAGTTTCCAGCTCGTCTTTGGTGACGAGGTTTGCGATACACCACGCCAGACCCTTGCGGGAGCCTGTTAGGGTCTCTTGCAGGTTGAGGCCTTCAGAGAATGCTTCCTCCGCAGTCTTTGCGGGGTTTGGTCCCGTGCGATGATTAGATGGGCGAATTAAGGAGGCACATCGAAGACATTGTAGCGCAGAGAGTCTCGGCCATGTGTATCCTTCCACCAGGAAGGGTTCTAGTGAGTTTGGTGAGAATAGTTCGGGCTCCAAGTGCTCTTTGAGTTCTGTCTGGCTTTCGAAGGTCTTTCCGCAGCTGCCCTTGTTCGGACATGGATAGTTGGGTAAAAGGAGTTGATTATCTGGTGCATCTGTCTACAGATAGAATGAATATCAAGAACTCAATTTGTATTTGGAGTGTGGACGAACCTTTGTTAGTCCCTGATTCCGTGTTAGATGTTGATTATTGTTCCGGCTTGAGGGGTTCGGCTTTTTCGGCGGCACTCTGTAGAGGTATAATCAGCCAAATCAACAGATTCCCAGGAGCTTGCTACTTACAGAAGTTTAAAATGCGCATCCTCAGGATACACTGCTGATGCCCAAGGCGGTAGTGGTGTTTGGAATTTTACCTCACTATTCTCTTCGTTCGTGTTTCCGGATATCCTCGCATTCGCTGATACAGACATGCTAAGCTGCGTTCCAGGGCGTACGAACGACTGCCATGTCTCAGCTGTGATTAGATTCCACGTCTTCGGCTTTCCCATAACAGGGCTGAAAAGCCAGATTGATTGGTGACGGACAACTGCCCTTATCGGATTATCTCTGAAAGCATGTTTAAGGAAGTCCATGAAGCCCTGTTGGTTATTAGAAATCCGAGTTTAAACAATAGAACAGTCCAGAGTAAGCGCACCTCAAATTTTTCACACACTTCCAGCGGCACAGGATACCGTCTCCCGATAGCATCCTGGAACCGAACCGGCTTCTGGTCCCAGGGCTCCTGCAACTCATTGATCTGCAACTTTAACTGCTCGGTACCGGTTCGTATCCGAACATCGAGATTGTGTGACCCAGCTTGCACCTGTTCCTGGAGATCTTGCACCATCTGGCTGTGAATGAGTCCTCATTAGCATACCTAACGATAATGTTTTCGAGACGAACTCCTCATAAAGTACCTAGCCGAAGATTGCATAAGAAGCGCCAAAGCTGCTGTATAACTTTGGATAGGCTCCCTGAATTGTTGGATCTGCTTTTTGCCAAATAATGTCCACTGTACCTTTCTCCTCAGACTACCAATTCCCCTCGTCCCATTCTGATGCACAGAACCGACACGGACACTTTTGTACTTATCAATATGCCGATGGAAATCCTTCATCAAGCGCTCGATTTGCACAAGAAGCCGTTTCGTTCTGTCGACATGCTCCTGTGACGGAAGTGTATTGTTCGTCACTACATACTGGAACTGAACAACGACGTCATGAAGGGTGGAGAGCTCGAGCTGAATCTCCCGAAAGAGTTGCGAGTCTTCAGAGGTCTCGCTCAACGCCTGAGAAAGATTCCATATCAACGTAGCGACTGCTATAAAGTCGCCAACACTGAAGCCGAACGCGGAGGCCATGGTTCATCGATTGATGGAAGCATGCGGATAAATAAACAAGATGTCAATGGACAACAGATGGGATTGATCCCGTCGACATCAAGCCTGGGCTGAAATCCATAACTCGTATTCCCTCCGGGCACAGCCACAAGGCAGACGAGGTATATTCCGTTGTAAGAGCCAGGGTAGACGTGGGTATTGGTTATTGGTTGCCATAACTTTGAGACTAGGGTTGACGAGTGTCTGACAGACTGGTGTGCTGGTAAGGTTTCTGTATATACAAGATGAGTAGTTGAATATGCGATCCCATCCTATGTTTGTGCTGTTGGGAAGGTAGTAGAGGGGATGTCTTATCGATACCGTAAGTGGAGCTGCCATCTGTTATCGATAAGACCTCGGCTTATCAGCTGAATCAACCGGCGATTTTCCGACTCGACCACAACAATCACTGCTCACTAGTTCTAGAACAATTCATTTTACCCAGCAGAAATGCAGACATGGCGACGAACATTCGTCACGTCTCTTGCCAGACTGAACCATAAGCCTCCAGCAGCGCCAAGCTCGACGCTTCTCCGATGCGCGCAAGTCCTTCAAAGCAACCGGCAAGAGCCCTGCAGTCTTGAAGACCAGGAAATCAAACTGCAGGGCTTCGTTCGCTCTGTCCGCAAGCAGAAGCGCTTCGCTTTTGCGGAGATTACCGATGGCTCGTCCGCTCAGGCCGTACAGGCGTTTCTGAAGCCTGAACAGGCAGCCGAGTATGTCAGCCGCGATCTTCTTTGACTTCCTCGGACGTTGCTAATCGGTTTGGCTCAGACTATCAACCGGAACAGCGATTGAGATATCAGGTGTATGGAAGGCCTGTCCGCCTGGCAAGGAGCAGAGCCATGAGCTGCAGGTGACAGCTGTGAACATCATGGGCAAAGCAAACCCAGAGGTAGATCTTGTGATCAATGACAAAGTTGACTTGCATTGACCGACATGCCGACTTGAACAGACATATCCTATCCAGAAAAAATACCACAGCCCTGAATTCCTCCGCCATATTCCTCACCTCCGCTTCCGAACCGATATGAACGCTCTCCTCGCTCGCTTCCGATCAGAAGTCCTATACCAGCTTGGAAATGTCTTCCGCGGCGCTCCAAACGGCGGCTTCATTCAGGTCCAGCCGCCAGTAATAACGTCTTCGGATTGTGAAGGCGCGGGTGAGACCTTCGCCGTCATTCCGCGCGTGACTCTGGCCAAGGGTCTCCCGGAAAATGAATATGACCACTTCTTTCGAGCGCCCAAGTATCTCAGCGTGTCGTCGCAACTTCATCTAGAAGCCTACGCCGCAGAACTGGGAAATGTCTGGACGCTATCGCCCATGTTCCGGGCCGAAAAGAGCGAGACCCCGCGTCATCTCAGCGAGTTCTACATGCTCGAAGCGGAAGTGAACTTCCTCTCCGATCTCGACGCACTCACCGACACAGTCGAGTACCTCCTCCGCGACCTAACCCGCCGACTGTACGACACGCCCGCAGGACAAGAGATCCTCTCATTCAAGCGCGAGAAGAGCCCAGGAGCCCCGGAGTCGGAGCAACCGGTTAACCTCCGCCAGCGCTGGACCGATCTCATGGAAGGTCCCAAATGGCGCCGTATAACCTACACAGACGCCATCGCGGCCCTACAGGATGCTGTCTCTCAAGGGAAAGTAACCTTTGAGTTTCAACCCAACTGGGACGGCGGTCTACAGCTAGAACACGAGCAGTACATTGTTGAGTCCCTCAACAACGGCCAGCCCGTCTTCGTCACAGACTACCCGAAAGCCATCAAGCCATTCTACATGTCGCCGTCGCATACAACAACCCCGAATGGAGAAACAGTCGCCTGCTTCGACCTCCTCCTCCCCGAAGTCAGCGAAGTCGCCGGCGGCTCGCTAAGGGAGCACCGTCTCCCGGAACTCATCCAGAACATGCGCGAGCACGGGCTCATCAAGACCACGTCGGAAGGGGGAGCAGTGTACCCGGGCCTGCAGCCTAATGAAGACCTGGGCCATTTGCAGTGGTACGCGGACTTGCGGAGGTGGGGGTCTGCGCCGCATGGTGGGTTTGGACTCGGTTTCGACCGGTTCCTGGCATATTTGACTGGTGTGCAGAGTATTCGAGATACGGTTGCGTTCCCGAGGTATTTTGGGCGGGCGGATTGTTAGATAGCCTCGATTATCTTATAATGGCTGTGTATTTGTATAGATAGGTGGGTGTAGGATACAAATGTAAACCTGAGTAGTATGTGTGCTCATTTTATGAGAAATCTAGACTATCTAGAGATGTAGCATATCGGATGACAGCGAAGCCAAACCCCACCGAGGCTTTATCGTATGATTGCCTAGGTAAGTCGAACGGTCGCATTCCCGAGGTCATATTCAAGCCCAGCTCTTGACATCATCTACTCAAGTACATTCCATACTGTTCTACGGTGTACCGCTATAGAATCGGTAGGACAGGAATCGAGTCCCGTCCGGACGTCCCTGCCGAGAATTGGTAATCCAAACCTTAAAGTGCCCAGGTACAAATACCTGGCTCCTTCCTCTTCTCCCCTCGCTCTTTCCTTCCCTCCTACATCTATCTCCATATGCTTGGCCATCTATCAATCATCTATTTCCATATGCTTGGCCATCTACCAGTCATCTATTTCCATCTACTTTACCATTTATCTATCGGCGAGGTAGTTGGGCTAGGGGTTGCCCCCGTACAGTCCAGCGACTTTGCCATAGAGCTGCCATTTATTTACCATCTATCTGCCATATATCTATCGGCAGGCTGGTTGGGCTTGGGGTTGCCCTCGCATAGTCCAGCTAGTCTGCCCATAGAACTGCCATTTACCCACTCCGCATCGGCGGACTAGTTGGACTTGGGGTTGCCCCCGTCTAGTCCAGCTAGTCCGCCATAGACCTGCCATCTATCTGCCATCTATCTATTGACGGACTAGTTGGACTTGAGGTTGCCCTCGTGTAGACCAGCTCGTCCGTCATAGACCTGCCATATATCTGCCATCTATCTATTGGCGGACTAGTTGGGCTTGAGGTTGCCCTCGTGTAGTTCAGCTAGTCCGCCTCTAGAAGTTGCCATATACTTTTGATGTAACGGTATGTCCCAGGACCACCTACCTAATGTCGGTCAGCGTGGTCAGGGACTGTCTGGTTCACACGGAACCCATCTCTGCAAGAATGCCAGGCTCAAAAGGCAGTGAGGCCAGTCCAGTTTACGATCCTCAGCGGACATAGTGTATCGATAGTCTCAACACTCACTCCGTTAAGGCCCAAAGAACGAATGCCCTCTCTTGTCGTCAGTTCGCCTATCCAAATCCCCCATTACACCCTTGACCGCTTCCTCAAGATTTCTCCAGATCCTCATCCGGTTCCTCAACCCCCTTATTTCCCGCGTTTCTCGCTTGATATTCTCATACAACATTCGCCAATCTGTAGTACTGTGTGGCGGGACTTTCCACGCCCATGGAGGGTTCGATATCCGCTTGTTTACATCGATCGTATGGCCAGGGACGGAGTCCTCCTGGCAATGTTTCTCGATGTCTTGCTGAGTTACGGTCGCCCAGAAATAAGGCGGCTCAGAGCTCCATGCTTCCCATACCCATGGCATATCTTCTTGTAGCAGGTGTTTCCAGCCGGTATTAGGTAGGTGTTGGAAGCTTGTTGGGAAGGCGAGGCGTAGGTTGTGGATATCTTTCGAAACGAGGTTGGTGAGGATCATGGAGCGGATTTCTTGGGGCAGAGCCGTGAACGGGCCTTTCTCTGTTACGCCTTTGGGAGCAGGGACTGCTTTTGGAGGGTCAGGACCTGCATTGATGTCGGCGTTGACAGCCTTGTCAATAAGTTCCTGCAGTCTCGGAACGAAGAACGGATTCGTAACGGTGTAGCCGTACTCATGGCCCCATTTAGCCTTTTCATCATTGTCATCACAGACGTCAGCATCCTCATCGTCTGTAGTATAGTTTATCCCAAAGTAATTATGGTCTCCGGCATCGAACCAGTCCACGAGACGATCAACGACGATATGCCCGACTCGAAGCTTGCATATCTGTATCCAAGTACCCCAGCACCATGAGTGAAAGACAAGAGACGTCTCATATTCATTAAAGTTAGACTGCGGATCCCCAGGGGCTTGGATATTCCAGACGCCATGTCTAGCCGGCGAAACGGATGCGTCAAATTGATAGATCAGCATATCATCGCAGACTCCAGAGAGAAAGTAGTTGCTCTCAGCCTCGAATTCCAATTCGCACGCTTCGGGCTCCCAAGTCAGATTCTCGGATGTCATCTCATCTCCCTCTTTCGAAACAAGGAACTGCGCCATGCGGCACCCGCGCATCTCGTCGATCGAGGTCTGAGAACATTTATACGCATCTTCATTTGAATTGCATCTAGGACCCGCAATGTGTTCGAGAGCCTCCCCTTTCACGCCAAATCTATCGTCGCTCTTCTTCAGCGGTTTGCTGGGATTGACGACGGGGGGTTGCGACCTTTGAGGTGGAAGCCGACCGTTGGCAAATTTCCCCTTGTGCTCGAACCACAAGATCTCGTCATACCAAGGTCGACCGGTATATTCGGCCCCTCTGTGCACAAGCTCTGCATCACGGACAACGTAGCAACACCCTGTCTCGGCCGTTGTGCACTCCTCGCAGACTTCCCTTATTCCGGCGGAGTCACATATTCGCTGGCACTGCGGAGCGACCAAGCGGCATCTGGGGGCTCGTCTATGGTGCAGATTCGGCTATGTTGAAGGGGCTGAAGCATAGTGCGCAGTGAAGCTGATGTAGTGTTGGTTGGTAGCCATGGCAGGAATTTGAATGCCAAACGTACCTGGATGATTCCTTGGGATATTAGCGGCTGGGCCAGTCATGAGTAATTGTTCAAGAACAATCTTACCCATCATAAGCTTATTAAATCGAGATAAATGTGTATAAGACAACTATCTTTAGGAAATCGTCGTTCGGGGTGCCTTCGGCTTAGGTGGACCCTCAAGCATAGCCAGGAAACAGACCGGTAACGACTGGGCAGAGCATTCATAGAGAAAAAGAAGGAATTATACAGCGTTGCACTGTACTGAAGATATGGTAGTGGAAGGACATTGGTCTGTCTCGTGACTTCAGGCACCTGCCCTGCAAGGAAAGCACCGCTACTCCGTAAGCTCATCGGTAACTCCGAGGAGCCTCATTCTCTTTCATCTCACTCATCCCCAATTATTAACTACGGTACCGAGTCATACTTCCAGGATTTCCGACTTCCGAGACACAATCTCCAATCTTACGAGTACGCAGCCGAGATCATCCTATATCCGACTATAAAGTCGAAAGATTAATGTTACATCGCGGACGACGAATTTTCATGGATGGATACAACGGACTCGGAGTAGGCGGATCCACGTCGGCACAGTCCGCCCCTTGCCCACGCAGCGCTCGGAGTATACAACCTAATTATCAACCATATCCATAACTCAAGAGTCAGGAGTCAACGCAATCATGACCCCTCGCGAAATTCAGTCACACGACTTCCGAGGAGAAGGTTTGAATCTTCCATGGAAAGAGGCATCTCATCGGATCCATGGGCCCGATGCAGTCAGGAATACGACGGGCGACCGTGGATTTGGAAGCTGACAAAGTATAAAATAAGGATAAAGATAAAGACGCCAGAGCCAAGACAAGACAAGATATGAGAGTTACGGAAGCGAGGCACGTGGATTCGCTCCGTATTCCTCATCCTTACGGGGTATCCTCTTCCAAGGTTCCTTCCAAGCCTCCAAGCCTCCGAGAACGGCTCGCTCTTGTTGCATCATGTTATTCGACGAGCGGCCAAAACTCGCCAAGCTAAGGTAATTCTCCGATCGAGTAAGGGGACGCCTTGCCCATAACAGGCTCGGCTCTCTTACCGTTGCGGCGTTGCCTCGCCTCGCCACTGCGATCCTGCTCCGTCGGATCCTGGATGGGACAGTGGACAGTGGGCCGACGATACGAAGAGGCGTTTCAGCCCAGGGCTCGGCTGGGCGCAGCTGCTCTAAAAGGCTTGGAAGCCCCGACGGCGGATAGGCACGGAGGATTTATGCGAGATAAATGAGTGGGCTGGGCTGTGGGTAAGCAGGAACCGGTTCTTAATATACGAGTGTGCCTAATATTGGTACCGCTGGGCCTTCGAGAAGAATTATTATTATGAATCGTTATGTAAGGAAAGCTGGAATGTCTTACCCTCGGAGTCCTCCTCTTCCGTCGGATCCGGTTTAAAGAAAGAAGCCAAGAGTCAGTCCGGGTGGTGGCAGTGGAGCACGCGGGGATGCCAAGTTGCCAACCTTACTGGCGTTAAGCATATCTGCATTGGGAATGAGGTATTTTACTACTATCGCCTCGAAAAGGCCTACTTTAAGCCAATTATGCTAGTGGAGATAAGCCTGTGCAACGTTCCACAGCACCCCTGATCGATGCCTTCGCTGAGCGTGCTCTGGGCAGATTACTGGTCGTCTCGGTCCCGTCAGAGTCTCAGAGACAAAGAGCGGATGATGTGATTCATCAGGCGATCTGTCTTTTGGAGTGGTAATGATACAAGTGGCTCTAGCTGCGCAGCCAAGGAGCCAACTAAATTGGGCCGACTCTGTTGGCGATACGCTTATCCTGGCGTCTTGTCGCACGATGCTACCGAGTCAGTCAGGGCTCTCTTTGATTATTATTGACGCAGTGTCACCACTGCCCAGCTCTATTCCAGCGACGTAACAGTCCTGAGTGAGCTTTTCGGACCAACTGCAACTGCACCTGTCAAGAGGCCCTCTGTATTGGAAGGGCGCGAGGAGCAGCTGACGGATCCTTCAGTTCGGTGCACAGCGAGTCATAGCCACTGGGACAAGCTTTATTCAGCTGGAATCCGTGCAAGAAACCAAAGAATCCGGGTGCCTGGCTGGCTCGTTTATTTTGCCCTTGCAAATAATTGCCACAGCCTTTCTTAGCCAGCGAGTGGGGCGTAAAATACGGTAAGCGAGAGTTAAGGTTCCTCGTGTTGGTTTAAGCTTAAGCTTCAGAAGTCACGCTCTATTCCCTTCTGGTGGGCGCCACTCGACTCACGCTGCTTCCTCGCTCTTTCTTCCCTTCTTTCATCTGGACTTCCTCTGCCTGACTGACTCTGATGCTGCGCTCTGGACTGTCTGCGTAGGCGTTCTACTATGATTCATTGCAGCTCCCTCCTGCAAGCCTGATTGTCCCCTGCAACCTGACTGGTCTCAACGTCTGTATAGACTAACTTTGCGCAGTGGGGTTGGCTCCACCCGCTCTAATTCTTACCTGAATTCTTACTTTTTTGACTCTTCTTTTGTCCCCTGCTTCCAACTGTCATCCTCTTCTACCTTCCCGCATCTCCCGCCCTGACCCTTCATCGGATCTCTTTTCTCGATCCCCTCACACTCTGTCTCTCCTCCTACATCAAAAAGGTAAGTGCCTTTCTCTCCGAGGCTCCCCAACCTCCTGATCACCTCCTGACGATGAAACAGCCCCTTCAGTCCCTTCGGGCCTGTCCGACTTGCCTGTTTGGGTAATCCTGCATGCCCCGACAGGTCAACCTTTTCTGTAGCCACCTCTCCAAAACTTCACCATTTTCGAATACAACTCACCCCCCGTGGCCCTGAAATCTTCGGCCTCGGGGTCCTACCACCGAAGTTGGATGGAGACGTATCACGGCCACGTCCGCACGCCAGCGGACGCCATTATTCTCTTCGAAGCTTGTCGCATCGGTATGCTGCCCCGCGTCCAGCGGCGGCTTTCTGAAAAGGAGCGTCAGCTGATCCAGTCCGGGTCGGTGTTTGTTTGGGACGAACGGGAAGCTGGCATGCGACGCTGGACCGACGGGAAATCATGGAGCGCCAGCCGCGTCTCTGGCAGTTTTCTAACGTATCGTGAGATGGAGGGGAAGCGCGGAGGCACCAGCGTCCCAACGCAGCCGACGAGAGGTGGGAAGACACCTGAATCGGCACCCGGCAGCGACGACGATCGGGGAGAAGGGCTGGACGATGGTCCAGACGGATATCGGTATAAGCCAGACGGCTTAATGAAGCAATCGTTCAGTATTACGACCTCCACTGGTCAGCACCTCCATCTCATCAGTTACTACTCGCGGGGGCACCCCAACGCGGCCAATCTCCTACAGCCGTCCACCGATCCAGCCCTGCGCAGCGTGCGCCCGCAAAAGGGCCTTTACCCGGAATCCACCGTCAACGATCAGCAGAATCTTCCTGTTGTCACGCGCGGTCCGATGACGGGCGCGCCTTATGCTGTGCCGCCGCCGCCGCCTCAGCACCACCCCATGGCCGCCGCGTATGCTCGCTCCGGCGCACCTCACCCGCAGTCATATGCACCCGCATACGCCTGGCCTCCAACACCCTTGGGTACTCCTCCTGCTGTCCCAATCCACTATCCCGCCTACGTCTCGCCGCACCACCCACCACAATACCACGCACTTCCACCACCGCCGCAACAACCCGGCTTACCCCCTGGCTATGATCGCGCAGTCTATGATCGAGCAGTGCATCCGATGGAGGGTGTCCCAATACCAGCACACCTAATCCCGCAAGGATCGATTATTATTCCCGCTCGGTCACCTCGCGTCATGGCCGAGCCCACCCCGCCCGAGTACGGCCCCGACCACCGCCGCGCCTCTCCACGCATTCCACCTCCACATCCTCACTCAAGTCCGCATGCAAACGGAGTCACCGTCCCTCTTACCGCCGCCCGCAGCCCGCGAGTCCTCAGCCAAGCTCCCCCTCCCCCACCTGCAGCTATCAGCATTCCGCCTCCGAATCCGCCCTCCAGACCGCCATCCGAAACTAACGGCGCCAACGGCACTGTTGTACCAAGCATCAATGTGCTCATGAACAGCACGCCGGGCTCCTTGCCGTCGATCTCAGCAGCCGTACCCCCACCTTCACTTGCACCCGCTGGCTCGGGCGCGCCTGCGACCGCACCTACCCCCGCAGCAGCAGTTGCAAACGGGCGGGCGGCGGAGGGGCCGCGCGACATACCCAGCGACAAGATTGGATTTGGCGGCGAGGACATGCGCGCGCTGAGACAGCTGGATCGTGTTTTCAAGGCGTGAAGCAAATCTTCACCAGTCCCATTCTTCCTCTGTGTCTACGACCCTTATGCATAGATTGCCTGCGCTGCGACGCTTTGCTTCTAAACGATTCCCACCATGGTCCTCGTTTTTTTTTTTTGTCCTTATCATTTTCAGATTGTTTACCTATTTTGAATGGTTTTGCTTCGGGTCGGTTCATCGGGTCGGCGTTCAAGATACAGAGGAGCATGCTGCATGGGTGGGTCTGCTTTTCTTTCTTGGTTTCGTTTCTTTGCATCTGGGCGGATTGTGCTATGGCCATCATGGATAATTTTCCTTATTGCACTTGGGCTAGGGATATGATGTTCTCTGCTACTGGGGCAGTACCCTTTTAGGGTTGACTACTAGATAATTGAGAAATCGCCGAGTGATTTTACTTTCTTTGGCAGTAGGCTACGAAGTGCGGGCACATAACACTCTGTCCGCAGTGTCAACATCAAATCTAGAGTTCGGTCTTACCGTGGTTCCCTCCGTCCCACCAGGCATCCATTCAACAGGCGCCCATTGGAAAACAATCATGTATGAAGCTTCTAATCATAGTAATTCATGAGTCTCACGTACCCAACCCACGTACCCAGAGCAGAACACCTACCTAACCCACTTGCACTGGCTTCGTCATCGCTGACGTGCACATCCACATCTGGCATTATTCCTACTCACGTACGGCATGGTCACATTTTACTTACTACTATCTGTCTGTAAGCGTAATGGTCTATGGACCTCTTAGCTTATACACCCAACTTCTAATGCGTACTGAATATATTCGGGGATATAAGGTTCTTCTCGACACGCGCGTATATGTATATTGTACTATGTAGGCCAGTTGTATATTGTACCTAGGCTATATAGGTCGCTGCTTAATGCTGCCTGTTACATACGACCATAGGGTGTGGAGAACAGGGCTTCCCGTCCGCTCAGCCGTACTTAAACCACACGCCGGCTTGTTAGTAGTATGGTGGGTGACCACATGCGAATCCTAGCTGTTGTATGTTTTTGTTTTTGCGATTTTGGCTGTTGGGGGTGTGATTTTGGCGTGATTTTGGCGTGATTTTGTTGAGGGGGTGGTTGCGTTGCGGCGCGGGTGGCTTGCTTATAGGTACTGTAGACCTAGTCGAACTGTAGCGAGATGGCGGAGAAAAAGGGAACATGCGCTTGTATGGCCAGGTCCCGTCAATACAAATCAAAGACATTACCTGCTTCTGTTGAATAGGCCCCTTGTTAAGGTGTTTGGCTAGATGTTAGGTGGCTTAGAGCTAGAGGGTCTGCTCAGCGCACGGTCTATATCTTTACTTTCTCAGAGCCAAAAGGTATGGTGAGGAGGGACGAGGTGGAAGAATATATAGTTATTCTACACGCTGCTTTGTTCTATTTGTTCAACATCACAAGTGACAAGTGAGTATTAAAGTACTATCTGTACCATATTTACATGTATTCACATCATATAGACAACTGAAGAAATAGAAATAAAAGCAAACAAGATACCTACCAGGGCGTCACGTATATCGAACGGAGCCTTATAACCTAAGTAACCAGACAAACCAGCCCCAGACCTCGTAACAAATGACATCGTCGCCGCGTACACGCCGTCAATCAATATAAGTACAAGCCAAGCAATGCAAGTAAGACATAAAGACAAGAATCGAAAGCAAAGTTAAACCATCCGCCCCATTTTTGATGTTGGTGTTGTTGATGTAGTATAGTCAACATATTCGCTTGATGCCGCGCCATGCCTCCAGTCCGCCTCCTGCGAGTAGGGACTCGACCTCATGGACAGAGAAAGTCGCCTTTCCCAGTTCCAAAATGGCGCCGTGCTTATCCATGCGAAGCCAATAACCCTTAGTTTTATTGGTGCGAAGCACCCAGAGTGCCGCCCAGCCAACAGTTGCCATATACATGGCATGCAGAAACATAACGCCAGGTTCACTTCAGGCTGCAGCATTGTGAGCGAACCATGCAACCTAGACCTTGATACCAAGCATGGTCGAGAATCATGTAATCAAGAAATCCATGTTCATCTCCTTGATGATCCTCTCCCAATCCCAGCTGTCCTCGCTCCGGGTATCCATGACCTCCCAAACGCGCTGAACAACCTTGAACGCAGGCTCGATATTCCTCAGGTTCGAGTATGCCTTGAGCGCCTCGAACCCCTTCTGGATGCGCTCTCGTTGCCGCGGTAAGAACGCAGAGCACCCGAGCAAGAACAGCGGCATGAGCACGATACTGAACGCGCCTGCGTCCTGCGGTAGTAAGTCCATATACTCGAGCCCATCGTCAACGACCTGTGCAATCTTTTCGCTCGGCCGCGACGGCCGGATCGTGCGGTACAGATACACCCACGTTGACTGCCGGTAGAGCTGCGCGAGGTAGTAGTTTGGTGTATTTGGCGGGTGGGACGTCTCCCACGTGCGGATTGACGAGTCGATCATCACGGCGTCCGAGAGAATCTGGTAGTCGACGGCGGGCTCGTAGCCCTCGCTGAAGCGTTGGCGGATGCGGTCGCGTAGCCGGGTGACCTGGGAGATGTAGCGGAAGAGGCCGTCGAAGACGCCGAGGAACGAGCCGGCTTGCGCGTGCGGTACGAAGTCGGGGAGGCGGAGTTCGCCGTCCAGATGTGCGGGTCTTCGATCAAGGGAGGTGATGGAGTTTGAGACGTCGTGATACTGGAAGAACTCGACGATGAACTGGCGGAAGTTTTCGTTGCGGGGCTTTTGCGTTACGAGTAGGTATCGCGCTGCGTCCATGTGCGGGCGATATTCGCCGTTTGTTTCGCCCTCGCAGATGGTGTTTAGGGAGAGTGCGATTGTAGAGGCGATGATGGGGTCTTCGGAGAGGAGTTCGGGTTCGGGGTCGGGGCCCTGTTCGCTTGTTTTTGTTCTCGGTTGCTCGGCTGTCATGTTTGAGCGTGCGATGATGTTGGCTTTGAGGTCTCGGATTGCGCGGTGGAAGTGGTAGAATTTGCGCTCTTTGACGCCTGGTTCAGGGTTTAGGCCTGAGAGGTGCGAACCGGAGAGGCACATAAGCGAGTGCATGAGGCCGCGGTGCTGCGTTGCCATTGGGAGGAGGATCTCTTTGAAGGGGTTCGAGTCGTCGTTGATGAGGGTAAGGACGCGGCTGAAGCCGTAGACGAAGTGGTCGAGGAGTCTGCGATCCATCTCGGTTTCGATGCCGTCAATGAGAATGGGGAGGGAGCGGAGGACGACCGTTTGAGTGCGGGCTGCGACATTAGCCGGCGGACAAGATGGTATAGCGCCAGACGTACCATCCTCGAGCTTCTGCTTCCCGCTCTTCCATATTTCCTTTGGTGGATACCCTTCGCAGACGACAGCGTTCTTCTGGCAGTTCAGACAGCTAACGAAGTCAGTCAGCATTTCCCCAGCTCATGGGTACACAGCACTTACGCAGGCTTTGTCTCGTCGCATTTCTTCTTGCGCCGTCTACAGGTGATACAGCCCGTCTTCGAGCGGCCCTTTGTGATCTTGAGTTGCCCCCCAGGCACAGGCAGCGGATGCTTGCGCGGGCGCCCCCGTTTCCGTGGAACATTGACGGGAGCGGCCGCGGGCTCCAGCGCCCTGATGCTCGCCAGTCCGTCGCTGTCGTCCATCTCCTCTACTTTCGGCACTACGTCGGACTCTCCTCCGGCTTCGGGCGACGCGACCACATTGAACTGGAGTACTGCGGAGGGACCGATAAACGTCGTGGACATCTGTGGGAATTTTACGCCGACGCCGCCCACGTCGCCGGGTGGGGAGTTGTCGGAAGAGGGTCCATCGTCCCAGGATTCAGGCGAGTCGTTGGAGGACTCGTCGGTGCTCACGCTGGCGCGATGGGAGAGCATGTCTTGTTCGTCCATGGAGTAGGGATAGTCTCTGGTTCGAGCTGGGTCTGGGAAGGTCAAGGCGGGGACTGGATCGGCTAGACTTGAGCGACAGTCGGCGGGCTGGAGGTAGCCATGGGAGGAGTTACTTTCGAGGTCGGAGCCGGCGGGATGGAGCATGAATGTGGGGGAGTTTTGCATGGACAACATCCCATACAGCACCGGGGGACTGAAGGAGGGCGTGTCAAGGGAAGAAGAGCGATGGGCGATGGGATGGGAATATGGGATGGGAGAGAGTGATGTGATGTTCCTGAGAAGTGGGGGCGAGGGTCGTTTGGTCTGCTTGGCTGCTTGCGAGAGAGCAAAAGGTGCCAAACTAAACGACTAGGAGGGCGACGGGCCTGAACTCTTAATATGTGCTCAGACTAAGCAGGCCGGTTTGAGTGAATAATACAATCTGGTTGTATGACTGGGCTCGCAATGAGGATCAGTGGGTACCTGCTACACCCAAGGCACCTGGAGGCAACTTGATCTCTTGTATTTGATGACACTTCAAGAATGCGGGGATGTGCACAAACTTTGCTAGAACCTTTTGCGCTTTTCTTACTGCGCGTTGCTTTTTCCTTTCCAACCCAGAAATCTCTGCCCCCGACGCCGGAGCTGGGGGAAGCCAACCGCCGCCTGGGGATTCCTTGTTCCAGTTGTTTTGCAAAGACTGATCGTTTCTGGCCTTTCCCCTTTGATTACGAACTGCAGATGTGCTGTTTTCTATTTTGGTGGGTGCCTTGACTCCGTCCAGAGGGCGGTTCAGGCAGTCGCTGTCAACGATACTATTAATGCCCAGCCCCGTCCATCGACTATTAGGCATTATTGAGACTCACCGAGTTCCCTTCCAATGTCTCGATGTTTTGATACATACCTCTCGGTTCCCGGTCATTACATGCATCGACACGGCTCAGCTGGCACCCCACGCTAGGAGCGCCTTGCCCTTCCGGCTTTGGCCGTGCGGAGAAGCGAGTTGCTGACGGCAGACCTTCTTCCTTTCGGGGCCCTGCATCCTGGCCAATCTTGCGTTTCTTTTCCTTTTGTCTGCATCTGTCCCGACTCTCCTTTTTAAATAATTCATTTCCCTCCCGGTCGCCGCGTCGCGGAACACGAAACCACCCAGTGCTGAATCTGGGGAAGTGGGTTGATCTTCGCTCCCATCCACCCTCAAACACAGCACGGACTCCATTCCACAAATGACACCAGCGAACCTTGTATCTTCAGATGATCAGGCTCAGGATCAGGATCGAGACAGGGATCAGATGATGAAATGGCTGAAGCAAAATCCAATCTGGCAGGCTGGTACAAATACGATTCGAGATCCAGACGGTTCTTCCCCGGACGTTCGTACTCGGTCGTCCTCCTCTGGTATTTGTGGAAGTGAACAATCACCGATCTTCCTTCTGCTTCCGCTTACCGGCACGCTTAACCTTGGCTTGGGCTACAGGGCAGCGATTGGATGAGAATTAGTCCGCGTGCTTGGACCATCTGTGCTGTTCTCCGCTGAGTCGGGTCGCTTGAAACTCGGAAGCTGAACTAGGCAGTCGAGCGTCAGACGACCGCGCCTCAAGAGTAGTTCTACTCTAATGTACCGTGTACCAGCGAGCACTGTGCAATATACCTCGCTGACTGTGGTACGGAAGCGTCACCACCATACCACGAGAAATCATCGCCCGTGTCCTCCGTATGGTGTACGAATGTGCGGATTACCCAGTGGGGAAAGCCGCAGGGCCAAGTCAAGGCGCACGCAAGGACGTCTTGGCTGACTGAGTCTGGATTCTGCCAGTCTGGACTTGTCAGAGTCAGGGGAGAGCTAGTCTAGGACCTCTAATTTTAAACGAGCTGGCCGCGGTCATGCATGCACTTAACCTGACACCGACCGGGGAAATAAGCATCATGATTCGAAACGCATGCCTTGATGATACAACCGGCTCTGGCTAGATACATTAATCTACCAGGGTCGAGTCGATCTTAAAACCTGCGTATCTCTGTACCTCTGTGCCTCTCCCGAGTCCCTTGTAGTCTTCATTGTTCAGTGACATGTGGATCCGCAAGGGAACTCCCGTCGGTGCCACTGGAAAAGACAGCAAACATTCAACAAAGAACTCCAGATTCACCCCGATATTACCCCAGACTTGGCCCCATCTCACAAGATTGACGAATATCTATACGTATTCCTTACGGAGTACAGCTGGCATGCTGACAATCCTTGCATATAAGCGAGCGAAATGCGGAGGCGACAGGGGCAGTCAGACACCAAGAAACCCCTTAGGCTTTGGCAGAACAGAAGATACTGGTACTTCGGCTTAAGGCACAGGTACAGGAAGACTCTCACTCCCATCCCCTCAATTCACAGGCGCAGCTCGGCTGTATGCCACGGTCCATCATCTAGTTTCTTCCCCGCCATCATCGACATCTCCGAGTCCAAACCGGAAATTTCATGGTGTGATCAGGGATCAGATCCTTCTCTTTAAAAGCCTAAAAGGCAAGAAAGTATCGTCTCCCCGAGAGAGTCCAGACTCTAGCTCGGACGCGTAATTGGCATCTGACCCCAGCCCAGCCCCTCGTCGAGGTCGAGCGCATGCCAGCAAGGAAGGTCAGCCGAGGATGGCATGGCACACAGCACACAGCATACAGAATAATTATGAACAATTACTCCGTAATCTGGCGGGAAATCGTTTTCGTACCCAAAGTTTCCACTATCTCCTCTTAGGGGAGTGCACTAGCGGGGGATCTGAGGATCGACCTCTCCTCTTTTTGGAGTCTCGGACGGATTCCGTACCCCGTGCATACTATGACTGTTGATGTGACAGTCGTCGTTATTCGTCAAATTGTTGCGGTTAATTTGTTCTGCCACCTTCCATGCTTGCCTATGAGGCGCTGCGTACTCCGTACTGAGTACATTTGTTTACCCTACTAGGTACAAGCACAAACGCGTAAGTATCTTATGCTTGGTTCCTGCTCCGGCCTCGGAGGACTGGAGATCCTGCCAGGAATGGCAAGCATATCCGCGCGTTACTTGTTCTCACCTCGATTACCGGCCTCTTATTGCCTGCATCACTCCATGGGAATCGACTCGATACGAAGTACTTATGGTCTGATCGGACCCGATCAACTCCACCTGCTTCACTGTGCAAGTATTCCACAGAATTCTCCACTGCTAGGAACAAGATATCCAGCATCGTTACCTACCTGATATTCTGTTTAGTAAACGTTACGCAGTCGCCAACCGGTAACATCATCATCGCTGTAACCTGTTGCTCTGCATATGCGGGGTTTATCCAGCCACTCATTCCTGGGCATTTTCCAAGCCTCGTCCGGCCGGTCCTCTCCGCCAGTCCTTCAGTCCTACCCTTCAGTACCTCCCCTGTTTCTATGACTAACAGTTTCCCTCAAGAACCTCCGCAACCCAACCGTTCAGGTGTTGTCTGATCGGACGTGCAGACCAGGCTGACAACCGAGCTTATCCCATTGGCGCCCTCGCCGGCTTCGACTGTTTGGGTAATTCGGAACGTGCTCAAGACGCTTCCAGCTTTTGCGTGAAGGCCGGGCACTCGACGGACAGTCGACGGAGGATTGGAACAATGTTACCTGAGACGGACAAGGTGGTCATCGTGGATGACTGGCGGAGAAGAAGCGAAGGGGATACGCAATGCGGCGTCCCAGTTGGGCATCCGAGCTTCGAGTCAACTGACTGTGTCCAGTGTCCACCGCCGTTGCCTGTCGGAAACAGCCGAGCTGGAGTTGGGCGGCATGGCATGTGAACTGCAGTATCACGAGAACGAGAACGAGAGCGACGTCGGCGTTCTTCTTCGAATTCTGATGGTCGGGAGAGAATGCGTAATCTGGTATCGCATTTCTGCTGTGATTATTGCCTCTATTCTCATTTCCAGATATCGCTTTCTCTCCCCGTATGACAGACTAGCTCGCTGTCAGGAACAAAACCCAGCGATCTGGATCAGAAACTCAAGCTTCGGAGGCTGATGGGCTATTGCTTTTGCGATGGCGCGTTTCTGCGCGTGGGGTGCTCATGGGGTCCTCTCCTGACTGGAGACGGTGGGTTGGTACTTGGGACTCTCAATCGGGGCTGACAGCTTATCACCTCTTCGGAGTCCAGACGGATGGATGGCAGCTCTGTGAAACCGTTCCCGAAACATAATCCTGTGTCAATCTCAAACAAGGATGCGGGATTTGTCCCAACGTCTGGTTTTCAATACCTGATATGGATAGCTGGACATCCACTTCCATTGACCTCAATAACCGGGTCCCGAGCATGGTTTCGCTCATCGCTCGTCCGAATTCCAACCGTGTGCGATATCCAGCGACTTGCCGTCGCCGTCTTTGGATTGGGTGCCCGACGACGCTTGTATTTCTGCCTGATCGACACTCCGCGGAGGTATAGATGTTGATGAGAGTAACGGAGTACGACATCACATCCGAATCACAATCCCTGGTGGCTCAGTTCAACCATTGCGTTTCCTACTCCAATATATTCTGTCAAGGTACATGGAGTACAGCACTATGCCGCGGGGCGCGGGGTTCAGTTGTTGCGGTCCGTTCGCAGAAGGAGAGCATCACCGTCCACAACCCTAAACAGTGTTTGAACAGCACGACGAAGAACACTACCATCAACGGCGATGAGCATCCATCGAGCCGAAAAAAAGCCATGCGGCGGACCTTGCTATAAATGCAGCAGCATATCTCCCCTGCACAAATGCGCATCCTATCACCTTACCAATGCTTATCACCCCAACCTGATAAGATGATAAGCTTGCATACGCACATCGATCGAATGACCTTGACAGCAGGGATCTTACACCTTATCGACCGATCAACTTGGAGAGAGAACGATAAGCAAGCCACATCCGAACCCCGAGACCAACACGGACGCCGATGCCAGATGGCAACTTCATGCCAGACCCGTCCGTCAGCCTCAGATCCGATAGTTAGCTCAAGTCCCGCGAGCCATTGAAACCCAATGCACGCTGACGATTAAGGTAATTCTAACCCTCCGTCCCCTATCTATCCATTTATTCCAGAATCGACGATCGCCTCCTTTTCGAACTCCGCTGTGATCTGATCGGCCATGGCCCATCATCGTTGTCTGAAACCGGGACCTATCTCCGAGATTTTAGGCGCATGTGTCCATGCACTATGCACATGCCCAGAAGACGCTATTGCGCGGCTCATACCCTAGTACGCCCACTATCAATCTCATTGTAACTATACTCGCCCATCGTGTTCCTCTATGACAACCTACTTTCTTGGCATCGCCTGCACTATACTAGATAGTAGGTGTGTACTACCCTTGGCGCTTTCTCTAAGCCGCCGGTTTCATTTTGTTCAGGTTGATAACCGATGGCATCGCCACTGGTGCAACCATCCAGAAACAGCGCCTCATTTTTGAGGCTCGGGTTTTGTACGATAGATGGTTTGCGAGCACCGAGGGAACTCGACTCGTTGGTCTCGTGAGCTGATGGCTCCAGTAGATGGACTCGGTAGTTAGGGTAGACTAGGGACGACCTCCAGCTTATCCATGTACCTACCATAGTCGTGGCCTGAGGCCCCTGGCTCGGTACCTGCTACTGCACCTCCAACAGGATATGGTATGCGCCTGCGGCTTATTCTTCGAGATTCAACTCACCGCGTGGAACGATGTGGGTAGAATAAGTTGCTGAGTATATGTATTACCCGCTCTTATACATCGAAAAGCATAGTATTACCAGGCCGGCTTGAGTGTTTCAACTAGGTGTCCTCAAATACTCGCTACAATTGATGTCTAAGTCTTATGAGATGAGAGCTACATATGCACATACTACGGATACCCAATACTGCCTCTAAACAAACGCAGTGAGCTTTGTGGCAAGCGAGGAACAATTATTCGATGTCCTTGCTTGCCCGAACTGAATTGGGACCAGTAGAGACACTCTTTAACAACAACAAACTACATCGATACACTTTCACAGTGAATTCGAATAAGACACGCTCCACCTCGAGTGCACCATCCCAAACCTGTTCGCCATGACCAGCTGCTGAACACAAGGGCAACCAGTGACACAACATTGTCTCGGAGAGATATCCAAGTGCAGACGCTGATATGATGACCTATTTTAGAAGCAGCCTGGAAGTACCGAAAAGGCATCGAGCCAAAATAGGCCAAGGGATTGACTATGCAGAAAACGAGTCAACAAAGCTCTCTGAGACCGTTGCAGCGAGCTCCAACCATCAGAACATCATCCGTAATTGGTTGACAAGGCGTCCGACTCGAAGATTCCTCTATTGTTACTTCAGCATCAGTCAAAGACAGAATTGACTCGGCCTGGCATATATTTCGTGGTTTGATGCCAGATATCTGCGCGTTTCCGGATTGTTCCACTCCACCACGATTCTACAAGCCGTCGACAGAGGTACAGTCATCTATGCACCGAGCACGGTATAGCGACGAGCCTGGGAAAAAGAAGGGGCATGTCCGCTATGCGCGATAGAAATCCAGCAGCATGGGTCATTCAAAACGCACGTCGGTCGACCTTCCGAAGACTTGGCCCTTTATATCCTACCAGGAAGTGAAACCGATAATGACGAGACGTCGAAGCACCGTCAAAGAGTGTGTCAAGTGGAAAGGACGACGACAGCATTGGCGATGGAGCAAGGAATTGGAGATCCCGGCTTCATGCTGCTCTTGCTTTGCCCTTGATTTCTGCAAGACATGGAAGGCACGTTTCCACCATCGGTTCTTTCTTCAATCTCCTTGCTTAACGATCCCCGAAAAAAGGGCATCAAAGACCTTATCCGACAAGCATTTGTGGACATCGAGACTATCGGCCTTGATCTGCTGGAGAACCATTGCAACCCAATGGACCCCAATATTATTAATGGCGACGTTATCTTTCCTCATGTCGGGAGATGACACCAGGGATAGCAATCACATTTGACTAGTGGCCACTTCTTGAAGAGTCTCGGAACTACGACCTTCTGCCCCAACCCAGGTCTACTCCTATAACAGCATACTGTACGTTCCCGAGCCCCAATTGGCAAGTCCCAGCATTCAATCCCCGAGTGTCTACAAAGCTGCCTCCAGTCTTGTGAGTCTCTGTAAGCAACTCGTCCAACCTGCAACTGCATGAGTTCAGTGTGAGATGACAAACACGGAACCTGGGATATGGTTCCAGCATAACGCCACCTCGGTGATTCGATTCATACGTCCATGAGCATCCCAGACTTGCTCCCATGATGGTCCGGGGTTATTTTCCTGCTTACGGAGTGCGTTCTGCTCGACTCAGCCAAGGTTACAAGCAGCATCTCGAAACAGACAGAGGAACCCAATTCAGAATCAGTGGTGGCTGGCTCAACGAAGAAAGAGAAAGAACTATTCCGAATTATATTCTAGCTCAGCCCATTATTGTCTGGACCACGTCTGGGTGGGTGAGCCGTTAGTAGCACCTCAAGTTGCTGCAGGTGTTGCCGCCGAGGCGACTGTTTTAACCGGGTGCATTCGGGAGAAGAATGGCTAGAAGGCCCGACGTACTAATGACAGTGTTGGTTTGGTGTAGGCGTTACTGACCAGTTTACCCTTTCATCTTTTCCTTCTGGCGGGCCCAGAGCTAGCAGATTAGGCTTCTGAATCACTTGTTACGTACTTCGGTTTACCCCCAGCTCCGTCTCCCACTCTAGCTAGCGAACATACCTACTAAGTGTGATGACTAGATCAGACCTTCTGTAACCTGAATAATTTCTGCAAAGAATGACCTAGTCACGCTAGTACTGAGTAAGATAGATCATCCAGAGCATTGAACAATCTCGGCAAATCCACGATCCCAAGTGGGACTCAGAGGCAGAGAGAATTGTTAACATAAGCATGATTCGGTAGTTCAAGTTGTGCTACTCAGCCCTGGAGTCTCAATTGCCACACAGGCGCCATGCATACGACACCTTTCCGCGAAGAGAAAGACAAAGAGTCGGAGGGGAGGGGGAGGATCTGGAACCCTCGACAGCAAGCAACCAGTCCGAAGGAAGAGAAGAACCACGTCGCTGTTGCCATTCAATGTCTCAGAGAACTCAACCACACCCCACCACAGATTTGCAGCGCTCTTGAATTTGAAGAGGGTGGAGTGGAGATAGCCCTCATACCTCCCAGCCAGCCATTGGCCTAGCTCCACCCCAGCTCCGCAAATTAGAGTACATTAAATTAAGGTTAGCTACCCACCCTCTTCCCCAGCCCAATCATAAGCTTAACTCTGTACCTTACATAACCTTCTTTTATTCCCCGAGCACTCATTCGCCAGCGTGTCCCCACAAGGCTTAAATCCATCGATCTCATTGTCTGACAGATGCCCCACCCGCCTGGCTCGAAGAGTCCAAAAGCGAGACAAAGCCCACACGGACCTTGGAACGCGCGTGGATTGTTAAGCAGATGCAGGCAGACGTCACTACGACGGTACCGGTACGCTCACCCTCGTCCCGAGGCGTCGTCTGTGCTCCATGGGCCGAGGCAAAGCGGGCGGCGGGTGGGAAGAATGGGGGGTGTGCATTCCCGTTGGATTTCTTTGTGGTTTACGATCTCTTTGTGATATCCGGAGTAGGTTTGTTTCAAAAATTCATGGTGTATGGAACAGAGTATCGCGTGGCTTAAGCCTTAAAGTTGGCTAGTGTTGGCTTTGTTTTAGCTTTACTTTAACCTAGAGTCTTAGTAAGGTTGGCGCCAGCCGCGCCCACGCTGTGCACGTTGTCCACGTTGTATAGGAGAGTTTGTGAATGCGAGTTTAATCTTCCTTTCATTTATGTTACGGTTGGTTTGAGTCTGGATCGGGCATTGGGGTTTGGTGCAATTGAGAAGAGGAGGGGGAGGGCTTATGGATTGGGGCGTAAATGAGACGTCGAGGAGGCTTGCAATTGATGGGTGAGGTTGGGTCTATCGAGGATCCAAAGGGGTTTCCCGGCGAAATATGGGAGGTAACGGAGAGTCTCGGAGAGAGTAGAAAGGTGAGAATTGAAGGTAAGTGGCAAGGAAGAGGGAAGTTGGAGTGGGTATGAGCTGACGAAATTCGTAGACATGAAGCAAGAATTAGCGGGGGCAGGCGGGGAAAGTGCTTCAAGTGGCGAGTTACAGAGTGAGAAACGTTACAAGTGAGGAGAGTTACAAAGTGAGGACTAAGTTCAAAGTCTATAATCTATACATGATCTTAATCTACATAGCAACGCAAGTAGATACATGTATAACTTGATCGCAGCTGGGGAGTAGGTACTCAACCCGCAACAGAAAGCAAGACAAGACAAGCGATCTATGAAACATGAACAATCTATTCCAAATCTGCGTCACGCGCAAGGCGTCTGCCGTTCCCAAAACCAAATTCCCAAACCAAGCCGTTATCCTAAAACCCCATCCTAGATTCGTCGAAAGCGTAAAGCGTAACCCGTGGCGGAGTATCATGAAGAAGAGAAGTCGTAAAAGAGCGTGGATATCATGAAAAAAAAAAGTTGCGCGAAAGAGCGTAAGAAGTGAAAGGCGCAGCCCCCCGTCATCGGGCTGGGCTTACGCGCCGAGAGTCAGGACAAAGCTGGTGTCAATGGGGCAGCCGTGGGTGGCGTGGTCGTCCTTGGGCTGAAGGTAGGCCTCAGCGCAAGAGGTGTCACCTGCATGGCAGTTGACGGCGGGGCAGTCGGTGGAGGTTTGGCTGGGGGCGACATCGAAACCGTGCTTCGTGAAGGTGGAGGCGGCACGATCCATGTCGATGCACGACATGTCCCAGAAGAGGGTCTCACCGGACTCGGTGTACTCGAATTGCAGGACGTCGGTCTGGTCCTGGCTGGTGGAAAGCTTGATCGAGACACCGCCGCCGTTGGGGTTGCTCTGCCAGCTCTCGGTGAAAGAGCCACCGCCCGCAGTGAGGGTATGCATGTTGCTGACACCGTTGGTGACGGACCACGCGTAGACGTCAGAGTCCATGTGGTTGACGATGGTGACACCGGCGCCGCCGCCGTCTCGACGGACAACGGTGGGCTGAGGGAGAGCCGCGGTGAGGGTGGCAAGGGTAGCAGCAACAAGAGCCTTGGTGAACATCATTTTGAAAGAGACTGACAAGAAACAAGAACGAAGTCTTGAATAAGAGATTGTGGTGGTTGAGTATGTACTCAAGAGAATGTAAAGTGTCCGAAGACAAGAGAATGGCTAGTCAAAGAGTGACTGAAAGATCGAATTGATCAAGAGAATGTTGAAGCAGAGGAAATCCCAGGGTCTCGAGGCCCTCTTTATAGCTGAGATCCCCGGCCTGACATCGGGTCGTTCCCCACCGGCCCGCTGAGATGCAAGCCATTGCGATGGCGAAATGGAGCAGCGAGGAATAAAGGAAAAGGGTTCCACATGAATCCAGACCCTGAATCCAACGACGTGAGTGTTGCGTGGCGCCCCTGGCTAGTACCTGACAGTGACGCCACAATGAGCGAGGACAAAGCTGGCCCACTCCGATGTACGGAGTACGGAGTACGGAGTATGGCTGCCAAATCGGTGATCCGGGTCTCTCCCGCGCAAGATCGCTCAATCGGCCGTGGCGGTACCAGCCGGCAGTGGAAGCACCCGAACGTACCTGGATGGTCGTTGTCAATACCGGTGTGTTGCTATACGAGGCTTGACTCCGACAAAGGCCAAGTTGGACATTACCATGGTTCCATCGAAGAACAAAAGAAGGCTAAAGAATGGTTACATGCTCAAGCCACCACGGAGTTGCTCGCCCCTGGGACGGGCCACGCGTCTCGATCCCTGGTCCTTTGTCCGCATCCTTGAAGACGATCTATCGTTCAGGACCGGTGTAGCCAAAAGGTTGGCTCCCCTTGTCGACCGTCGTCCACCGTGGGCCACATATGCCGAAGTCCTTTGAGCCCGACGGCACCTTTCAGATCCGGCGGGGGGCGCCGTCGACGATCGATCGCCTGTTCCTAGCTTGTGGTACTCTACCCTAGGCCTAGGCTTGGGATCTTCGCGTGTTCTAGAAGTTCTAGACCCTGGAAGTGGACTGGTCTGCGAAATTGGTCAACGAGACAGTGTGTGGTGAACTGAACCAACTGTGGTATATTGATATGTTCTCAAAGAGACCCAAAGATACAGATAAAACACAGGCAATGAAAGAACAGAATTAGATTTGGAATAGCTCTTTACCAATAGGGTGCCCGTAGCCCAGTCAGACCCGCCAGTGACCCTTCCGTAGCTGCCTCCTCGCGTTTGCGGCGTCCGGCAAGCTCCATGTTGATTTGCCGATGGATGTGCACCAACCAGTCCACGTAACTTTGGGCCTCGTTGTTACGGTCTTCTACTAGCAACCGCGCAAATTCGTACTCGGCCCCATCGAGTCCTTGCCGGGCGAGTTGGATCGTAACCGCCTTTGACCCCCGAATGGTAGAGAAGTACTGGAGCAGATTGCGAACCTGCGCGTTTAGATGTGTCTCCAGTACTGGAATGGACGATGTTTGCGGGCTGAGCTCTTGCAAGGATGAATGGCCAGGACCAAAGAGATCCTCCAGCAGGTTATGGGATACTTGAGAGTGAAGCCACAAGAGACACTGCTGTCCGTCATCCACCAAGTATACTCCACCTTCCTCGATCTTGGAGTAGCTCGCCCGAAGGGAAGGCGGAACTTGTAGCTGGCCTTGCTCGTTCGGGAATCCGTCCTCCGGCTGCATGTTGTGGATGGGAATGATCCTTGGGTACAAGTAGAGTGATAATTCGGTGCAGCCTATTGACCGTAGCATCCGAATGTCGTGGATGCGTCGGTCTGATGATTCCTGGCCGCCTGCACAAGATATTAGTCAAAGTTCTATTGATTTTGCTGGAACTTTACCTTTGAAGGCCCGCGACTTGATCAAGCCGAGGATGAACATAGAAAATTCTTTGAGATTCTCCGGCAGTACAAGCTGACCAGGAGGGTGCGATCCAGAAAAGACCTTACGGTATCCGCTGAAGATATCCACAGCCTTCTCCGTGATGTTCAAGCGAATGTCTTTGAGGTTCTTGTCCAGTGTTTTGGCGGCAGCTATTACTGTCAGAAACATGTTCATCAAGCGGGTAAGAACAGCATACCTTCTTTAGCGATTATGCTTACAACCGCATCCTGATCAATGAACTTCATCGTCTCCAGTCCGCCCTCGTTAACCGCCGCCACTATGTTGATACAGCGCACCCGACGCTGCCCGTTCGCCGATGTATACAACAAAGCAGCTTGGAAATGCGCGTCCAGCTTCGTGTCAAGTTTGCCATCATAGCTGAAAAGGACGGCAATGGCCTTGTCGGCATCAATGGCGCCAATTTCAAGATCAGCGCCAAATGTATGCTGCACAAAGTTTCCGTGGTATGCCGACACCTGCAACCCGTTTGAGCATCGGACTTTCATCAGCGCCTGGTACCCCGTTTCCCTTGTGACTGCATGTGCCACTTCCTCGGAGAGTTTTCGAATATCCCTTGGTGCGTGGAAGTTGGGATAGAAGAAGGTTTCTCCGCCGGTAACCTCGGGAACATGGCCTATAGATGTTAGCACAAACAGTGACCAGACGAATTGGCGACTTACCAATAGTGGCAACATCCATATAAGTGCCACTAGGCGCAGCTATGAACATGTCAACGCCAACACCAGCCTCCGCCAGCTTTCCTGCAGTTTCTCGCCAGGCAGTATTGTCCGTGGTGAAAAGCTTCCTCTCTGCATCTGTCCCATGAGCTTTAGGGTCATCCCGGAGCGCTAGGGCCCCAGGGCCCCACGTCGGCAGGGTGCAGATAGCACCGATGATTTTACCACCAGTAGCCTGCAAGGCCGAGAGCGCTGCATTCAGGGCTGGGAAAAGGGCGGGCTCCGGGGTCTTGACGCGGGAGAAGATAGATGGGATCTGATCCAGAAGAGAGGTAATCACATTTCTATAGTAGGTGAGCAGACGAAAAAAAAAAGGAATTCGGGCATCTTACTTTGATTCGTACGGATCCACAAATAGTCCGTCACTCAGAGGAACGAACGGTTCTTGTAGGTCCGTCATCACCATCATCTGCGCCTGTTGAAGTTCCGCCTACTTGCTGTTAGTGCGCTTCGTACATATCGAGAAAGGTGGCGTACACTAAGATTGTAGAACTGAATCTCGCGGTCATAGGTAACGATACCAATCTTCGACCCTTCAGGTATTTTCCGTGCTGGCGTAGTCTCATCGGGAGTTTCTGATGACTCTTCGTCGTAAAGCGCCTTCATAATACCCTTGCAGACACCCTTTAGGAAGCCTTTCTTGATAGAGTCATGGCTAACATCAATCAAGAATAATGTACGAAGACCAACGGGCTCCTTGTTCCAGTAATCCTTCGGTACGAGGAATTCGACGGTGCCCTGCATGAGCTCTGGACGCTGCATGCGGTCGACACGTGCCCCTGAAACATCAATCGGAGCAAAGTACTCGGTAGTAACGTCATTGGGGAAGGTGCACATGTTGCAAACGAACTTGCTACCGCCAGATCGGAAAGACATGAACGGGTTGATATATGTGCGGCAGCGGCGACAACGAGGAGGTCCTGCATCACCGAAATCAAGCACCGGGATCGGCTGTTCGCCGGCGTCGAGACGAGCAAATGGCTGCAATATCATTCCTAGCGGCAGACCGGTCGAGGAAAGGAAGTCAGAGGAAGATGGGATGTTGTTCAGCGTCAAGCGAGCATATTTCGGGGACGAGTTGCCTTGGTCGTGAGCCACAAACGGAACGGCTGCGGGAGGAGCTAGATGGCGCTCCATTGTAGGGTAGACATGGCTGAAATAGTATTGCGCCGGAATATCGCGAGAACGTGGTATGCTAGGGATCTGCTCCGGATCAATTCTCCCCTGAGTAGGGACCGTTCCATGAGCTGCCTCTGATGCGGCACCGAAAGTCGGTTGTGGTATACCCCCGGAAGCACTTAATGCTGGGGAAACGGCGCGAGGAACTTGATTCAGCCCGGTATTTAAGAATTGCGTAGATGGCTGCGGTAGGGCGTCCCCGGGGCCTGTTGGCAGTTGTTGCGCCGCGGGTGCTGTCCCGATATCGTGGTATGCGTGACGGTGCTTCTTCTTCGAACTCCGTGCGGCTCCTTCTCCCATAATACCCAGCCCGCTCATTTGTGATGTCAGCCCGGCCATCGGGTCAGCCGGTGAGGCCATAGCGGGTTGCGAACTCGTGTTGTATGCGAATTGGGACGGGGGTTGTAAAGGTTGCTGTACCGGCGGAGAACCGTATGCGGAGGCGGGCCATTGTTGGTTGTTGGGAGCACCGGCCCCGTAGTAAGCGCCGGGCTGAGGAGGAGAAGGGCCAGGAGGAAACCCAGCATGTTGCTGGCCTGGATAAGGAGGTTGGTGAGGATGTCGATTGGGATCGGAGGGGTGTTGACCAGGAGCGACTCCCGGCGCGGGGGCCTGATAGTAGTGCTGGTCCGCCATGACGGGGGGAAAGAAAGAAGAGAATTAAACACTTATAATTAAAGGTCCTCAGCACCAGGCCATTACTGAGAAGGAAAACAAGCGCCCTGAGGGAAGCTGCGCGGTGGATGATGGACTGGTCTGAAATGACCACCTTTCACGGCACTCTAAACAAATCCCCGGATTTACTAATCTCCGGCCGTCCCCCCATTATCGGCCTCGACCGTCTGCTCTTCCAGCATCTCGACCCTTATCTCGGTCTTTTCACCATGTTCTCTATATATACTCTGGCTGAATCTGACGGTGTGCGCTTCTGGGGACGTCGGTATCGTTCCGCTAGCTCCCAAATCACCAATTCCTAGCCCTACACCAACACCATAGATAAGCTTCATACTCAGGAACCGCGCCCCACCAGCGGAGTACCTATACCTAGAGGGATGCCGACCCTTCACGACGACGATGAGCTTCTCCTGGCTCGCATCGGCTACAAACAGGTATGGCAACCTGTCATATCATCAGTTCACCGCTGATTACTGGACCTTAGGAGCTCCGTCGGGAATTTTCAAAATGGTCGACCATCTCCTATGCCGTCTCCATCCTAGGAGTGCTGGGCTCCGTACCAGCGACATTCGGTGCTCCTTTGGCCGCCGGTGGGCCTGCAACCGCAGTTTGGTGCTGGTTCTTAGGCTCCATCATGGCCTTTTGCATAGGCAGTTCCGTGTCGGAGCTAGTCTCAGCATACCCCACAGCAGGCGGGATGTACTTTGTCACTAAATACGTTGTTCCTGAGGACCAGGTGCCGATATTCTCTTGGATCCAAGGCTGGTGCAACCTACTCGGACAAACGGCCGGGGTTTCTAGTGTGGCTTATACCGTGAGTCAAATGCTACTTGCTGCTGCAAGTATGGACTCACGGCTGGTTGATGGGGGATACTCGTATACGCCGTACGCCTCCATAAACATATAACTTGCGCTGCACCTACTGACAGCTTGAAGAACTGCGTGGGATACAGTACGCTTGTCCATTGCACTCCTGATATTTCTTGGTGTCATCTGCTCGATGACCACAAAGTCACTGCATCGCATCTTTGTCTGGTTTGCGCCGATCAATAGTATGTTCTCCAAGTTAAGCCTGTTAGCTTCACTATCTTACATAGTACTCCCAGTCGCGGCAACCTTCACAATCTGTTTCGTCCTCCTATACAACACCCCTAACAAACAACCTGCTAGCTGGGTCTTCACTCACGTCACCGACGGATCAGGCTGGGGCTCCAAGCTCTTCTCCTTTCTCCTCGGATTCATCTCTGTTGCGTGGACCATGACCGACTACGACGGAACTACCCAGTTAGTACTTGCTCACTCAACCACCCAGCGTCTTCCTGACAAACAATCAGCATGTCCGAAGAAACCCATGACGCCGCCACCCTAGGGCCCGTAGCCATCCAATGCGCCGTTGTAGTGTCTGGCGCCATGGGCTGGCTCCTGACGATATCCCTATGCTTTTGCCTTACCGACTACGAAGGCATCCTTAACACCCCCACCGGTCTTCCAGCAGCGCAAATCTTCCTCAATGCAGGCGGGAAAGCCGGCGGCATGGCCATGTGGGGGCTCGCTGTGCTTGTCCAACTATTCACAGGGTGCTCCGCCATGCTCGCAGACACCCGGATGGCCTACGCGTTTGCCCGCGATGAGGCCCTCCCCTTCTCCTCGTATGCCATTTCTAACCACCAAACCATGCATAACTAACAGGCATATCTCAGCACTCTCTCGAAAATAAACACCTACACCCAAACTCCTGTCAACGCCGTCTGGTTCGTCGTGGTCTTCGCCATAGCACTGAACTGCATCGCAATCGGATCCACCCAAACAGCCACAGCCATCTTCTCCATCACCGCGCCAGCCCTCGACCTCTCCTACGTCTCCGTGATCCTCGCGCACCAGATCTACAAGCACCAAGTATCCTTCGTTGAAGGCCCTTTTACGCTGGGAAGATGGGGGAGCTGGATCAACTGGGTTTCGATCATCTGGGTGTTGTTTATAAGCACTGTTCTGTTCTTCCCGCCGCATGTTCCGGTTACGGTGGAGAATATGTATGTGTCTTCTCTCCTCACTTTCGCCCTCCTGATGCTGGATTACGTCTGTGCTGACTTGATGCGTAGGAACTACGCGGTTTTTGTTGGGCTCTTCATTGCGGCGTTTGCGCTGGTTTGGTGGTGGGTCGATGCGAGGGGGTACGTCTGTCTTTACAGCATTTTTCACACCTCGGCTTGCTTGAATTATAGGGACTAACTAAGATCGCTTAGGAAATACACCGGGCCCCGGACAAACGAGTACCTGCAGGAGATTCCGACGGAGGACTATGCGGAGAACTACGGGACCATGGAATGATATTTGTGGGTGTAATAAGCCGGAAGACGACTAGAGGGTAGATGATTAGAGATAGACGAATTAGACGATGAAATAATTCGGGGCAGTATACAGCAATCCCTATGTACGTTTCATAGAAGATCGATTCAAGACTAGATCTTATTCACGATGCTAAGAGGTATCATATATAAAGTACATGAGGATAAACCAAACGACCCCTCGTATAATATCACAAACATGCAAATAAGATCAACCCCCGGCAACAACAGCAAGCCCCTCATAGATCTTCTGCTTAACAGCAAGGAAGCTCCCTGCCCCCTGCGCGATCCCCGCACTCGGCCCGGCCGGATAAGCAGCTGCCTCGATCTCAACCTTGCCAGAGCCAGACTTCCGCACGGCAACAAAACCATCGATGAGGAGCGTTCCCTCGCCGCGGAACTCCGCTTTGTGGCCGGCGCCCTGCATGAGCTTGCGCAGGTCCGCCAAACGGAGGTCGCCGACGTGGAGCGGCCGGGTCATGGATCTTGTTCCGGAAGCCATATTTGCTGGAAGGGTGTCGAGGATGGGGTAGGCGTCGGGTTTGTCCAGTGTTTGTTTTGGCTCGACGGGTTCGGGTTGGGGAGTGGGTGTGGGTTGTTCGGAGGTGATTTCGCCCTCGACTAGCTTCTGTTTCTTGTGGGGCGAGTCTGTTGTGTCTTGGTCTGTTGATGCGGGCTGGGGTGCCTTCAACTGGCCTGTCAAGGTGACTACGCCGAGAGTACGGACGTGCTGCCATTTAAGTCGTCGTACGAGGTTATTGCTCAGTTTGACGGTCCAGGCGCTTGTGTCGACACTGGCGTCAATGACCTCCCCGTTCGCGGGGGTTAAGATGACCGCAGCTGTAGCTGACGATACATCACCAGACTTTGCGACTAGGAGTTTCTGGCATTCTGTCGCTAAGGCCATTGTTTCCTCCTCCATTCCACCCACGAGGATCAGCTTCCGCGGCTGAATCAGGGGGATCAACATCTCCAAGCTCCGTTTGTCGTGTATGCCAGTAAAGTCTACAAATGCGAGTCGAGCATTAATAGTAAGAGTGGCCTTTTCATAGATTGCTTTGGCCGGGCCTTCAAACGCTTTGTCGTCTTCTTCATCCGGACCTACTACCGCGTCCGCGTCGTCGCCATCTTCCGTCAAGCTCAGATTATCAAGCATATCCGCATCCTTCCTCTCGGCATTGTCAGAGCCTTGCTTGCGCGCTGTTCCAGCGGCAGACTGAGTCTCGTCCCACCGACGTTTCTGGCCCAGCTTGAGCTGTGATTCAGTCCTGCGCTGCTGCATGTCGATTTCCTCGCGCTCCTCGGCACGCAAGTATTCTTCGGGTCGGATAATTTCTCCATATTCGTCGCCTTTCTTTCTCGGCGCTACGTAGGGAAACATTCGCTCGCGACCCTTCTTGCCGCGGACATCGTAGTCGAAGACATTCTTCCGCCGGAGTAGGACGTTAACACCCAAGTCTTCGTCAGAGAGGCCCAGTTTGTTGCGATTTGAATGAGCCAAAGAAGTGGAAAAGTTCAGTACTCGTCCCTGCTGTTCAGAATCTGACTCTTCAGATGAAGAACTAGAGCGATCATCCAGGGCATCAGCAGCCGTATCAAGGTTTTCCTGGCCTCTTGCCTGGGCTGTATCCTGGAATTGTCGCTTGGTAGCAAGATATTGTTGATATAGCAGCTGTTCTCCAGACTCAAGCGGCGCACGCTGTATATCCGTCCACGACAGCTCCCTTCCACCACTATGCACCTGTTCGAGCATCTCACCATCGGATCCCTTTTCGAGAGCAACTCCATCGGTCCGTTCTTCGTACCATTGCCAAATCATGCTGCCGAGGGTCCTTCGGTGGGACTCGTTCTGTTTGTCGGAGAACGTGCGATGATGTAGCGGATCCGTAAGTAAAAGAAGGTTGTTTTCACCACCGGCCAGTAAACGCAAAGATTCTTTCGCGAAGCCCCAGTCCAAGGACGAATCAGAGGCAAGGATGACCTTCGGCGTGGGATCGCTGAGCAGTTTTTCAAGCTTCTTTTTCCGCTCAACTGTCCTGAGATGCTTGAATGTGAAAGGACCCAGGCCCTTGCCGTCGGCCTTACCTTGGCGCGCATCGGAGCGCTGCCCGTCGGTATTTTGTCCAGCAGTATCTGCAGCTTCGGCCGCCTCGAATTCCCGAACGATACTTTCATCCATCCATTCCAACATACTCCTCGCGAGTCTCATAGTGGTGTTAACTTTCCGGCCGGCTAAATATAGTCCACCCCGTTTCAGGACATCATCCTGGGTGTCTCTGGCGGCATCGCGCCATGCATGCTCTAGGGCATACGCCAACTCAAGCACCCGCGCACTCGTGTCTGTTGGGATCAGCACTGTGCCACCTTTGACAAGAGTGCTCCGAATCATATCTAATAGCATTTCATCGCGCTTCTTTCTTCCACCGTGAAGAGCTAACTTGTCGCCACCGCGAGTACTGCAGATCAATGCTGTAGGTTTCCGCAGTTGCTCAATGACTTCCGTTCCACTCGCACCAGAGCCTCCGAACCAGGCCGCGCCCGCAACAACACTCTCTCGAGCTTGGTTCCAGTCAACAGCGTAAACGATAGATTCCATGCCATGCTGGATATGCCATATTGTCCCACCCACAGTATGACCAGCGTTGTAAGCAGTGAGCGTGAGACCGTTCAGCGGAGGAGAAAACGGAGACGGGATTGGTTGGTGCGGTTGCGAATATTTCAGCGGCTGGATCAGGGAGAAGTATCTGGCAATCTCCTCAGTTGTCGGAGGTTGCAATAATATCCGTCCGGCGCTGGTCGCGTCCGCATTGCCATCGGCCTCGGTCACTGATGCGGCGGACGCAGCGGCTGTCGAAGCACCGGGTTCCGAAATGGAAGCTTTAGGTAGGAAAGTCGCAGCTAGCGGCGCTGACTCGTACAAATCTTGTAAAAGGGTACGTCCCAGCGCGATAACAGGACTTGTCGCATAGACGGGTATCTGAGTAAAAAGAGGGAATGTCTTGCAACAATGAACGTAGGCACCGATATGCGAAGGCGTCGCGTGTGTTAGGAGGATAAGCGAAAGCGTAGAGACATGTCTAGCCGGTGGAAAAGGAGACGTTAGCTTTCTCAATCACAGGCAATGAACGTGAATGAGACCGGCAGGGGCAAGGTACTTCTCCAATTCTACCAGGTCGAGAGGGTCGAATGTATCATCCCAGCCAACGTCCACGAGGATCTTTACCCCGCCATCAAGCTCTAGTATAGACTGGGACGCCTTGGAGGCCGACGATTGGGCGCCGAGCAACGGAGTAAAAGTAAACATATTTGCATGAGCTGTCGACCAAGGAAAGCTTCACGACGCGGTCGACAGGTAGCTGCTTATTCAAGGCATCGGTTCGGGTTCGGGGCGAAGGTCAACGATCAGTAGGAAAAGATGTTGGAGATATTCTTCAGCGCAGCTCCTGCTCAATAGAGAACATAAAAGCGACAATGGACGGCAGGACTGGCGGTTGAGGTCAGTATCGGAGCACAAGGAAAGCCGAAGTGAAACAATGAAGTTTGTCGTGTTTGCATCCAGATTACATAATGGGAGCACTGAGTCTTGGCACTTCTGGCCCAGAACAACCTATGGGGCTCAGTATACTCTTGGGCAATTAGGGCTAAGGTCAATGCACAGTCTTGTCCCCTTTCCACATGGTGAATCTCATGAACAACCATTCAAAACCTGTTTCATACGTGCAAGCAGACAGTCCAGTAAGTGAATTATGTCTCTGAACTCAGATTAATCACAGCTGCAGTACCTCTGTCAGCGCACATTGCTCAAAGAAAACACTAATATTACATTCATTTTCCAATGCCAGGTAACAAGTACTATCTAGGGCCTAATCAGACACCAACTCCACTTGTTCAGTCGATACCTGATCAGTTCCGTCATCATCAGCTGCCGTACCAGAAAGGGCGTCATACGGAGCCCCAGGCGAAGTTTCCTCTTTGTAGCGAAGGCGCTCATCATCCAATAGCTTACTGACAGCTTCTCCAGCATCAGATCCAGTTATCCCATTCATAGCTTCAGCAGCATTGGACACTAGGGCTCGCATACCCGCCATGGACCCCTTGTCCGAGCCACGCTTTATATCGCCCAGCGTCTCTAGGACAAACTCCACAGCCAAAGAAAAAGCACTAATCTCGCCGAAATTTTTTGCGAGCTGAGGTCGTAAACCGTCATCCAGTTTATCCATGAATGCCCGATACAGGCCCAATGTGGTCCGATAGAGCAAGAAATAATCAATGGAAATCTCCCGGAATTCGAGATCGATTACATCGCGTACATGCTCAAGTAGCTCTCCTGGGCCCGATGTTGTCTGCGTAGTGCTCGTTGCGTTTGCGCGCCTATTGTTCACTGCCATTGGCTTTCTTGACCAGCAGACATCGGATTGGTGCCATTGGGATTGGTCGACGACCTTATCAATGTCTGACATGCTGAGTCCCGGCTGCTCGATTCCACTGCGGAATAGACGGTTCGCGAACATGCGTGACACAGGGGCTAGAGTTTCCAGACACCGTTCTGGCTTGCCTGAAGCTTTTCGCGAAGCCGGACGCCGTCTGGAAAGGCCAGTCAAAGAGACTCCCTTGCTGATCATAAAATTTTCCCGGTACTCCTGCACTGGAGCTTGTCGTCCGCCCACAAGCATGCCATCTCCATGAAGAGTCAAGAGTAATTCCATATCTTTCCACTCTCCCTTGAGAAGTTTTTCGCGATGTAGTGCATTGTATAAGTGACATGCGTACAGGGCAACATTATAAGTTGATAAGAAATTGATTCCTATCTCGTGAAACCGTGCTTTGATGCTAGACAACCAAGTACCGCTGAGTAGAGGGTGCAATTTGAAAAGCTTGTGCGGCTCTCGGTAATTGTGTGAGAGGTCGTCACGACCCCATAAGTGTCGCAATGGATCACGTTGAAGCCGAACTATCTCATTTATGAGCGAGTTGATATCTCTGCCAGCCAGCGCGTCGGGTACTGGGACACCATGACTTTTGTGGTAGGCTCTTGTCGATGAGATCGTGTCCCGGACAAGGGCTGAAAATTCGCTGAGATCCTCGAATCCGCGGCCAACATAAACTCCTTCTAGGGAGTAGTGAATATCAAGGAAGGTCTGTACACCAAACAGCAGGGAAAGCGAGATTTTTCGTGTTTTGAACATGACTTTCAAGTCCTTGGTAAGCCGGTCCTCGACGGGCACCGGTGAGATCTTCGTATAAGAGAAGACTTCGAGCAAGGCCTCTTTCAAGATTTCCTGGTCTCCCAGGAACGTGACTCTGACCGATATGTCGGAAGTGGCATCGTAATCGCCATGGCGGCAGCCAGTAAATGAACAGCATCTGTCCAGTTCTTCGCGTGAAAGTCCTTTACCCAGAGCTTTGAGGACCCTCAATAAGAACATGTAAATGGGCCAGAGGGGAAAAAGCCATTTTGTTTCTTTGTACACTTCAGGACACATAAATGTTTCCAGACATCCGATGTGCTTTTCGTTGCCATATTCGACTAAGTTAGACTGGGCCTGGTGTTTCACCATCTGCTCGAACCCACCAACTTTATCGAGAAAAGGCTTCGTGACATCTTCCGCGTTCTTAAGAAGGTCGAGCGCCGTGTCCGTTGTGAGCGATGCCGCAGTCAAGGAATAGGTGCCTTGTCTATAACCCATCCACGTTTCAAGTATAACACACCTGATGGATTTATAGCCACGAATCAGCGACGCAAAGCTAGAATAGCCTTCCTCTGATTCTCTATTGACTCCTGCCTCGTAGGTGACATTTCGTGGCGACTGCGGTAGAGAAGCGAGACTGGGCTCAGGCGGATGGCTCTTGGTGGGTTCTCGCACAAAAAGCTGAGAGAATCTGTTCGGAAGACTGATGTTGTCGTTTGCGACCCGGCCCCGGGCAGCGGGTCCATGGGACGAGACACCGCATTCCGAAGGCTTTAGGATAACTCGGACCTTTATCAATTCTTCTATGAAGTGCTGATGTGTGGCGCTTGATTTATAGAAGCTGGGGTACGAGGAGTTGTGTTTCTTTCGCAGTTCGATACAACGGTCAAGAATAGTGAAGAAGATATGGAAACTTGCAGTCTGACGGGCAGGACATTTTGAGGCGATGAAATAGGCCAACTTGCTGTAGTCCTCGATTACGAGCTTGTAGACACCTGCAACTGGCTCTACCAGCTCTGATTCAGCTCCTTTATTTGGTTTCTGGAGATAGCTCTTGGCCGGTGTTGGGGGTGGCGTGAGCGCGGCTTCCCAGTGTCCACAACGCTTCGCAGTGTCAATGAGCCATTCTGCGACATAGTCGGTATGCTTCTTGTACTCTTGGTAGCAACTGTCCTTCATATTGACGGCTAAAGCCAGGAGCCACGCAGAGAGGGTGGGGTGAAGAATCGGGCAACAGGAGAGAGATGGGATTTGGGAAATAAAGACGAGATCTTTCACCAGTAAGAAAGCCCTCCAGAGCTTTACCCCAAGTGCACAAGTTGCACTTAACCTCGGAGTGAATAAGTGCCAGATGAGGCAGCATCTAATTGGTCCGAGTTCCAACGGTGCTAATGTCAACTGCATTTGTTCCCACTCCAGGTGAACCCTAGCCGCATGAGGCGTCCACCGAGAGTGAATTTCGACAGCGACGGTAAATGAAGACTTTTCTTGCGAGAAGCCATCAGACCATAGGCTGATTTCAAGGAATTCCCATTCCCTCCATGGAGATGGACCGGCCTGCGCCCTGCCAGTATAAATTGGTCTGAAGTCCCTGAGATTTCTCTTCTTGTCTTGTCTTCCACACTCCTCTGTCTCTTCCAATTCTCGCCTCCATTCCATTTCTTCTCTTTCTATCAACATCTTTCCCTCGTGATCTGGTGTCCTCGCACTACCAAAGTTGCTGACCGCTGGAGACAATGAAGTTTCTGAAGGAAACCGTCCTCGCAGTGTGCGCTGCGACTCAAGCTCTGGCCTTGCCCAGTCAAGCTCCGCCTGGTGAAATCCAGACTGCTCTCGCGAATCTCGGAGTGGACGTCGCTACAATTCCCCAGTTGAGTGGCAATCCCACAGAGAACGGCTGCCAAATCGCTGTGAGTTCCCCGGATTTATGATGCTGTGGGACGGTGATACTGACAACTTCGGCCACAGTGTAATGCCTTGAGTCATATCCATGGTTCCGAGAAAGTGATCGCAAACAACACCACTGCCTACCAGAGCATCACGCATTCGTACTGGTCAGCTCAGCAGGGAGAAGTCAAGCCGGCCTGCATTTTCGCCCCCACGGTCGACACCGATGTTTCCATTGTCATTCTTCTTTCACAACTCACGCAATGCCCGTTTGCAGCAAAGAGCGGCGGTCATGCTGCGTTTTCCGGTGCTTCAAATAGCCAAGGTGGTATCACAATACTCTTCCGTGACCTGAATGAGATTACCTTAAATGAGGACAGGTCTGTTGCCTCCATTGGGCCGGGCAACAACTGGGGCCAGGTGTACAAAGCCCTAGAGCGCCACGATGTTACTGTTGTCGGTGGGCGCATGTCGGACATCGGCGTTGGAGGCCTTCTGACAGGCGGCGGTATCTCCTATTGCTCGAACTTGTATGGTTGGGCCCTGGACAATGTGGAAAGCTTCGAGGTAAGTGCCGTGTTCGAGTTTGAAGAGAGTTTGGCACTCTAATACAAAGCAGGTCGTTAGCGCGATAGATGGAAACATACTCACGGCAAGTGCGACCCAACACCCAGATCTCTATTGGGCTTTGCGAGGAGGAGGCAACAACTTCGGTCTCGTCACCAAGTTCAATCTGTACACGTTTCCCGGCTCTTTACTCCGAGGCGGCACCCGCGTCTTCAGCGAGGATCAGTTTTCTAACGTCATCAGTGCGTTTGTAGACGTGGCTGAAAAGGCAAACGACGACCCTAACGCTCAGCAATATGTCATGTTCGCAAATTTGGGGGGAACAAACGTTGCATCTGCCGAGTTGACCTATGCGCAGAACGTCAGCAATCCTGCCATCTTCGAGACATATCATGCAACGCCGGCTATCTCAGACTCTACTAGCTCGCGAACTATGTCTCAGTATGCTGACGATGGTGCCGCCCAAGACCCGTATGGAATGCGTGACGTCTTCTGGAACCGATCGTACAAGCTGGATGAGGATTTCGCGAACTGGGTAGTCAAGCTGTGGCTCGCTGTTCTCCCTCGCATCTCTAGTATTTCCAACGCCATGGCGGGACTTACCTTCCAGGCTATTACAGACCCGATACTCGAGAAAATGACTCGTGCTGGCGGCAATGCTCTAGGACTAGATGAGTCAAACGGCCCGATTCTCTTGCTGCACGTTCTCGGGATGTGGAATGGCGCCTCGGGTGATGATGCCATCTATCGCCTCATCAATGACTTCTTCGCCAATGTCACAGCTGAGGCCGATTCCAGGGGTCTAGGAAATAAGTTCATTTACATGAACTATGCAAGCCATGTCCAAGATGTGATTGCCAGCTACGGTGCGGACAACAAGGCCAAGCTGCAGAAGATTGCTTCAAAATACGACCCTGCCGGTGTCTACCAGACACTTCAGCCTGGACATTTCAAGCTGACGCGTAGTCCAGTACCTAATCCGTACTAACAACCTGTGTTTTGTCTTTGGGTTCACGAGTGTATGAACACGTGTAGAAGGTTCGCATGGGAGGCGCGTGATTAGAAACTGGGATTTGAACGTTAGCAACAATGAGAAGCTACCAAAGCAATAACGGCAAGTCATTTCTATAACTAGATACATCCAACAAAGATAATACTAGCCTTAGTTGCGGCCACAGCAGTACGCCATGGAGATCTGAGAAGCCAGGACCGAAACAAGATGCCGCCGTGGGCTCTGGCTTGTTCGGATGCAAATCAATGGCAAGCTCAAGTAGAAGCCTGGGAGGTTTGAGGCATAGTAGAGCTGTGCATCATATCATGTAACAGATGTGTACCTATAGAGCCAGAGTCCGGGCTTGTATTCCTTGCTGTGGCTTATTATCAGCATAGATGATCTTAGGTGGATGGTTTGACTTACAAGGCGATCTTATTATTCCTTAGGCCTATACCAAGTTTGCAGCAAATTCATGAATACACCCCGATATTGCTCTAGAATCCGCTGCACATTGGATGAGTCAGTAGCGTGATGTGCTGTAGCTAGGTCAACAAACCCCTGTGGTAATCTCTTCACCAGGCGTCTAAGAGCTGAGAAACGCGCCTTTTATTGACGCATGCCGTAGCAAGCTTGATGAGTTCTGCATCTGCTCCTGGTGCGCCAACGGCACTGTAAAATTTCCGTGCGGCTCAGCGACACTGTGCGTCCAACGCAGAGAGCTCTTTGCGATGTGAGTTAATGTCATTAGTTGTTGTTCGATGCAGTTGAGATGTATCCCTCCCTGGGTTGGGCTCGGAAGCTGCAGACCTTGAGGCTTTGATGGCTCCCCAATATACTCGGCTGTAACGATTCTTTCGACGTGGCTCAGATGTCTTCGCTTTTGTAATCGGCGATTTTCTTCCTAAAGTTAGACAGTGCCTTATTTGACATCGCGTCAATTCGCTCGCTGAAGACGTTTCGCACGAGCTTCGGGTGTTCCGTCATTCTTGCTTGAATTTCTGGTTTGCGTCTGTGTGGTCTCCTTCATGGTATATATACCAAGATCCTGGGGCTCATCAATCTTACTATTGGCCAAGTTATTATGGACAATGATGTCAGCGTCAGGCCTGCTGTCTTTGGGACGAACTCCTGCATGCTTGCCTGAGAACCTTCTGCATTATAACTGACTTTCTGCCGTCTTTTTGGACATTGTCGAGTGACTTGATTCGGGCCGGCTCACACAAAACAAGTTGTTCACATGCTCCATACCAGGATATGACACTCTTCGGGCTCCCATAGGCACATGACTTGATCTGGCTGGATGGGCGAGTATGCACCAAGAATTGATGCAAAGATAGCCGCAGCAAGTGAGTTCAAGTCACGGCAGGAATCATTATCTTCTGCACTACCTAACCTGCCCTTCGAGTACCAGAACAGTGGTACAAACTTTGACTCACGCTTGGTACTCGGGTCGGACGCCAGTTTGATACGGAGAGCCTCCTAGGAAATAAACGGTCAGCGTGGGTTGATAAGCCACTTGTGCAGATTCACTGATCATCACGGCTTCTGTGGCCATCTTGGCATAGGACTTGCCCTCCATGCTCGCCTATGACAGAAATCACATATACCCAATGAGAATTTCCAGTTGGATTATCGAGTTCGTGTATAAGCTTGAGATGTACCCCGCTATCACTAGTCTGAACTCTGAAAGCGCTAAGAAGTCGCTGAAGTTGGGAGGACCTAGCTTATCGAAAAGTTCGAGTGGGTACAGGGTGCGAAGTACGCGCAAGTATGCATTCGACGAAGGAATAGGAAGATCTGGTCGTAAAACATCTCTCCCACTGGGAATCTGAGTCCTTGACGTACTCCCCAAGGAAATCTATTGTCTTGAGGATTCGAGTTGCGAAGATTGGCCAGGTGTCTGCACGACTCAACGCAAGGATCGGATCATTATCCGCAGTGTTGCCCGTGATGAAGTTCTGTAACGGGCAACAGATCGATAGCTGAGCAGTCGGCGAGTGTATAAGAAGAGATGGCAATTGAAGGAAGTGACAATGTTCTGGGTGCAAGCAGGCCACAAAAAGGAACGGGCAACAAGACAAAAAAGACCACAGGTAGACCAAGAGCAGCGAAGACCAGAAGTCGGGAGACAAAGGCCTTCGGAGACCTGTTCGAAGCTCCAATATAGGTGTCCGTTGCTCGCAGTATTGGGATTGCAGGAGGTAAAATGCCGGGGCCCGTATCCTATTGCCTTGTTGCTAATAGTGCCCAGATGTTTCTGTGTTGCTTATATGCCCATCAATGGCGGAATAGAGGGCACTACGACCTAAGAGATCAGCGCAAAAACAGCACTCCATTTGTCCTGTTGAGGACCTAGTAGGAGGCCACTGGCTTTTAACCTCGTGACAAAAAGCAATTGGAAGTCTTACTATGGTCTCACTTCGTGTCTTCCCCTAGCTGGTTTGGAAGGGCTTCAGCATCCGACTGGCTTCTTCTTGCCTGCAAGCAGTAATAGGTGGGCGGCCATTGCGAAAGCAACAAGAACGGCTTCTTCCTCATCCTGCTGGCAAGAGACATAATAACTCTCAGTCACTAGTACTCGAAGAGCACTAAAGTGATGATTGAAGACTTTGTCTCGCAGTAAACAGAGTATACAGAGAAGAAGTGAGGCTGGAGGTCATGATGAGCGCCAAGACTTCCGGATACGGAAGGACCCTCGTTAAATCCGGCAAGCGCCGCTTAGATCCGCGGGCTCTTTGTTGCTGTCAGCTGGCTGGATTATTGCGCCTTCCCCTGTGCCCAAGCTCGCCAGTTGGGTTATAAGGGAGCTGGGGGCCTTTTTTCAGCTCGTTTCGACAAAGTCTTACTCTGTTTTTTGTTCATCTATATATCAAGGAAGCTACGATTGGCTTTGTTTACCTCAACACGATCGCCAATAAACCCCCACCTTGATCTACGGTCGGCTCGCGATGGATCCGGAGATTCCCGACCCTGTCCGCCCTGCGACTGAGACATCGTCAAAAGCGGATCACCTTTGCGTGCTAGTTCACGGGTAAGGAATAGCCTCAAACGTTGCAGTAGACAGTTGCTGATAGGGGACTTTTCTGACAGACTATGGGGCAACCCTTCTCACATGGGCACCATCGCATCTGCCCTGCGGAAACGCTACGATGAGAGTCAACTACACATCCTCGCCGCGGAGTGCAACACCGGAAATCTCACGTACGATGGCATTGAAGTGTGTGGAGAGCGACTCGCCCAGGAGGTGGAAGAGACACTGAGCAAACTAGAGACCGATGGGCACAGGATCCAGAAACTGAGCGTGGTCGGATACTCGCTCGGAGGACTGATATCGCGATACGCGATCGGCTTGCTGTTTGCCCGGGGCTGGCTTGACAATGACAAACTAGAACCGGTCAACTTCACGACATTTGCATCCCCGCACCTCGGAGCTCGCGCTCCAGTTAGGGGTGCACAGAATCTGCTCTTCAACGGGTTAGGTTCGCGGACAATATCGACTTCCGGGAAACAAATGTTCTTGGCCGACACCTTCCAGGACACAGGAAAGCCGCTGCTCAGTGCTCTCGCCGATCCTAACAACATCTTTATAGAAGGACTGAAGAGATTTAAGCACCGATGTGTTTATGGGAATGTGGTCAACGACCGCACCACGGCCTTCTATACCACAACCTTCTCAAGCGAAGACCATTTCAGGGACTTGGGTAACATGAACATCAACTACCTGGAGGGGTATGCGCCAGTGGTTATTGACCCAGACGTGTATAAACTACCCATAGCAGAGCTAAAGGAGCGACCTCCTTTTCCGTCGCGGATATGGCAGAGCATTCGAAACTTCTTCAGCAAGTTGCCGTTCTGGCTCTTCTTCTGCCTTATCCTGGTGATTGCCATTCCAATCTTCCTTGTCTACTCCGTCCGGGAGACTTTCCGCAGCCGCGAACGCATCCGCGAGCACGAACAGGGCACTGGGAATACCTTCAGGAGTTATCGCGTACCCCGTGGCCTTAGGAGAATCCAGACTGCGATGGACGAGGTCTTTGAGAATGCAGCAGCAAGACAAGATCCCGACTATATACCCCCCAGCGCAGCTCCCGCAGACCTAGAGTCTCAGGCAGAGTCCTCTATCGACAAGTCCGAGACGCTAGATGATTCACCACCTGGGACATCCCCAGCAGAAAACTCGACCGACAACACAACCAAAGTAAAGAAGGCCAGATGTGGAGAAAAAAGCCCCACCCTAGCCCTTACCCCGGATCAATTCTCCATGATCAAGTCTCTCAATGCCGTCGGTTTCCGCAAGTACCCAGTCTACATCCACAACCACGAGCGTACCCACGCGGCGATCGTGGTTCGAGTAGATGATCCGGGCTACGCAGAGGGCCACACCGTGATCAAGCAGTGGCTTGACCAAGAATTCAGACTATGAAATGCCGCCGTAATACCAGTTTTGTGACTAGTTGCGCATGGCGCGAAATCAATACGGCGCTTGTCCTATACGGCGTATCTACAAGTCTTGGAAATTCGGAACGAAGGTGGAGACCGGGGTACATATACATGCCGCTAAACCCCGGACAACCCCAGTCCCGGCGAAAGATCATCTCTCGCCCAGGCTGAGACCTGTCCGACTGAACCACGACCGCTTGTGTGATAGGCCCCCCTGCAAGCGAATCTTTAGATCCAACTAGGGGGGTGGGGGAGGGGCACTCGTGGACGGAGGACGGATATCCGCCCCGCTGCTAAGAGCCCCGGCCTGTCGCATCCAAATCCTCGGTTCCTAATTCATGCATCTCTCTTCCGCATATCCCCAAATTCGTCCATCTTTCGCTCGCATCAGAATTACTCGGAGTCGTCTCGTGCTGCGCGACTGCAACAGAGATGCAACGCTCATGCGCTTCTACTCCACTCGTCGTCCTTTTCTTATATACTACTAATAATACCTAATTAGACCATAGAGACCAATCAGCTAATCCCCGCAATGATCTGACCAGCTCCACCAGTGTAGCACTCCCCCGCGCTGCACGCACATTCCCGCTGCGCAACCTCGGCCCACTGACGTCGTCACACATGGCGTTTAGGCCAGGTCCGAGTCGTTGACACTGACAGGTGTTAAGAAGTACTCCGTAGTACTTCGTAGTCTCAGTAACAGCCACAACTAACAATGTGATGAACCCAAAAAGACAGACCAACTCTAACTCTAACTTTAATTAACTCCGGAACTGCCACATTCATCCATTCCGTTCTCTTTCTAATCACCTATAATACTGCTTCTATACCCCAGGATATCCGAGGCACACTGCTACGGAGTAATCATCACTAGCGGTAAGCAAATAGGCTATACGAAAGGACCAAATCCCGCCCAATATACTTGCAGGCCGTGTCTATCTAATCTCGGAGCTCGCCGCAGCTTCCTTTCTGTGCAATCGTACGACCCCCTAGCAATTCGGGGTGGCGACATGGTAGACCCCGGCGCCGTTTCATTGAGCCTCAGTATTCGTCCTCACTCTACGGAGTACTATCCCGTTTATTTCCGTGGTGGGAAAAGAATGGTTGGGCGCGCCTTACTCCGGGCCAATATATGCCGCCTCCACTGTACTCGGTAGACGGTATGCATAATGCAGTGCTGTGCCCCCGGACGAGCTTACTCCTACTGGATGGAGTTACGTGCCTTTCGTCTTACTTCGGCGTGATGAGTCATGACTCTAAGACGGTTACCTACACGACATCAGTATGCTTATTCTTGTGCTACGGACGGTGCAGATACCGGGAGTGGCTTTTGTGGCGTTCCGTGGCGTTCCGTGGCGCTCGTTTGCTGCTGCAGTGCTGCTTCATGCTGTACAACTACACAGTCGTCAGTGCTCGTCACCGTGCATTATGTGTATCTAAGATTAGGGATGGGGGTTAGGACTCGGGCGAAGAGGCTTTGTGGCGTTCCGGCGTGCCTATTGATGGGCGGCGTTGACGGTTGCATGCGTTGTATGGAATGGCGAGGAAGGGGACGGGATGGCTAGGTTGGACAGAGTGGATGCTTGTAGGACGTGGTCTGTGCCATCCTAGTTGGTGGCTTGAGTCTGTGCGCTTGCTTATGGTCTTAGGGTTCTACGCCATACTGGCGGTGTCGGATTTTGATTCCTCCTGCTAGTTAAAGGAGAAAAGGAGCATTTCTGGGCAGGTAGAGTTGTGAGCGCTTACGCTTTGGAGGGGGAAGGTCTGTTTGATCAATCATTCTTTGTATTTTGTAGCCAGCTACTACCGAAAGAATAAGCATATAGTAATCTATGAGACATCCTATCCCTGTAACATGAATATAAAATAAATCGAAATGGGAGGCAGAGAAATATATAGGGAAAGCCATGACATGAGGGGAATCTAGAAGGTAGCATATAAATGTGAAGGGGAAGAAAAGAACAAAAAAATATGGAATAGAAGGAAATGTGAGAAGATAAGCAAAAAGGTCGTAAGTCTAGCATAAGTCATGGCACAGAGCGAGCGAAGCGTGGGGATCCAGCTCAATTACGGATCTCTCCGTATCTCTCGGGAGATGGCTCGTTACGAGGGACATCTGGCTTCAGACCGAGTTCGCGGTCGATGGCAAACTTGACAGCATCAAGGACAGTTCCGCATGTCTTCTGTGCCGGGTAGCGAGGGATGGTACCCTCCTGGTACACGCCAGTCTTGACAAGGATGGAGAACCAGTTTGCGTCGCTGATTTCGTTCATCTTGTTCGTGCCGCAGATGTCGGACTCGGGAGTGTCTCCGACAAAATAAACAGTCTTAGGGGGCTTGTTGATGCCGTGGAATTCCTTGCGCCACTGGCGAAGAAGGCGCATGGCAAATTCATAGGTGCCGAGCTGTGGTTTGCCGAAGGCGATCGTCGTCAGTTCCTTTCCGGTCACTGCCTTGTACAAAGCCTCAAGCGAGGCACGAAGAGCGCCCATGCCAATGCGGACGTGCTCGTGGGAGGTGGACCAAACAACATCGTTGTGAGAGAAGAAGACGGGCGGACCCTCGTTAAAGGTCGGGGAGCGTTCAAGCATACTGCCGTTCTTGGTCATGAGGCAGTCGAGGATGATCTGCTGATCACCGRCCCAGTCGCGGCTGTCGGCAAAGACAAAGATTGCGTCAATCCGAAGCGCCTCGAGGTCAAGGACCTTGGAGTTCTTGTACTCTTCTTCAGTTAACTTGCGGAAAGGGGTGGTGTCTTGGCGTGTCTTGATGAAGTCTCCAGGAGTGACGACGTTCTTGAAACCGTAGCCCTCAGCCACAATTCGGCACTTCTCACCCTCACCACCGACAACGAGGACAGTTTCGTATTTCTGCGCCATTTCCTTCATCGGGGTATGGCCGCAGATGAACTGCCCAGGAGCGACCTCAAGTTCGAGTTGACGGCTGAGATCCAGGCATCGTTCCTCTTCGGTCTTTCCACCGCCGTTTGTAACAAAAATGTACGGGCTAACAACATTAGTATAGAGGCGATGACCTGAGTGAGAGACTTACACTTTGACACCATAGGGATTCTCCCCGTTAATGTACTTCATAGCCTCAATAGCAGCAGGGATGGGCTTTCCTCCTCGGATGAGGACACCGTCGATGTCGAATGCCAGAGCGAACTCATCCGTGGTTGTGGTAGACGCAGGGATCAACGGTGAGGTGGCCGGGGAAGCAGCCATAATGCTCTCCGCCGAAGAGGCTGAAGAGGTATCGCTCTCCATCCGTTGGCGAGATTTTTCGATCTCAACGGCCAAGTCCGTCGGCTGGCTCGAGGCCATCAAGTGCTTAGGTGGCACAAGTACACTGGGGCCAGTGAACAAGTCCGCCCGCTCGGCGCCATCGGCGGACAGGCGACGATAGAGATTGCCATTGGAGATGGCATTCGTACAGTTTTGTTGACTCTGTACAGACATTATGGAGTATGTGGGGATGTGAAGGAAGTAGACTGGTGGAGCACGTCTCCAGAGGGTGGGCAAGTTTAATGAAGAGTACAAAGGTAAATAGCTTTATCTCAAGCTCTAAGTATGGGAGATGCTCGGTCTAAGCAAGGCGGAATTCGAACTGGTAAAGATCGAAGAGAATGATGGAGGAATGATGGAGAGAAAGACGGGGTAACCTGGTGCTGAACGACGGGTTTATATAGCAAAGCTGACATAGGGAAAAAGCATAACCCACCGATTTGCAGTGCCCCTGGTCTTGTCGGCCTCGTCATAGACATTGTATGGAACAAGGCAGCCTGATGAGCTGGGATCAACTCTACTCAATCTCAGTGGCCTTTGTTCCTGCTCCACCCAACCGAAAGTTTAGTTCCTCGTCGTGTCCATAGAAAAACGGCGTGGGGTGGGTATGTCATGGCCGGTAAACCATGGAGCGTTCACGGACCGGGGTTGTGTGAGACGGCTAGGCGGACATCTGGCCTATGGGGGATGACGTCCTGCAGTGGGCCTTGTTGTCCGAGAGTGAATCGGAGAGCAGAAGACACGATTACTCATTCTGGGTGTGATGTCAAATGCCTCGGCTGCGTATTAGTGTTGAATTGGCCGTGGCTGCGCAGAAGGGGTGGATGGAGTTGATATCATCAGTGGACTGAAAGCGGAAGCTGACTCTTTGCAAAGAAAGTGGAGGGTCAATCAGTCGGAGAAGATAAGATCAATACCGTCACTGGGGTTACACACCGTCAGGAAACGTTCTCAAAACGCAGGCTCATCTGCAACCGCCATCAGCGGCGCTTAAGACCATACTGTCTGGCCTCGGAGTGGCATGCATAGATGCAGTCGAATCAAAGCAGTCGGGAGTCTTGGACCGACAGAGTGCCCAAGGACTGGGCCTGATTTGCGGTTGTTGTTGCAATCCTGAACAGTTGCGCGGACACGGGCCCGGCCATGACATCACCGGAGTGGGCTCAGAGTCTGTGCTGTCAACCAATGAGACTGTCCAGATTTACTTGCAGGCGATAATCCGGAGCCAGCCGCATGTATAACAATTACAGCGCTGTACACAACTCCAGTATGCAACCTCACAACCACATGCAGGCCGGGCTATAGCATCCCGATCCTATGAACTAACTTTGTGTCTCAGCCGGCCGGGAGAGAACCTAGTGTCAAATAAGAATAAGCCACCACACGAAATAGACTAGGAACAAAGGCGTACTGTCCCGGGGTTGATTGGATCAAGCCAAGAAACTCGACTCCCTATCATCTACCGCATATGGATCTCCATGCATGCCCTAGGATTTGGTTGCAAGTCCTTCCAATGCTCAAAGAGCCCTGCCGGCTGCTAGTGCTTTGGTATATTGGTATCACCAAAGCACGACTCGCCAGCCGAACGAGACCACTTACGGACCACCTCACTATGCTACGTCGTCTGGATAAGGTAAGTGAGATATGTAAGTGGTTATTTTTGACTTTTGCTCAGAGTAAGAATGCCGAATACATAGTAAGCATGCATGTGAATATGAAGTCCATTGTGGCCACCACTTACTCGTCGATTCTGTCTGACTGTTGCCTGTGGCGTGAAGAGTGGACCTCGAAAAAGGTACAGTAGATGCCCGGAGTAACAGTACTACTACTCCAAGCCAGCGGGGTCGGCCCATGGGGACATGACTGGGGTTGATCCGGAAATACGGAGTATGGGATCGCCTCAAGCATCCAAGGAACAGGAGGTGATCTGGAATGTAAGGAAGGTTGGCCGGGGCCGAGGAGCTTACCCTGGTTCTGGTTCCTCTGACTGGCTGATACAGATTGTTACTGTATTCGAGGGGACCTGGCTACGTTTCAGAAAGGTGGAATGTAGATACTATGCTGTCATTATTGAGGTTAACTTTGTAGTAACCACAATGAGTTTAACTATAATGTGCTGGCTACGCTGGTGCATAATGTAGGGTTTAGCCAGGGATAAGAACATAGGTTGTGTATGGCTTGCACAAGGCAAAGTAGTAAAAGCATTACTTTTGAATAATATTCTAATGCATTTAAAGAACGCCAGTCCATGTCGTCCATCAAGGACGCTCCATATATAAGAGAAAGTGGAGGAAGGAGGATATAAACAACGCTAATTAGCAGATCTGATAGTCAAAATAGATAATACATGAATATTATGAAAGATAGTTCAATTATTGTAGGGTGCCCCGCGATTCGGCTGTCACTCCACCTGAAGGATCAAGTCTGCGCCTCTCCGCGATGGCGTCAGATTCCGCTCGAGAGGTGACGGCTTCTTCTTCGGCATTCCTCCTAACATCCCTTTTGAGAGATGCCTGTACTCGACGGCATTTTTAGGCACGGGTAGACGGTATGCAGAGGAAGAGGAGGGCTCGGCTCCCGGTTCATACCAAAAGTCGTCGGGACCATAGGGAACAGTCACCTCGCTGTCCTTCGGTGGTGGCAACGGTTTGCCGCGATGTATTTGCACGCGCTTGATGTCATCTTGTCGGACGATCCGGGGGCGAGACACGATCTCTTGTGGGGGCTGCGGTGGATGAGGTGGGCCTCCTGGGCCTGTGCCTGATGTCCCTGAAGTTGGTAAATTTCTTGCCGTCTTTGAGGTAACAGATGGGGTTTTCGAGGTCCCACGCTGGTGATTTGAGCTCTCGCCCATGGGGTTCTGCAATTCACCCATCGGTGTTCTTATTTCCGTGACAGGTGTAAGTGGACGAAAACCCCCAGAGTACCGTGATGCTCGACGGGACCCTGAGCTGGAGCTGCTTTCGCCAAACCCGAACTCGAACTCATACCCGAGATAATCACCGACTGAGTTCCGATTCGTCCCGGTGCCGCGAGGTATACTGTAGGAATGAGGCTGGGGTTGCGGTTGGATAACTTTCGCTCCGACGAAACCAGCGTCGGAGTTTTTCCAGTAATTGTCAAGGTCGTCGTCATAATCTATCGGACTATGACCGGACGGGTATGGGGAGGCCCCTTTGACAGCGGGCAGGGCTTTCTCTTTGGAATTTGAGCCAATAGGTCTCTTTTCATGCTTCAATCCCCTCATCGGAGGGGTTTGACCTGGGCCTGCAAACCCATACATCATTGCACGTGGGTTCGCAGGTAGACCTGCCAACGGATGACTATTCTGCCCCCGCGTATTCGTGGGTGTGAAGCTAGATTGCTGGACTGGGGGGTGAGGGAGGGGCCTTGGCCCCCTCGAGTGCTCTTCGAATAGTGTTGCGCCGCTGGATGATCTGAACTTCTTGTGTTGACTCCACCTTAAGGGTCGCGGGTAGAGCTCGTATGTTGGCTTGTCCGGAAGCAAATCAGAAACCGTCCTCGACGAGGCCGTAGACTCTGCATCGAAATCGAGGTTGGAAGAAGATTGAAAGCCCACCCGGCCTGTGTTGTTCTCAGACATACGGCCGTAGTTATAGTCCTCATCTGGTCGGGTGATGACGACTGCTGGATATTGAGACGGGTGTTGATATTCTGCCTCTTCCGGCGATACAAGCCTGATGCTCTCGGAGTCAGGACCGAAAACCTTTGCAGGCGAGGGTCGAGGCCCCATTGGGGGTCGTTTCGGAGGAAAGCTGAAATCCGGAGGCTCTGTCATGTGCCCTCCAATCTCAAAGAACTCTCGATCTTGTGCCTTGCGCCTGGCTTTTCTGCAACAAAAGAAGATTATGACACCGAGAATGAAAAAGCCCGCGATACCAGAAGCAACGGAGACGCCGATAACCGCGCCAGAGTTGAGTTTGCTGCCTTGTCCCGGCTCGGCTGGATCTTCGCTGGATGTTGCGCTAGGTGAGGAGTCACTCTCCGTCGATGTGGGTTTGTCGGTCTCTGTACTAGGATCTTGTGTACTCTGCGTGGTTGGTGTGGGGCTCTGAAATGTCGTTAGTGTCGTGGAGGTGTGGACTGATTTTGTTGAAGTTAGGTGTGTAGTCGGACTAGTTGCCGTGGTCTCTGGCTCTGTTGCGACAACTGTGGTTGGCCTTATCGTAGAGGTAGGGCTGGCCGGCGACGTGATTGTCGCAACAATTGTGGGATGCGTTCGCGGCAATGCTCCAGGCACGTCCTCGCATATACTGTAGGTATCGAAACTCATTGCCACCTCCATAGAGCATTTCGAAAGGCTACATCGCAGTCCCGCCTCTCCCAAAGTATAGCCGCTAGTAGTATTCGTCGTGCACAAATAATTCAAGTCACATCCCTCGGAGCAAGCATTCCTCGGATATTCGGTGCTTATGAAACTCTCGAGGCACTGCGAAGCGCATTTGGGTAGCAAGTCAAGCAAGGACACGGTAGTCGCGTTCGTGATTTGCGTGAGATATACCAGGACAAGGGCTGCTGTAGATACCCATCGAAGAGGATATGGTAACATGGTGTGGTAGCCTGCCAACGGCGGCCAGTTAGCTTTTCAACGTTCCTAGGCCCTGCAGAGTTGGAGCATAAGAGCGGCACAATCAAATATTGTACGTACCCTGATCCTTGAGCTACAGATGAGCTCGTTCCATCGAGTCATTAGTACTATCGTATGTCATCTAGGATGCTGAGGTAGAGTAAAGGATGAGACAGGTAGAGAAAATCCAGAATGCCCCGCGAGAATAGTCCTCTGGCAACATGGTGGGAGGAAGACATCATCGTGAAGATTCACGGCGGCTACAGCCATCTTGCTGTCATTGGAGCATAAATGGAGGTCTAGTCCTCAGAATAGCTGGCGACTGACTGGCCTATAGATCCGTGCAAGTCTGAGACGGGGCGTTATGGGTTCCTGTACGCGCCGTGATGAAACACAAGGCTGGGGCATACGTAGTTGCAAAGCAGGGTTTGTGTAAGCGCTTTGTTTGGAGAGGAATGGTCGCCCGCTGCCTTGAAGATTTCTGAAATAGGCGCCGGGGTCGGCGCCGACCCTGCACGATGAAGCAATCAGCCCCCGCTGTCAGCTGATCGAGTCCGGCGCTTCGATGCAGTTCGAGAATAACTGGCTACCTTGAGTTCAGTTCCTGGAATATCCCTGTCCATGATATCTTTGTTAAAACAGGGATAGATCCGTGGGCTGTTCCTGAAGAATGCGGCGAGAAATCTACACAACATCTAGCAAGTACTGGAGTGCGACGTATTTTAATGCCGCGCAGGGAACAGTAGGAGGAACCACGGTCAACAACCGACCTCAAGTCGAAAGGGAAAGTTGTAAACGAATAGGTATCAATTAATGAGTTATTCATTCACCGTAGAACAAAACAGAGCCCAGAAGCACCATGAGCTGGTATCATAAAAATAGAGACGCGAAACCGACATAACTGACATGACAACAGTGATTATAACCCAGCGATCCATCAATCGCATCCAATAGTCAGCATGCGACTATCATTTAACGGTCAAGTAGATCGAAGAACGTGAAATGGTGGGACGCCAAGAAGGAGACAAAGGGATAATAGGTAGCTCGGCCCTCCGCCCGGAGCTCCACGGAAGCTAGCTGACGAAACGGGCATCGCATGTCAAGCCTCGCCTTTGGAGAACAGTATCATATAACGGTGGGATGGCATCGCAGGTCCGGAAATCGATACTAGGCGGCCTAGTGCTTGAATATAATGTAGCTGCAGAAGCGGTTAGTTAGCGGTTTTGACGAACGTCTTTTGGGCAACGTACATGGCGTGGATGATACCAGGGATCCAACCCAGGATCGTCAAACAGATGTTGATGAGGAAGTCAGCACCGCATCCGCGCTCAAGAAAGACTCCAAGAGGAGGCAGGATGAAGGCAAAGATGAGCTTGCAAATGTCACTAAAAGCGGCATCCGTCAGCAAAGCTGGTCGGGACTCGACTTGGCCGGACCCAAGGAGCCGAGGAAACCGGCTGCGGTCGGATACAAGGGAGACCAGGACTGATTTGGCGACTTACGAGGCAGTGAAAGGCATTTTGGGTGAGGTAATGGGATAGGTTGGTAGAGCTGTTTTGAAGCGTTGGAAGATTTGGTGATCAACGATTGTTGGTGTTGAGGAGAAGAATAATGACGGAAAGAAGGGACAGGGCGGGAGCGACGAGCGGTCCTTAAATGAGTCCTCGAAGCGGGGGCGAAGTCAGCTAGTTGGAATAGTGGCTTGAGCGATTATCATTTGCAGCAACCAGTCCTTTCAAACGAATAATCCAGAGCATCAGCGTTGAACTGGAAAAAGCATGCCTGATCTCGGCAGAGTTTGCTACGTCATACTGGCGCCGCTGTGGCTCATGACTATGTGCTTTTCTCCTGATTGGCCCCTTTCTAATTTGTTACTACAAGACGTGGTTGTCGATGTCATTCCAAGCTGCTGCCAGTTCTCCTCCAGAGTACGTACCCCGGCCAGGGACTGGACTGCTGTAACTTGAAATTGCCCGACCGTCCCTATGGTTCATCCTCTATCCAGGAAAAGAATAAATTCGGGACTGTAGATCTCGTTTTTGCAGGGCTAATTTTGCTGCCTAGATGCGGGTGCACTAGTAACCGCCTCACTGCATCACCGGGTTTACTATAACGTCCCTGGTGGACTGAGCTTGATTCTTTCGGGTAGGGCAAGTCTCCTCGAGGCTGATATGGAGCACAGCCAGCCCTACGCCCCATATCTGTCCATCTCAGCCACCTTCTGGATTCTCGAACGCTTTGAAAGACGAATGATATCATCGCGCGTGGCCCATATTTAGAAGCTTGCGCATACGATATGGATATCGCACTCCAGACCACCAGTAGACTCAAACATAAAGGAGCTGCCTAAGTCAGGTTCCAGGGCAGCGGCAACATTCGTCCTGGCTTTATTCGAATGATACAATAATGAGATGGTTCCTGGGCAAAGAGAACTGTACAGCTTTGGAAGATGATGTAATCACTCAAATCCGCAGCAAAGTCTCGGTCAATTGATGTCCGCACGGGTATTGCTCTCGATGGCATGAAAGGCAGATAATGTCCTAGGCATCATTATTATCCTTCTCCGGGAAACTCTTGAATTCCTGGCTGTGTCAAAATGATGAAGCTCAGTGAGGGAGTTCCTGGCTTGGCGGCCCGGCGGCCGAAGGCTGACCAAGAAAATTCCCCGGCAGTCCCTCCTCCGTCTCCGCAGCATTTCAACCACTTAAGGCAACACACAGGCAGTTCCCTCGCGTTCCCCAACATTGCCATTCTACATCCCTGGAACCAATGCTTTCATGTCGGTAGCACTAGGGTTCGCCCCGCGCTCTATGCCAGCGCGGCTGGCTATCGGGCCAGACCTTCGTCGACGGGTGCTGGGATGGGAGCAAGGCACAGTCCCCTGGCAAGCGCGTCATCCTACGCGCAGATGGGCTGGAACAAGAACAAATGAAGCCATTGATCAGCAAATAGCCTGCACATGGCTGACTACGACACCGGAACAGCTGGTAATGGCTATCATTGTCCCGCCCTGATATTACACTAAACATCTGAAGTCTCCAGACGACATTCTTTCCAGCTTTTCATCCGAGTCATTCCAATCGACACCGGACTATACTCCAGTTTTCCTTTTTACTCCCGCTTTCGCCCATTGGGCTGATACGCAAGGCACATTCCTTGAGCAATGTCTGAATCGGCTATACCAGAAGACCTTAGACCATTCCTCGCAGGATCCCATCCATGCCATCGGCGCCATAATCGATCGCCTGCCGCACCATACACGAGAGGGTAATACAGCTGGCGATACAACGGAATTTGAGGGAGTGTCCATCCTACTCGCCAGAGGAGATAGTATCCAGGCAAAAGCTGCTACAGCTCGTCAAATCCGCTCGGCGGAAACTGAGGAATCCACGTTGCTTTTCTCGTTCCGGGAGAACGTCAATGGCCACGCCATACGCCAGCACACTCACGACATCGGACTTCGACTCGCAAACACTATCTTCGTCAACGGCAGGGAGAACACACTCTTTGGGGGTCGTTGGGCTTACGATTCTTCTTCAAGGAAACTCAAACTGGAGAAATCTACTGACCTTTCTGCATGCTCGGTAACAGTCGCGCAGAACAATATTCGCAGTACGCTCCAACTCCCGCTGTACCCTGTTGGCGAGCGCCGCAAGGTCATATCTAGCATGGGAAACATCCTCAGTCAAGTGGCAAAACATGCCGACGTTAGATCCGACGAACCGATGCCTGCTTCTTCTGAATTAGAAAAGGAACTACCACGGTACATTGCGGAGAATGACATCGCCGACAGAAGAGTGTCCGTTTGGGCCTTGATCGAATCCACGGAGAGCAGCTCATACACAAAATCAAGCCATTCGCAGAATAGCATTGCAGAAGCTATACGAAAGGGCGCTAAACTTCACCATGTCATGAGTGGCGGAGGCGGTTGGGGCAAGAAACAAGGTCTTTTGTCACTGGATCCGGAAACGAGCTTTGGAAAGTCGGGCAAGGAGAGTATAAAACCTCTCCATCAAGTCTTCTCAGATAACGAGCAAGACTCCACATACAGTTCCCCTGTCCCGGAACTGCCGATGTTCATGCAGGATCTGTCAACCCTGTCGCAGACTGCAGAGCCAGGCGACTATGTTCAGTTCTTTGCCTCCGTCGGGGAGCACGAGCTGCGCAGCAGCAACAGTAGCAGCAGCTCATCCGCAGAAGATAGCATTTCGTGCTTCTTCGGCGTGATGTCGGACGCTGATGCGTTTTCGGGCCAATCCTCGAACAGGAAGAACCTGACCGTTGTGCCCAACTACTTTGGTGCGTTGTCCGAAAAAGCCATTACGTACCTGCAGCCTTTGGCTGCATCCCAGTCAGATGTGTCTGAAACTCGTACCAAGGTCGACGTTCCCGGATCACGAGTGGTCCTGATCCTTGAGTAAGGTGTCTTCGTGCGATATAAAATAATGTTTTGCATAAGCCAACTCTACGCAATACTATAAACAGCATTTTTGGATGCTCAATTACTATAGACTGTAGTTCTTTTTCAAGCCACTGCCAAGAAATGATGTCACGTGAAATGCACTGGAGGTGCTTCAGCCTCTCCGAAGCAACCAGCGTGTTCGCCTCCAACCTCCATATCCGACCTCCATCGTCAAGCTTCATAGTATCATCGCAACGCATCGCTGCGACTATCATCTGCCTTGTATCTACCCCTCTCAATTGCTCTTATCTCTTTTAGCTTATTCCCTTCCCCTCCGGCTTTGTTCCACCGCTGAAATGGCCTCTGAGCTCTGGTACGTAATCATCACACAGCTCCTCCTTTCCGGCGTGTTCTAGCAGCTATCCCTCCTCTTTGACGATAAATTGGCATCTCAGTCAATTTTCTATGATATTCGCTAACTGTTCACTATTATAGCCCCGTCTACGCGGTGAGTATTCCGTTCCCATGTCGGACACCGACTCCCCAGCAACTTGGTTCCTGTCCGCAAAGTCGAAACAGCTACGTTTGAGAAATGGGCCTGATAGCTGATATTGCTCCTTAGCCGTTCTTCGGCTCCCTTGGCTGCACTTCCGCCATCGTTTTTACCTGCTTCGGAGCTGCCTATGGAACCGCCAAGGCAGGTGTCGGTGTCTGCTCCATGGGTGTCCTCCGCCCCGACCTGATCGTTAAGAGTACGTTGCTCTTCGGCCCTCCGACGGATCATAGCGCTAAACAAACCTCATAGACATCGTCCCCGTCGTCATGGCTGGTATCATTGGTATCTACGGATTGGTCGTGTCCGTCCTTATCGCGAACAACCTTGGTCAAAAGGTTCCTCTCTACACAGCGCTTGTCCAGCTGGGAGCTGGTCTTGCGGTCGGTCTTGCCGGTTTGGCAGCTGGGTATGCTCAATTGCTGCTAAAGTTGCAAAATGAAACTAATGGTCAAATCAAGGTTCGCCATCGGTATTGTCGGAGACGCTGGTGTCCGCGGAACAGCCCAACAGCCAAGGCTTTACGTCGGAATGATTCTGATTCTCATTTTTGCTGAAGTTCTGGGTGAGTGGACTGGCCATGGGATTGATGTTCCACGAACTCTCTAATCTTTAATATCATTTTGCAGGTCTCTACGGTCTCATTGTTGCCCTTCTCATGAACTCCCGCGCCACCCTCGAGGCCAACTGCTAAGCTTCTAAAGCACGACCCGGGACTATTGACGCTGCTCACGCACGGCAATGGAACCATCGGTTGGTGGGATTCGTATACGGAGAGTCTCGGCACCTGGACTCAGGACTCAAACTCGTGAACATACCTTATATGACATGTCGGTTTGCGCTTAACCTGGAGGTGAACTTCCGTGGTTAAGGCTTGCAACATTTTGAATGGAGGGGTTGGGACACTGTTGGATTTCTACACCTGACAATTATATGACCACACCTAGCCCGCGTACCTTAGGCTAGATCAAGGTGGGGAGTTTATCGTAGATACATTGCATGATGTGCGGAAACTGTATTTTATGGGAGTTGCTTGCTACGATTCTAGAAGACCTGGTCTTACTCGCATTGCTTTTAGTGTTTTGTCCTTTCTAGCTATAGTACTCGGTTCATGCCATCAATTTCTAGGTTATTCACTATCCACTTCACTGACCCTGCCCCCCTCCATCCCTCTGCATATTCAATGAAACTCCGGCCTCCTCCATTCGTTCACTCAACAAAGTCATTCCGGGCTCCGACGTGAGCCGTATTGCATCTAACTTCTTCCATCTCAGAGCATGCTACAAGTCTACCAGTTGAACTGTCCTGCGCTGTCTGGAATGGCCTAGAGTCATTTAGGGCCAAAGACGCACTCGGCCAAACATGTCGTCATTTCCATAACACTCTTGATAACGCTTGTATGGTTATCTAATTGGGCCAAGAGACTATGCAGGGAAAGTAATTCTCTAGGCCGCAACAACTGACCGGGAGACCTGCATCCGATGACTGTTAGACCTCGGTGAAGACCTGGTGCTCAGTGGATCATCCAATGTTCAAAAGAATGAGGAACATAACACTGAAACATATGACTGGATGATGGGGGATGACAACAGTTCGCTGTGATACACCGATGCAGCTTGTTTTAGCTCCTGCTGCGTGCAGCAAGTAGTTGCCATGACAGTGTCGTCAGACTTCTCGATGCAGGAGCCGACGTCAATGCTCGACGCCTTCCCAAGGAGCTCCCTGTCACGGTGGTAATTGGAGACGGCCATGTGCAAGTCCTGGGAACACTGCCACAGGTGCCGATTTACATATCGAGGTTAGGAAATGGGATACCGTCCTCGCGTACGCAGCGCACCACGGTCTATTAAGATTGTCCGGCTACTGCTGTTTCTTATTCTGCCAAGTCAAACGCATCATGAACAAATAGCCACTGATTGTTGAGCGAGTCAATAAGTGTTTCTAACAACGTCACTGTCTCATATCGCTAGAAACTTCCGGTGCTAGAACGCCAATGCGTGAACATCGGAAACAACAGAAGAACAATGAGTATTACGTTAATCGATGCGCATTACAGCAAGTAAGATAACATTGTCTATGGCGCCTGATGCTGGAGAATATGCAATAGGTACAGAGACGAGAGGAACGGAACGGAACGGAACGAGTATAACCAAAGTGAGCAGTGGAGGCACTCAAGATAAACGTTCTATTGATAGGTAGCAAAGTAGGTGAAGTCGAAGCGAACACGATTGGAGAGGTTAGATATAGGAAGAGGGATGAACAGAGGAAGGACGAATTAGAGCTAGCGTGCAAGGCAAGGAATAAGCTGGAGTAGCGAATGCAAGGGACCCAATTACGCCTTGTCGAGCTTTCGTCTCAGTGTCCTCGTCCTGCGGAGCAGCTTCTTGAACTTGTGGTTCTTCATCTTTCGTACACGTCGTCGCTTTGTGCTGAGTGCTTGCATGGTTCCGGGGTTGCGCAGGCGCTCAATGTAGGTGGTCTGCGAGTTCTGCGGAACGTCAATGACGGCGTCCGTTCCTTCGGCGCCGGGGGCTTCCATGGTCCTGGCCTGAACGAACGGCGTAGTGTGGGCCTCGTAGGTCTTGCTTCCATCAGATAGAGTTGACTCCTGAATTGTCAAAACGGCGGAGTAGCTTGAGGTCTCTTGTGTCTGTTCCGCTTCGGCCGATGCAACGTAGGGAGTTGGTGGTGGGGGAGGATTGAAGGGACGGAGGCGCTTTGTCATTTCCTCCACGGACACCTTCAGCTCGGTCATATCCAGTCCATTAAGCTGGTTGCCCTCCATCTCAAAAGCGTTCATGATTCCATCGTTCTCCGCTAGATGGTGCGCAGCGTTCTCCATGGAATTCACGGCGGAGGAAAGGGTGAGGATCACGTCTTCAGATGCATTCTTCGAAGCTTGTTTGGTGAATATCGAGTCGAACGCCTCGGCGCTTGAGGGCGGAGGGACGGTTGTAGAGACGGAGATAGGTCGGTGGATGGAGAAGAACGATGCGAGCTGAACATCTGAGTGGGGAAATGACCGTCAGTGATTTATAGAACGCAAGCTAGCAATAATGAGTGCTCCGCTTACCGTGAGGCTGCAGGTGTTGCGTCGAGGGAACGCTGGGAAGGTTTGAAAAAGCGTTGGGTTGGCTGGACCTGGAGCCGTTGCGGCCGCTGCCGCTGCCATCCTTTCCCCGACGTCTAGAGGACTTGCCCTGCTTTTCTCCGGCAGAGCTGACCTGCTTCGCGGGAGCCTGAGACGAGGCGTCGACCCTCCTGGAACCGTCGCTCGGCTTAGAGGATGACGACGAGTAACGGCGTTGACGTACGATGCCTGTAGACGCGGTAGCGAGGCCTTGGGTAGATGAGCGGCAGATGCCAGAGACCGGCGCGACTGGCGCCCATGCCGCCCGACGTAATGAGGACGACAGCATGTTTATAAATTGAGCGGGCGCAGAGGAGATTGCTTCGGGACAAAGACGGTGCTCATGAGGCGAAATCCAGGTTGAGCCGATCATGCGGCACACGGAACGGATTAGGTAAGTCCCGGCCTCGCTGCCTCAGGCGCCTATCAGCACATCCGGTCTATAAAAATGGAGTACGGAAGAAATATGTCCACTGCTAGTCCAATTAATTGTAGCTAAATTACAGACTGGAAATAAAAAGCGCCCATGTGGTATCTCAACGCATCAGTTTGAGCCCAAGAACAGTTCGTGGGTCGTAAAAAAAAACTTCACAATCATTGCCTTCAACACACATCACGTTCACCCCGAGTATGACAAAAGTGATGAAAATCCTGTAGAGCAAATGAAAAAGGTCAAGCCATGATTGTTTGACTTTCGAGGATTCAGAGAGAAATGAAGACGTAGAGTAAGTAGAGAGCAAGGGGGTGAGATCTTTTAAGTAGGGAGAACGAGGTTCAACGGCCAAGGACATTCGTGAAAACACCAGAAGTCCTAACAGCGAGCAAAAGAGTGGTATCAATCAGCATTATATAGTAAGAAGGTTCGTCTTTGAACCGAAGAGTCGAAGTCCTCAAGCAGGGTATTTTTTACCGCCGAATGAACAAGATTCAAGTATAGCAAAGGCTGGGCGAGGCCCCCACCGGAAGTGGAAAGGCAGGAAAGGCAGGAAAGGCATATATAAGTAGGCATAAAGGGACGAGAATGCAAGTCAGAGGTCAAACTCTCAGAGAATGCAACGCGTAATCGTATATCAATGCAAGGGGAATCTCGTGGCCGCCGAAAACCTCGTCAAGTTCAAATACAGTCGTTCGATTGAAGGTAGATCAGAGTATGAGGGTGTGGAGATTTTTCTGGATAATCATATCCTGTACTGAGTCCATGGTAGCCTTAAGTAATGTTGTATCAGTGGCATTGGTGTAATGGATATAGATTTCTCGATCAGGAATCCGATTGATGCCTCGGAATCGATCAGCGAAGTATTTTGCGGCGGCGTCGAAGTCGGTATTTGAGTCGCTATAGTCGGGAAAGTGCTTCGATATCGGCGAAATCGCAAGCTTGTCTTTGAAGAGATCGATCTTGTTGAGGAACAGGATAATGGGCTTTCGTTTGAACCATTCACCATTCACCAACGACTCAAAAAGCATCATAGCTTCATGCATTTGGTTCTGGCAAAATATTAGATAGCTGGTCCACAAAATCAAATAATGGGGCCACTTACGGCATTCTGGTCTTCGACAAGACACTGATCGTACCCAGACAATGCAACCATGAAGAGCAGACACTGAACGCCCTCGAAGCAATGAATCCACTTCTTGCGTTCCGACCGCTGCCCACCGACGTCCATCATCCGGAAGTTCATCTGGCCCAGCTCAAATAATGTTTCTGTAATGCCGGTTGTTCGCAAACGTGCCTGTAGCATGTCCTGATTGTCGGGAAGCCACCCCGACTCGAATATTCGGTCAAGTGAATGGAAGAAACTGCACAGTCGTCAGCGAAAGTCGCATGAAGCAGTGGTTTGTCAAAGATCTCACTAGTTCAGATTATCATGGAGAGCAAATTCGTGTCCCTTTGCGACAGCCTTTTGAACACCGCCATCATTCCACATCTCATTCATAGCATCACGAACTTTGAGATCGGAGAATGCCTCCTCAACACCCACATCGGGCTCCAGATTGTCTACGAAATCAGCTAAAGGCTGGTTGCGCAAGACATGTTAGCAGGCTCGTGTGATTACACCAGGCAAAATGAACGGGACTAACTTTGGTATCTTCATGTTCGAAATCAATATTCTCGGTCCGCATGATTTCCAGAAGCACTTTGTAAGCGACCACGATGTTCGAGTAGATCACTGCCCGTGTCTGGCGGCGTTCATCTTCGGGAAATCCTCCGGAGTGGATAATGCGCATCTGCTTGATGATGGTTGATTTTCCTGATTCACCAGCACCTGGAATATTTCGGTAAGCATGCTTGTAGCGATTACTGAGCTTGATACGCACCGAGAAGCAGGATCTTGATCGTCCTGTCCATCACTTTCTTATCATTTTTTAGCCCTTTTTCTATCCTCGCATTGCGCTGGACGGCCTCTTTGTCCTCCCCCGCCTCAGCCTGCTTTGAACTCATACAACCCATGTTGGACAAGCGCGCGAAGAGAGTCGCAAATTGCAGTATTATCTACTGTTCAAGAATGGTAACACCGTTAGTTGATGATCTCCCTGAGTTTGTGCGAAATTTAGGACTTGAGCAGCAATGCTGACAATTGCCGAGGTGAATCAGTGGCTCCTCGTGCCGCGAAACAGCCAAACAAAGAAGATTCATGTACCATAACTTTATCCGAGATCCAAGCTTCAGTGTTCGGCTTTTCCTTCTTCTTACACTTTTGTCAAGTTGAGGAAGGCGGAAGCCGTTAAAGAAAAAAGCAAAGACACCTACCAACTAGTTCACAAGGTGATAGAAACCAATAGGAATCGATCCGGTCCGACTCCAGCGCTAACCAGAAGGCTTGCGAGTAAACGTCCCCCAATTCAGGTGAAGCTCTGGGGATCGGTGATTTGAGCAAGCGCTTTGTCTGCCCACGCGCAAAGATCAATGACCTCTGACGTCTGGTTATAGCTTTGTAGTTGAGGCGCAAAATATAATCCGGCGGGACTCGAAGTGCGGCGCTGCGGTTTTCAGTTCGTTATGGAATATGGACACAGTCTTATAGCAGCCGCGATTGCTAGGGGGACAAATGTCGGCGGTATTAAAATCGACGGGCGGTAGTAGCAGGTTGCGAGTCAGTCGTCGAGAGTGATCGCCCACGTTCGAGGTTGGGAGACTAGGAGGAGTGTTCGCAGATCTTCAGGGAAATAAACGCGGCAATTCTAGGGGCGTAATCCAAGGGGGTTGTTGGCAATGACCGAATCCGGCGCCGTATTTCGAACTTCTTCAGGCGATGAGTTGCTGGGCGCTGGCCTGGCGGCAAGGCGAGCACCGAGGGGAAGAAAGGGGAAATTGGAGCTGAGTATAGTGGAGAGAAGTAGCTCTGTAGGTACCAGGCGTCAACGGATAAGTGAGGAACTTAGGAAGGGAAAGAGCGGAATGGGGGAGAGGTTCTAGAATGAATTGTGGAAGATTCGCTGCAGGAAGCTGAAGAAGGATGGGGTTTTGTGAGAGTGTCGCGCAATTTGTTAGTTATAGTGATGCATCCGATCGGAGGAGGGGATTCATCGAATCATTGTAAGCCTGTAAGCCAACACAGCACTAAGAGCTTTTGGGACATAGCCTGCTAGCTCTCCCTTAGTCCGTGCGTGCTACTCAGCTAGCCTGAGTCCCTGACAGGTAAACAAACCAACCAGCAGCTTGCCTGCCAATTTGGTACTAGAACTGCTCTCATGAATGGTTCGGCTCCTGAATCCTGATCCTACCCACTCTGGGTCCTTGACGAATTCCATCTTTTGGTTGACGTTCATCATCTGAAGTCGTGGATAACCCGCGGGTAACATCATATACAGAGTACAAAGCAGAAACAGTTCTTTACATGATCCAGCTCTAAGTCTAAACATCGGCCAGAGGAGAAAATAATACACAATCCGTGACTGGGGCGCGAAACCCAAGCATCGCCTTCTCGAACATGCGTCGCGGGACGAACGGTAAGTATGGATCCCCAATTCCCCATAGGGCCATAATCTAACTGCTAATGTTTGGCTCTCCTAGGCATATCCACTTGAAATATAATCTCAGCCCTTACAAGTTACCAGTGACCACCGGTCCAACACTACCCTACTACTGTTGCACTCCTCAGTTGTTGTCCTTGAAGATTCGAGGACATCCACGCTTCTCTTGTATTGAGGGTAAGTGCGATAGTGCCAGATGCCGAATGGTGCCTAGCTCGAGCTCACGGACACTGCCTGTTTTGCCAAGGAACTCAAAGCCACGAGTTTGACGTTGGCGCATCTCGCATACGCAGATCGGCAGTTACTTTGCCTACACCGAGTCAGGTCCGACTCAGGATAGAGTCTACCGTTCCAAAGTGTTTTGTTGGATATATCAATCGGAGACCTCATCAAAGTGGCTCCCTCTACAGTAGATCTCCAAGATCTGAACTCCGAAAGCAAAACCGGCGTTGCCCCTTCAGGGTCTAACTTCTACGCTCTATCTACTTGCCTAGACATGAATGTCTCATTAAGATCGAGCAAACTTTAAGACACGAAAATATCGAGGCTCGCTCTCCGGTTGCCGACAGTGTTCAGAGTGGGGCGAATCCTCTCTTCCATCCTCCCTAATCAACGGTTACCAGCTCTGAACCCGCTCTGATGTGTCAGAGTCAAAGTGCTGCCCAGCCAAAAGGGAAGCTCTTATTCTACCGACGGTCCACCAAGGGGGGCCCCACCCATTAGTTAGTATTTAATATGTTCCAGTTTGTATAATAGTAATTATATAATTTAAAACTATACACTAGCCTTGCTATATTAGCCTTTTTTATACCTAATTTAATATTAAAACTTATAGTAAACTTGCTAAGTTATGCTGGTATATTATATTATATAAAAAATTATATAAAAATTAATATACCTGTAAAACTCTTAAGGTTTTTAAAAAAAAAAAGTTAAAAATAAATAATTACAGGGGCGGTTAAACTAGTTTTAGCTAATTAAAAAGTAGTATTCACGCTAATTTAGTAAAATTTAAACTTAAAAAAAAACTACCACTAAATACCATAAAATTAGTATAAATATATATTAGTATAATTATTACTTTTAAATTATACTATAATATTTTTATAATAATAAATATTTAGAGCTTTATATTAAGCTTATATATATTTTTAAGGGCGCTTTTTTAATATATTTAATTAAAATTTAAAAGTATAATAGTTTTATAAAAATATTAATTTTTTAATATATAAGTATAATTATACACGTGCTTTGCTTAAATAAAGCTATACTTTATATAAAAACCCTTATATAAACAAAAGCTATAATAAAATTAGGTATATATTTTTTTATATATTCCTACTAGGTAAGCCCTTTGCTATTATTAAGCTAAATTTTATGCTAATAAACCTTTAAATAGCTTTATAAATATAAGTACTTTAAATTATATATAATTTTTTATAAAAAACCAAGTACTAGTATATTAATAGCCTTATTAATATATTAATAATTTTATTTTTAGCTAAATACCGCGCGGATATACTAAATAATTTTATAAATATAAGTACTTTAAATTATATATAATTTTTTATAAAAAATTAAGTACTAGCATATTAATAGCCTTATTAATATACTAATAATCTTACTAACATGCTAATAATCTTATTAATATATTAATAACTTTATTCCTAGTTAAACACCACGTGGTGTCACACCCATGGGTGCCAAGCCCCAATAAGATAAGGGAACTAATAAGATAAGAGTCACGGTGACGTCAACCCAACACGCAGTAATAATATCACCACCATTTTAACAGTATATTTAAGGCCAATGCCCTAGTAAAGAATAATTAGCTAAAAATTAGTTTTTATATATTCTAGGCCTTAAGATTTAATATTAATCCCTTATTAAATAGCCTTTTAGTACTTTGTTTTGTACCTGGTTAGCCTACTTAAGGTTTTTATAGTTTTAACTTTTTTACCTATTAACCACCTATAAAATGTATACTATGCCGCTAGTATACTCACGCCTTATTTTTAAATAGGACTATTTTAATAGTCCTGGAAAAAAACCCTTTAATACTTAATAATTTTTTATTATTAAGATTATTAAAAATACTACTATAAAAAATTATTAAAATACTTGTAAAACGCCAGTAACCTAATAATTATAAGATATAAAAAGATATATTAAGTATTTAAAAAATTAATTAGCTAAATATAACACATCTTTAAAATAATGTTAATATTGGGATAATTTACCAAAAAATTATAGTAAAATTAAAAATAAAAATATACCTAAGTATAATTTTAATTTTAGCTTATAGTAATATCTTAACTAGCTTAGTACTTTAAAATTAAATTTTAAAAAAGTACCTAGAAAATATAAATTAGATTAACAGCAAATCCTAGGAGCTTTAACTATAATAAAATTAGTATATAAAAGTAACTAGATTTAACATGCTAATAAATTAAAGGGTATAAATAAGGAATATTAAGGATTTTCTTAGGAATACTTTAAAAAATAAATAGCTATAATTTTAAGGAGTTTAATAACTAGTTTACTAGATACTATAATTAAACTAAAGTTAGCTTGTTAAAAAAAAGACCAAAATCCTAGGGATTTTGCTAATTATTTAGCCATGTTAAAATAGTATTTTTTAAGAAATAATAAAAAAATATAGATTTAACACTATTTTAGTAAACTTTTACCTTTACTTTAAAATAAAATCTATAATCTTAATAATATAAAACTCCTTAATATTAAAAAATACCTAGTTTAACTTGCCTTATAATATTAGTCTTGTATATTATATTTGCAACCTTGCATTACCTTATATTATAATAAATAATTAAAACCCGCTAAATAAAAAGAAAACACTATTAATTTAAGAGAAAATTAACATGGATTTACCCGTGGTAAAAAAACCTAAAAAAGAAATTATTTTATAGGACAAACTTTTAAAAAAAGTTATAATAAAATACCTGCGGGATAAACTTTTAATATAATAAAACCCCCTTAAAGTCGCACTAGAATAGTACTAAATTAGGATTAGTTAAAATTAACTCCTATAATATATTTTAAGTGTGGAAAACCTAGTTATATTATACTTAATTATATAAAATTATTATAAAACCCTAACTTTTAACCGGTAAATCCTAATTAAACTGCCAAAGTTTATAAAATAATAGTTAAAAACCCTTAAAATAAAAAATATTATAAGAAAAAGCAAGATAATTAGCAAGAAGGTAAGTATATAAATTAAAATAAAAATAAGATATATAAAAAAAAAAATAAAAAAAAGCTAAAGTAAAGTCTTATACCCTAGCTTAATATTTAAAAATAAAAATAAGTAAGTATTTTTAAATAAAAATAATGGTAAAAGCTCCGCGGGACAAGATTAAAACCAGGGTAAACTTAAATATTAAAGTAAAGGTAAATATAATAAGTATAGAATTTATTAAGTATGCTTATTTAAATTAGGTAAAACTTTCTTAT